AGTATGATAATGATGTTTTTCCATTGCAGTTACATGTTTTAGACAGTGTGATGAAGGTGCCCCAACATATTCTTCTGCCAACTGATGTTGAGCAAGTATCACAATATTCAGACACGGATATTAAAACTTTGAAAACGGAAATTGAAGAATTACAAGTGCAGTGTAAGAATGTAAGTAACTGATTGACATTCTCTTGTCTGAGGCTTGTTGATAGATCGATTGGAGATAAAGGTATTGGGAGTTGATAATTTATAAAATTATATGCTGTACTGTACTTCAATTTTATCAATTATAATGTGGTAAATTTTCATAATAAAGCATCAGGGTTCAGTGACTGGCTTTATCATACTAAACAATTGACCATGACATGAATTTTAGTTTTCTGGATTTATAAAACTTAAAGCTTTCATTAACCCTTAAACTGCTCATCATTTTCAAATGATAGATCAACAATGCTCATGTTCCTAGTGAATGATGACAATCCTCGCTGCCTCCCAGTTGCCAGCTGCAGATTTCTTTCAAGTAAACATTCTCTAATGCCCTCCATCAACTCTCTCTCTGTATTAATAAACAAATAATTATAAAGACTAACCTCAACAGGAGGTAAGGTTCGTAACAGTGATCAGGAGGCTTTTTTTTTTTTTAAGGTGTCCAACCTGCGGTCTTCTCGGCGACAGTATGAAGTTTCTTGGTGGGCTTTCCTCCATTTACTTTCTCTTCATCGATTTCGGAACAGGTTGTTTTTGTCCTTGGCTTTTTCTTGTTTGGCATCTCATACCTAATATTAGTACTATCGCTTCTTATCGTGGTGGTTTGGCAGAGCCGCTGAAGCTTGCATTTGGGGTGGATGTCTCTCCGCTCCATTCCACGTGCCCTCTCATGGATTTCTTCACCTCTGGTCTGCTCCTGCACTGCTTGAACCTTGGTCTTTGGACCAAATTCTTTCCTTTTTTCTTTTCAGTTTGTCGCAGCCCCTTCGGTTTGTGCTTGCTTTTGGAAATTTTTTTTTTTTTTTTTTTGCTTTGGCCTCGGGGCCAAAGGGCTTTGTAACGGTTCCAACCACCGTTGATTACATCGTAACCAATGTAACGGTTCTATTGTTACATAAAGTATGGTGACAATAAACACAAACACTAAGAGAATATATATATTTGGTCGAGTATACAGAAGTACGCAGGTGATACTTTGGCAAGCAATGGTGAGAGTTGAGCGCACTGAGAGTTGGTACAGTATCTTGCAAGTGTCTGTTCTAGACCACACTTGAAAGTAGAGGCTGAGCTTGAAAGTACTTTGGCCTCAGGGCTCTACTTGAAAGTAGAGCCAGTGGCTGAGCGGACAGAACACTGGACGCGTGATCCTGTGGTCCCGGGTTCGATCCCGGGCGCCGGCGAGAAACGATGGGCAGAGTTTCTTTCACCCTGATGCCCCTGTTACCTAGCAGTAAATAGGTACCTGGGAGTTAGTCAGCTGTCACGGGCTGCTTCCTTGGGGTGGAGGCCTGGTCAAGGTCCGGGCCGCGGGGACACTAAAGCCCCGAAATGATCTAAAGATAACCTCAAGAAGGGGGGTCAGGAAGAGGAGCATCATGCTCTTCTCCGTCGCTGGGGGTTCTGATGGTCGTTTTATTAGTTTGCAGCGTTCGCCTTCTTTTCTGGTGAAGAATGAGACAGCGGGCTTCCAGAGGGGTCCTTTGGTTGTGGATGCTTGGTTGGTTAGGCCGGGGGTGCGTCACATGTTGCGTCCAGTGGCGGCTTTATGACGCTACCTGTGAGCCGCTGGTTGTGTGACAGTGGTCGCCTTGTGGGTGGTTCAGATTTCCCTGGTTCCATGTTCCAGAGCTCGTGTGTCTCAGGTTGTCCACAGTGTCATTAAATCTAGCCAGCCTGTGATTTTGGAGCTTGAACTGTCTCTTCCTCGTTTTGAGTCCTGCTGCCTCCTTTGTTAGTCCCGGTTTTCCTTATCTGTGGGCAGTTAGCTTCAGGGAGCCAACAGGGCTTCCCATAGAAAACCAGCGTTGACTGTAATGAAACGCCATTTTCTGGATGAGCCCTGGAGTTTTCCAGACACCCTTCCTCCCTCCGGTTGCGGGTTTTCGTCGTTCAAGACCTGGAGTGGTGGGCTGCCGGCTTGCCTGAATTGGCTCCCCCTCCCCCTTTGGGGCTGGGGGGTGTAGTGCTGATGAGCAAGAGTGGTAATTACATGAAGTTTTAATTGTTTATCTTCTTTCTAGGGGAGATATTTTGATCTTTTAAGACGAAGATTGCATAGTGTAACCAGGGAGTGGTCTGTTTTGATTCACCAACCTTTCTGGGTCCTTCCCCGGTCGATGGCAATAATGACTAACTTTAAATATAAAGTGCTCATAGGCCATTGCTCCTTGCACCTCTCTGAGGTGCAAGGTTCAAGAGCCAGGTTCTGGCTCATGGTCCCCGATAGGCAAAGGACTCTGTGACTGATGACACCAAACTAATATAGCACTATATCAGTTCGGATAGCTTTAAGGAGCCTCCAGGGCTTGCCCAGAAAATGGAGTTTCATTACATTAAACGATGGTGTTTTGTTTAAAATAAAAAATAATTATCCAAAAATTGCCTCCATTGTTTAAATCTGAATGCAGGCGATGAGTCACAATAACGTGGCTAAAGTATGTTGACCAGACCCCACACTAGAAGGTGAAGGGATGACGACGTTTTGGTCCATCCTGGACCATTCTCAAATCAATTGACTTGAGAATGATCGACTTGAGAATGGTCCAGGACGGACTGAAACGTCGTCGTCCCTTCACCTTCTAGTGTGTGGTCTGGTCAACATACTTTAAATCTGAATATTTAAAAAACAAACATTAAAAAGTTCTCAGTGTTGCTGTTGAAAGCTCTATCATAATACCACTTCCAGCACAGTCTTGTCTACATTTCAGCCTTGAAAATATTTGTGGTAGCTTTAGGAAATACTTGTACTGTATATTTTTTTTAGCTTTTATATTGTATTATATGTGAGTTTGTATTTTTAGGAATATTTCATGAGGCCAGTGATGCTCTTCAGCCAATCTGAAGTAATTGAACCACTCTTAGATTGAATCATGTGTTGGCCTGTACCAGAACTATTTAATTGCTGTATGGTTGATAGTCTTCCTGGCTTAACAATTTGTTAATAATTACCTAATCTACTACAACTATCTTATAAATGTAATATGAATATATTAATGTTTGCAGGAAAAATATATGCAAGCAAAGTTGAAAGAGGAACTACAGGATATTTCTTTGGTCTTGAGGGAGCAGAAGATGTTCCTTGATAACACTATAAATGGTCCTAAAATGACCAGAATTGAAGAGGCAAAAGAGAAGTTACTCTACAACCGGAGCATCTCGGAGGAGACCCAGAGTGTTGTTGCAAGGGTTCAGGAGGCTGCAGAATATCTTAAAATGGAAGGTGGTACTAAATCAGACCAGCTCCTGGTAACAGAGATAAGTCAGTGATTTTCCTATCTTCAGATTTTAGTTCTGGTTTTGATTTTTTTTTGTATTGTACTTGACTCTTTATTGTATTCAATCATATTCACAAAATTCGCCACAAATATGTATAATATGTTAAAGGGTCCCGGTAGTACTGTCAGGTCTGTTCTCGACGCACAATCGAAAATTCCGGGTTCGAATCCCGGGCGGGACAGAAATTGTTGGGCACGTTTCCTTTCACCTAATGCCTCTGTTCACCTGGCAGCAAGTAGGTACTAAAGAGTCGGCTTGTTGTGGGGTTGCATCCTGGGCGGGGTCAGTAATTCGACCCTGGGTGGGGGAGGGGGGGGGAGCTCAATAAAAATTTATGAATACACTGTGGCTTCCTGTCCCCTGACACAGTGAATTATAATTAAAAATAATGCAGAGCTATAATTTCCATTTTAATGGCCTTGTAATTGAAAATGGCATCGTTTATAGTCTTGATTTCCAGATCGCTAATTAATGGGTTCTATGTGTATGATAAATTTTGTGAATCTTTATTGGCTTATTGCATCATTGTAGTGCCTTCTGTAGACTTTTCAAATATCTTATGTTCAAGACTTTTGTAAAGAATTAGAATTATTTACTATAGAATTTCACACATCTGTATATCCTTCATATGAATCAGTTGTCATTTGCTTGCAATAAGAAAAAGGTATTGAAAAATTTGGTGTTTGAAAAAGTTTGAGAATATTCTGGTGCTGATACAAGATTTTTCAAGTAAAATTGTCTACGATGTAAAATAAGAACTAGCTTGATGCCAAATAAAATAATGTATTCAAATTATTGTATTATCATCCCTTAAAGTGCAGCCATCATCTTGTGTTGATTGGTGCAATCCTGTCATTTTGGCATGATTTTTCATTTTGTCAGTGTTTGAGAGCTGATGTTGCCCATATGGTTCCAATAGCTCGAAGGTGTCTCCCAGCAGTCATTGGAGGCCACAAAAGTAATTTGGAGTTTTGATTCACAGTCCATAAAGGCACAATTTGGCTCTGTGAATTAATTCCTATCTTATCCATATTTAGGACTGTTTTTGTACATGTGGGGGTAGACAAAACATAGATTGGTAGCCTGTTTTTGTGTCTACTGATCATTAATATTTAAACTGATTTGAGAATGTTCTAGGACACATTTAGAATGTGATGCAACATGATGTTTAGCGGTAGCGATGTTGGTGATGGTCAAGCCTGACCACCACCAAGCTGGTGATCAGGCTTGATGTCACGTAGGTCAGCCTGCGTCATATGCTGACGCACACTTGGTATCCTGACCTCGAAGGGGTTAGATGCACTCCATCTCTCTCCAATCTTCTTGGCTTCTACCACTGACGACCTGTACTATGTGCCAAAGCTTCGTGGAAGTGAGAGGTGAAGCAATTACAGGCCAAGAAAAGATAGTCTGCCCTTGGTAACCTGGTATGTTACTCCAGCTAGCCTTGTAAGATTGCCTTGCAGCAGCATTGCCAATCTTATGTATGGAGCCACTGTCTATGGTCCACAGGTGCCTAAGTAGAGGTAGAAAAAATATTGGCACCCTAAAGGTGTTGTGTTGTGGTGTGGGTATAGCCCAAGACGAGTCTCTCTTCTATGTTGAAGGGACCCAGCAAAGTTTGTGTCCAAAAACAAGTTGGACTAGATATGTTCTAGTCTAAAGCAGACACTATGCCATAATGAGGATGAGTGCAACTCCATAGTCTCATGAGACATGAACATCATTGTATGTAATTTGCTTGGTCAAGGTATCCATTTTCTATGATAAATATTACTGAGACTAATGTTTTGTGCCAAGTTGTCTGTAGTACAAAAGTAGCAGTGACCGAAGGTGAGTGGTGAGATTTTTATGAATACCTTACCTTGAGTTTGTTTCGGGGCTTAGCGTCCTCGCGGCCCGGTCATTGCCCAGGCCTCCTCGTTGCTGGACTGGTCAACCAGGCTGTTGGACGCGGCTGCTCCCAGCCAGACATATGAGTCGCAACCTGGTTGATCAGGTATTCTTTGGAGGTGTTTATCAAGTTCTCTTAAACACTGCGGTTACTACTGGCTGGTCACAAGTAATTGGGTGATCAGACAGGAGTATTCCAGCAGATAATGGAAGTCCTGTCTACAGTGACCTTAATAAAGAGTAAGATGAACTTCAACTCCTGGTCCCCTATCATTATATGATCATAATACTTGCCTAGATCAATATAGATGTTCATTGTTTATACAGTATATATATATTTTTTATACAGATTAGTTACTTTTGAATATATTTCATACGGCAAAATACCTTCCCCATTTTTTCTTTGCTTCAATCACAATATAATTGATGAAAAGGTATATAAATTTAGTTTTAGGAAACTCTTTTGATATCATTCGCCTTATGCGTTTCTGTTCTCGTATTGGCATCCTTGGTGATATTTAGTGCCCTCTGATTATCCCGCACATTTGATGGTGCTACATAACCTTCCTGGTTTGGTGCCTTCTTTTTGGTAATTACTTTAGGAAAGACCCAGTTAAATATTAGTTTAGAAATTTGTGGAACACATTACACAAGGTATCATAATATATGGGATCACTGGAGTGGTTTAAGTGTAAATTAGACATACACGTACAGTACTGTATGCAGTACATGAATTGAATTTGGGTGGATATAAATAGGAACTGTCATGGGTCAATAGTTTTGCAGTTTCTCTGGGTTTCTAAGGATGATGAATGCTAAAGGGACTCTTTAACTGCCAAAGTAATGGTAAATATTTTTTTTCATACATTTGAAAACAGATTTTTTATTTCATTTCATAACAAAAAAAAATTTTTGCTCGTGTAGGGTGGTAATTTTTATGATTACTTGACACTTAACGTGTGTTAATCTATCACTTAACCCTCCGAGCCCCTAAAATTAGGTACAGTAGGTAATCTGGTGTTCTGAAAAAAAAAAAAACTATAATGAAAAATATAATGATGCTGGGAATAACACAAATACAATTCTATGCTCATTTTACTTTGGCCATAATGAGATAAATTAATGGAGTCATATTCTAAGGGTTAATTTTCAAGTTAACCTTTTGTAATAGTCATCCTCATCACTTGAAGAATTTCCAGGTCCATAAAAGTCGTTGCACTTTTGTATGGCATCGGTGATTTCTAGCATGGATGTCAGTTAATAGATGGTGATGCACCAAACATGGTACCCATCTTTTTTACTAAGGCTTTCAGGATTTATTTGCTAGAAGTTTGTGTTGAATGACGTCCACATAGAATCCGTGGGACTAATGAATATTATGGAGCACATTTCTCTTTCTCCTCACCCCATTTCTGACTGCCCCCCCAAGGGTGGCTCCTCCAGTGAGTGATTTAATGACCCAAATGGGAGCTTTACGTTTGTGTAATTTCTTACATACAATGCCTTGAGGGGCAAGGCAACCACTGCCGGCCTCGGGGAGTTTATTACAAGCCTTCTTGCCGCAAGGCAAAATTCTTGAAAGGGACATATGCAGCACATACATTTTACAATAACAGAAATAAAAATCTTAAGATAGGAATAATAACGACTTGGTATAGGTAAAAATGATTAAAGCTGTATTATACTGTATTCTATATAATATTTATATTGTAATCAAATATTTTTGCACATTGTTATAGATAAGAGAATAAAAGCATTAATAATATTAAGACTAGAAATATATTTTAATACAGTATCATGCAATATAAAACAGGTTTACACAAGTGATGGTAGGAGCATGGGTGAGAGGATTCTCCAGGTGAACAGACTTAAGGATAATGTCACCATCAAAAGAGCCTGTATTTTTTTTTAAATCATTGGATATTTATTTTTCTAAAACTTTTGCTTCTGATATTTTAAACACTTGTATAATATTACATTCAGCATAAAAGAATATTTATGCATTGCATTTTTTCAAAGGTTCAAATAAATAAAAAAAAATAGACATTACAACAGCAAGACATTTCTAGAGTACATTTTGCTTAAATATATATATAACCAAATTTTGAAAGTAAAATAACATTTACTTCATAGTTTAGTTACAGGAAACAAACATGAACTTTTCAATTTTGGAAATGTGAAATGCGTATAGTATTCTATCAAATACATTTTATATCCAAAGCAGACAGGAGAAAATTATTGTACATAAAATGGCTACAACCTTGGCAAACGCCAAAAGTTTGTATGAAACAAAGTACCTTTAACAGTAATTACAATACAATCCCCTCCCTCCCATACCCCAGAATTTTCAGGCTGCACTCTCTTTAACTAACTTGAGCATTTTACAGATTTTACAAGTATTCAAACGTGTAAAATTGTAATAGTGGCTAAAATAATAACCTTTATAACAAAATGTTACAAGTTTATATAAAACAAAAGTACCTTATTATTACAACAATTTCCATAACTCCCATCATTTTCAAGAAGCAATATGCAACCTCTATTATTTTTAAAAGATTCTTAAACTATGTAAATATGTATAGTACCTGCAACTGGTAGATGTTCATTACCAGTAATATCCTGGCTTGTGTAATAATTGTATGTATGTATGTATTCAAGACTTCAAGGAACACTTGAAATGTTTGCAAAGGAATTTTACATTGTTGATTAGCAGTCATATATAAGGAATGTAAGTAGACTTTTAAAATTTCTAAAAGTTGCCTATATAATAGTAAAATCTATTTGTGCATTATTGGTATACAACCAAATTCACAATTCCCATAATGGCTAAAATAGAAGATTCATTACACTGTCTTATCTTCTTACAACTTGCATATCTCTGAGTTGTTATAAAAGCTGCACAATACAACCAAAAATAAATATTATACTAAACATTACTTAACATGCTTGACTATTAACAGTGGTATCAGGTGAATGCAAAGTTTAGAATTCACAGACAAGGTGACGGGAAATTTTTACGTTTCTACACAAACCCGTTTTGTTCAGTATCTAAATAATTTCCATAAAGGACTACTTTAATGAAGTAAATCTGTCATGCAAGATGAGCATTTGACCCAGTTCTATTTGCATAAAATATAGAATATAGGATACACATGTACTGTATTTGAGCTCTTGGCATAGAACAGATTATATTGGATGCTTAGAGCCTCGTGCAAAATGAAGTACTGTATCGATCAGTAACAATTGATTGGGTGAAAGAAAGTTTAGAAAGTATGGTTATATAGCACAACTAATGTCACAAAATTCAAGTGTATTTCTTGACTTTCCATTCCTGCATTGCATTCCAAGTCTTAAATTCACAAGCTAGAAGGCTTGTATTCTGGTATAGGCAACAATTTTAGAAGTAGACACCATAAAAAAGGACAACAACTTGCCAACAAATCTAAGGCTGTGTTATAGGTTATGGATAAGCACTAAGACATTGTAGCAACATTAAAAACACATTTAAATAGAACTTGATGAACCTTAAGTCTTCACAGGTTCAAATTACTAATTAGATATCTTCAGTATAAAGAAATGTGTGTGTATATACACACATCAATTCAAAATGTTCAGTCTTGGGAAAAATCCATTGTAGCAACATTCTAAAAACTCCTAATGGGTCATCTAGGAGTCTGTATTGTTGACGTATGGCATACACTTGCATATATGATCATTAATCAACACAAGTCCACTAATTTACATCAGCTATTATACAACTTTATTCAGCTGCAATATGTAAGTACAATACACTGAACTCACTTTTAATTTAATTCTTCAGTGCTTTCCATTCTACTACACAAAGTGCTATATAGCCATACTAGCTTAGTCCTTTTTGATAGTACTAACTTTTTCATTCTCATACTGTGTATGTATATTTACTATCATATGTCATTTTTAATATACCATACCAGTATTTACTCGACTAAAATTTATTCAAATTGTCTCATTTGGTGAATAAAACTTGCACTTGTCCAATTCATTGTTATGTGCAATTAATTCATTTGCCTAGTAAAATTCACCTGTTATTTATGATGTAATGAATCAAAAGCCTACATTGAACATTCATGCAATGGCCACTTTAACCAGAATTTAGCATCGTCAAAATTTTAATAGAAAATTTTGGGCAGCATTATGATGTGTGTTAAACCAACACATCCAGATTGGGTTACATACTGCTGTAGAATATAACAGTTACAAAAAAAAAACAGATATGTGATTGAAACCAGAACCAGAGAACATGATAAAAATAAAAGCTGCCGAGAGACAACCATGCACCCAAAGCTGAAGTATGGCCTCTGGACTCGTAGGCCACAAATCTGGCCATACCTTGTACCACCTATTTCATGTACAGTATTGTTGCACACACTAAAGGCAGTGTAGTGGAGGAGCAGCAGAGTTGCTCCACTACATTGATAACACTGTACATTAGGGAATCATCTAGACTCGACTGCCACTAATATATCTACCCTTATGATGGAAACTACCCATTGCCAATTGCTGGATATTAAATGCCCCAAAATCCTACCCTGGCATGTCTGCTCCGCATTTCTGACCACATGATTAAGGCAGTGGTGGGATGAGGACCTTCAAATTGGCCCTCCCTTCACAAATGATGGCATAACAATGACAGGGATGAAAGCCCACAAGACTATTCTTCTTTCTTGAGCCAATCTAATTTTCCTTCTAGCCTACTTTGACTTTCAGAAACCATGCAACTTCTACCTCTACACACTTGCCTTAATCCACCATGACACCAAGATCAATTATAGAGAGTAGAAATGGCCTATGCTACTCTATCTTTTTGGGTTATACAGTATTTTATTATCTGAATAAACTAACTGACACCAGAAGTCAGTTATACTTATGGAGGTGCCCATAGACATACTGTTAACCTTCCTCAAGGATGTGACTCACAACAGTTGCCTCACTCCTGGGTACCTATTTATTGCTAGGTGAACACAGGAATCAGATGAAACAATACCAGGGAGCAAACCCAGGATCCTTGGTTGTGAGCAAAGAACATGGACCACTACACAGAATGGCCCCAGCACCCCCTTCAATTTTTTATCTCCAGATAATGTCAACCAAAGCATTCACAGTAAAGGCATAACAAATATATACTGTACCTCCAAATGTACCAAGATGTCAGCACCCTGCTGCGTCACACAAACCAAATCAAGAGGGAGAGGCATAACAGTGTTCTTAAATCCACATAAGACTTGTTAACCACATTCAGGTAGTTTACGAAGACAATTTGTCAGGGGAATGGTGCGAAAATCTCTAGGGAAAGTGCCTTGTGTCCTGGGTTTCCCAACTGGAAGAACCACCTTGAGCCAGTCATCAAGGACAGATGCTGCCTTCAAAATGTAGCCATTAACATACAATCAATACTGTAAGGTGCACAAAGGAAGTTGATAAAGCCTCTCTTAGTGTACAATGACTGAGCTATCACAATGGAATTACACTGGGACAAGGCTGACTGGAGTTCAGAAAGGGTAAAGCGATTGTTGTAGGGAAGATGAAGTCCAGTGAAAAAGTCCAAGGGGTAACATTTAATATGGGATTTACAGGTAAGGAAGGCAAGTGGGAAAGGGGGGATGAGAATCGGAGCTTACAGCCAAGAAATGCGAACCTAACTCATTCTAAACCAACACTGGATGGCGATACTGGACCAGAGATAGACAGGCACCACATCTGGACATCAATGCAAGAACTGTACTGTAACATAATTAAAGAAGTGTTATATATCACTAGCACCCTATGGCAACGTGTTCAAGAAGAATTTATTATAAATAAGTGAACAATATAGTACTTCTAAATGTCAACTATTTATTTTTTATTTAGAAGTTTTTGGAAGACTGCCTGGAATACTCGCCCAGTAGGTCTGGGAAGACAAAATTGCGTGCATTTGGCCTTGTAGATTTAAAATAATAAACCAAAATTATATTGTAATTGCAACTACTCACGGAAGGTATTCCTGAGGCCAGATTCACCAAGCAGTTACGCAAGTACTTACGAACATGTGCATCTTTCCTCAACCTTTGACGGCATTGGTTACGTTTATTAAACGGTTTACAAGCACGAAAACTTCCAAATCATCTGTTGTTATTGTTATAAACAGCCTCCTGGTACCTCTGAGCTCATTAACAGTTGAATAATTGTAAACCAAGCTGCTAAAGATTGAGAAAAGATGTACAAGTTCGTAAGTACTTGCGTAGCTGCTTCGTGAATCTGGCCCCCTGGTTCCCATGCCAGGCCTGTATATTCTGGTATGAGAACCAGCTATATATTTATTCTGGTATATACATACCCATTATGTATATTCTGTATATCCCTGATTACCAGCTTTATTTGCCATTCTAAGCATTGCTTTTTGGGTGTGGTACACACACACAAGCTTTTGTATGCCTTTGTTGATATATCCACACTAAGGACATTTTTACTGTCCATGTTTCAGCTGGCTCCCTCTTATACCTGTACAGTAATGTACTCTTGGCCTTCTCTTCCCTCTTCAGTTTCAAGGTTATTGTCGTTACACGTTTCATTTGTATTATATTTTCCATGAAATGCATGTCAGTGACACTAGTTGGTAGTGTAAACCTTCACGTATATCTACTACTTTCCTGAATATGAGAACCATATTTGCAGGTTTCTGTCTCCTTTGGATAGCAACCCATTGTAGACTAGCTATTGGTTTACATAATATCTGTAGCTATGACAAAATTTGGTGTGGTTTTACAGCTTTGTATATACAGTACCAAATTCCACCAAGTATTTTATTTTTTTTTTAACTCCCATTCACAATGATTATATCCTTACATTATCGCTCGTTTCAGACCTTTACTCGGGCTCAATCTGAAAGTGCAGGTTTTATAATTTTTCCTTTGCCAGATAATCCATTCATATATACAGTTGATTAATTATCTAATTTGCCTGCTCTTTAATCTGTTTCGAATTGCCTTTTAACCCTAGTGTACCAATTTCTTGCCTGTACTTTTTTAACCATTAGAAGTGGCTATAGAGAAATGGTCTTACCTGCCTATACATAAAAAATATAAAAATTCCAAGAAATAATTTTTTATTATAGAATTATTAGCATATATGCAGAATGTAAGAAAAACAAGTTTTAAATATTTATCGTTCCAGTGAGTGGAGGCACTCTGCAAGGCTGTGTCTGGCACTTGTCAATGTCTGGTGCTCCACCTTACTGACTGTTTTATCCTCTCATGTTTCACTGATTGTTTTATCACTTTTTTCTTTATTTATACCCACAGAGAGCTTTTATATCCATATTTGCATCATGCATGTAATACCCCAGACAATAATTGTTTAAATCATCATATGATGAGTGCATTCCCTTAGTAATATTCATGACAATAACAGCATTTGTAACAGGAAATGGTGGCAGGATTTTTTCATGGGTCAAGGTAAACACCATTACATCCACATTTGCATCATACATGTAAAGCCCAGACAATAATTTTTTAAAATCTTTCTATGATGATAACTGCATTACCCTGTGCATCAATCATTTACGATAACCGCTGTCTGATGGGTTAATTAGCTCTTCCTTTCTCTCTACCTCTTTTCTACATAATGTATTTTTCTGTGGCCTCTACATTTATTGACTGTGTACATAAACATTTGGTACACAATCCAATATATGTAGAGGTTATACTTTACTACACACACACAGGCAGGCATAAGATAACAATGATGGTACTTAATCTTGTTTGTTCTTTTAGTTCTCTCTCCCAGTGGACTTCCTCTTTTCTGGTAACTTGATAGTCCCTACAACAGACTGTTCCATTATGTATGTATGTTTACCTACTTGTGTCCATGGGGAGGCATTGGGCTTGTCTGCTTTTATTCACACTCTCATTCTCTTTGCGTGATAAAGGATGGCCCTTCCCGTGCCAAGTTCAACTATTTCCTCTGCCCGAAACGCTTTGCGTCATAATGGCTTTAGGCATTGTATGTACTAGCTCTATATATAAATCCATCAATGTTTGTATCACACCTTGTATGTATGCACTTTACCTGAATAAACATTTGAATTTGAATTTATTTTGGGGGGAGTAGGAGTGAGTTTGTTCATGTACCGTATAAACAATAGATGACATTTAAGTCGGTATGATGACAAGGCAAATAGAAACCTGTATGAAAAAATATATACAAGAAAATAATAATATTCATACTGGGTATTTGTAACAAATATACTTACAATAAAGCCACATGGTGGGAAGATTTAAACACCAAGGGAAGAGATCATCTTCTGCAGAATTTAGTCCTATCATTATACAGTACAGTAATAAAAAAAAATGCCCATTCCAAAAAATGCATGAATTGAAGTTCTGACACCTGGACAAAAAACTATGAACCTTTTCCCTGCAGTGTATGGTTTTTTTTTTATTATTATTTTTTTTTATATATACAAGAGTTGTTACATTCTTGTACAGCCACTAGTACGAGTAGCGTTTCGGGCAGGTCACTGGAATACGATCCCCACCACGAAGAATCGTTTTTACAACCAAGTACACATTTTACTGTTGAGTTAAACAGAGGCTACAGTCAAGGATTTGCGCCCAGTAAATCCTCCCCGGCCAGGATACGAACCCATGACAAAGCGCTCGCGGAACGCCAGGCGAGTGTCTTACCACTACACCACAGAGACTGGTGGATATGTGGATACTGTATCTCCATCCCCACCCCCATGCACATTTAGTGCTTGGATTTATTATTAGCTAGGCTACTTAATGCTCTAATGCAAATACTGTAATGCTTGCTACTCTAATTTTTTGTTAAAAAAATAATTTTTATACCAATTTCATTATAATAAATACACATAATACAGTAATAAAATGTAATAGTAGATAAACCTGTGAGAAAACAGTAACTATTAACAGCAGGCTAAATGTACAATATCACACGGCTACATACAATATGAAGGATGTAAAATCTGATTAAACATAACAGATACAAAATTAAATAAAACATTAACAAATTTAATAAAATTTAGCAACTTTCATAATTCATATCACATTACAGGAGTTAAACTCTTGAGCAGACGGCATTTCCTCAAGAGCATCTGGCATAACCACACCTGTAGGGAATTACTATTTCTAAACACACTGACCCTCAAGTGCTATATTAATCCTCTAATAAAATATTTCATGTTTAAATTTTCAAAAAATCATGAAACACTGCCCAATAATATTACTATTTGTGTAGTACTGTATCACAATATATAGTTTTTAATAAATCAAGATGTAACATTAAAGCTTATGATATAATTGTGTGTACTTCGAATGATTAGATAAATATATAAGGAAAATAATTGTTTATAACTATATAACAGATCAAATAAATGTCAAACAACTTTTCATTATATATACAGTACATAAAGACTATCACATACAACCTATTTTTGCATGAAAATCATACAAATTATAAGGGGTCTTGAAGTTTGACCTGTTCCATTTCATAATGATGCTCATGGTAAACAATTTTGTAATAAAGTATAATTTGCCAACACATACCTAAATGCTACTTTTCCAGCTTAAATTAATGGATACCACAAACTTTGTGACAGCTATGTACTCCCACATGTTAGATGATGTCCATCTCTGTACTGTTGGCATCCTTAGAACAATTTTATGCTGCATCAAGAATTACACTCTCACTTTCAGACATGGCTACAGCATCTGGATTCAATCTGAAATTTACAATGAAATTCATCAGCAGATCAGTAACCATAGGGTATATATCAACCTGTGTGATAAATTAAATAACATATACTGTGTGTGTATGTATCAATCCTCCTCAATCAGGATATGAACCCAGGCAAAAGTGCTCATGAAGTGCTGGGCGAGTGTTTTACCACTGCGCCACGGGGACTACACAATTGGGGATTCACATGTGGTCAACTTGTGGCTTTAAATCTATCTTTCTGTGGTCTATAAAAATGCCAAATTCCAACAAGAATGGTTTCTAAAGTACAGATTAAATACACAAATAAAACTCTATTTAAGATTATAATAAAGCTCTAAGATACCTAACAAACCTTACCCATCAGCCAATTCCTTGGTCTTATTCTGCAGTCGAGTCTGAAGCATATTAACCTCTGCCTTGAGAGATGATAAACATGATTCTAAATTGGCAAGTGGAAGAGTAGATCGCATTGGACGGGCAGACCTCTCCATCAGCTGGGTTAAGGCAGTTAGATCCAGTGGAGATGGAGAAGGAATGACCCCTAATTCTGACTTAATGGTTGAAACTTCAGCTGCTCTTGCTTCCTCCTCCTCTTGATGTGCCTAAAATAAGGGTATAATTTTATCGATACTACAGTAATACTATATGCAATACACCTGCAAACATTTTGCAAGCAGGTTTAATACTAAAATAAAGAACTAGTTTTGGTTCAATTGAGAAATATATTTCCTAGGGCATACCTATCAAGAAATAAACAGGATGATGTAATTGAGTATACTCTGGTGTAATGAGTACACACTGTTGTATTAAGTACAGTGGTACCTCCGTTTTTTAATTTAATCTGTTCCCAGAGATATTGAGGACTCTTGTTGGCATATGGAAGACAGTGAGGAAGGGGAAAGGAGGAGAGGTGTTAGTGTTTGGAAGGGGAGTCCCCCTCCAAACAAAACTAAATACTAAATGATGACATTAACAGCAGTGATGACATTTCTGGGGTACTCTGTTGCTTCTGGTTGTGGCTCACTGCTTGTTTGTCTTACCAAGAATCTGTCTATAGACACTTTTTTTCTACGTTTATAACATCTGTGTAGTAAGGCATCACATTGTCTCACTATAAATGATCTCTTGTTTTTCCTCCATCGTCATCCTCACAGCTATGTTCTTAGGTTGATCTTTATCACTGACTTTCTTGGAACCCATGGCGTGATATATAATAAGAACTTTTATGTTCAGAAACTATAAAGGTACAAAAACAATTAAATTCTTCACAAAGAATTCTAGCGCGGTCGTCACTAGGCAGAAGACACTGGTAAACTGAAGTGCACCACACGCTTGGTCAGCCCATACGTGTATCAACAAACTAGACCACCGAGACAAACCTCGAGTACCGAGTCAAATTTTTTTAAGAAACTGAGCTCGAGAACCGAAAATTAGAAAACGGGCATTCGAAAACCGAGGTTCCACTGTATAGGCCGGTATGATAAAGTGGAGAGGAAGACATGGGGGGAAAGGAGGGTTGAGGAGTAAAGGAGGAAAAAGGTGGAGAGGGAGAAGTAATGTGGTAGTAGGTGGAAGTGTTTGAGAAAGCTATCCCTAGGCTAGTGTATTTTCATAATAATAATTCATTGTGTCAGGGGACAGGCAGCTAGAGTGCATTTATACATGTTAGACTTGTATAGAAGTCGAATTACCTGGGTATCAGTAACCCCACAACAAGCTTACTAACTCCTGGGCACCTATTTGCTGCTAGGTAAACAGGGCAGTAAGTGATTGGAAATGTGCCCAATTATTTTCGTTCCGCCCGGTATTTGAACCCAAAATTCTCCATCGCGAGTTGAGCGACTATTACCAGGACCCTCTCAACTGTGAGCAGGGTAGTGTAATGAGCACAGTATATGCAGGTGACAGGAAATGGTGTTAGATGAAAGAAGTGGTGGTTGTATGTAATATTTGCTTATGAGTGTTTGTAAGGTGTAATGCTTCAATTTTTGTGTCCCATCTCTTTTTTTTCAAATAGATTTCTAATTTCAAAGCATTTTGAATTATGTCTTACCTGCATTTGAAGCTGTGCATGAGATCTGAATCTACCCCCTTTATTTCCTAGTTGATTATGTTTTGTTCATTAATTTGACAAACAAAAAAAATACTTTATATATAATATTAGTGTAACTCACTTGGGTACTGTACTTAAGCTTCCACTAGTGTCCCCTTGTTCATACACCACCCATGTATAATGGGGGGTGTATAATATTGATGCATAATGTAATTATATATTCATAACAGAATCCAATCATTAGGATAAGTGCCTACTACTGGAAAAAACAAACAAAATTTAAATCTTTACATTATTCTTCTCATATTAAGTATTACTGTAATTTTAAATAAAGGAATTTTAAGCTAATGATTTTTGTTTATAATACAATATGTTTAATGACCTTGAGCTGCCTCAGAGTCGAGTGTAGAGCAGTGCGCAGTTCGGTGGCTTGAGTCTGATAACTAACTCTCTCCTGCTGGACTTGGTCTAGCTGCGAGGTTAGTACAACCACTTCTTGTCTGGCCCGGGCCACACTTTGTTCTAGCTGGGTCACTTTTACCTTGTGGCTGGAATCCTTGGTCACCAACTGCTCCTTAAGTTGACATGCCTCCTCCTTGCCAACCTTCACTTCCCCTTCAACCACCTGATAACAAAATGCAACTTAGAACAGAGGCTCTAATGCTTTATTTCTTAAAAAAAAAAAATCTTATTAGAACAAATATGAAAAACATTTAGAAAATCACCAGTAAAAGACCCAAAGTGTTCTTTATTTAAACACATTATTTCTACATAAATATGGCACTAGATCTATTGGAATTTTGCTTAGTTTTAGATCATAAAATCCAAATCTGATATAACCCAACCTACTCAAATACGAAATAAAAGGAAAGCGATAACGTTTCATCTTCTAGATTCATATCAAGTTCAGATTCAATAAGTATCCAGGATAGCCCAAATCCTTTCCTTTAATGTGTGTGTGGGTTGGGTTACTTGTGGTTTCATGAACACTATTGAGACATTATCTGTATCCAAATCTCACTTTTGATATACTGTACTGTACAGAAACAGTGTCTACACTTGGGCATCTACTATTATTACACCCCAAAAACAGCGATACAAACTTTAATATGATTCTCCAGAGCAGCAATTTTGGCTAGAGACTCGTGGAGATGCATTCTGGCTCTCTGATTGTCCTCTATTACTGCCTGTTTTTCTTCCCTAAGCTGCTTCATCTCAGCAGACAGAGTCTCGCACTTAGTATCCGCTTCAGTCATACAGAGTCTGAGCTGTGTGTTCACAGTCTGCAGCTGGTGTGCACTCTCCTCAACTCTCACAACTTCCTCTTCCTTAGTTTTCAATTCTTGTTTTACAAGTATGAGATTATTTTTTGCTGTATCCATCTGCAACAGAAAACCCCAAAACTCTCCAATTATAATAATGCTGAAGTCTCTGTAATAAACTACAAAAAATAGTTGAATATTCACCTCTAATAAATTGCAATTAACTGCTCCTTAAGCTTGTAAAATAAAAATAATCAATAACCTTTGGAAGATATAATCACTAACCAGTTATTGAAATTTATCAACACATGCACTTTTCTCTAACATATACTATACTGTAATTTATTTTGCCATTACCTATCAACTCTCTCTCTCTGTTTAACGGCACCAGTTCCTTTACCGATGATTACTTTTATCATCCTCATAATACTGGTAAACACTGAGGGCTTATCATACAGATTATGACAACCTCAAATCTCAGGCAATGTACATTCTAATGAATAACACAGACCTCTCTCCACTGCTGAAGGATCTTTCAACACTAACCTCATGTAGGATACGCTCATTCTGGTCCTTCATCTCTTGTATAGTTGAGGAGAGTAAAATAGAGTTCTTTTGCATTTCCTTCACTTCCTCTTGTGCACATTTTAACTCCCTCTCTAACTCCTTTAGTTGTTTATCCTTATGTCTGATAGTCTCCTCCAGATTGGTCACTTCTAGTCGTAAATTGTCAGCAGCCTTGCATATTTCTGTAGATCATATGGGTATAAATGCTGTACCCCCAAAAATTATAATGGTTATATTTAAAGATTTATGCAATGAAAGAAAATTATGTATTACTAACATGTATATAAACAAATGCAAGTTTACCCAGTACATGATGAATTTTAAAAGGATAGAAAAAGAGAGAACCTAACCATGTGCAGAAAGAAGCGTGTTCGAACACGTACATGTTTTACAAAACCATTACTAGACAAGGAATAACAAGAAATTTGGTGACTCGATCCAGAACTCATGGCGCACCACACTAACAAGCCTGGTGAAAGTCTGAAGCATGAGAGTCTACCAGAAAAGACAAAAATGTTTGGTGAAGCCTTTGTCTAAACACCAACAAAGACTGACAATTCACTAAAGACTTGTAGTGTGTCCAACTCAGATTGGAGCTAGGAGCACAGCTCATAGTAACAAAAGAACTTGAGAATATTTGCAAGGCAAAGCTGGCTTTGAAATCTGCCACAAGAATGAGCACTCTTGAATATAAAACTACCACAATGCCACCTTATAAGAATTGTAGCATAGGGGGAATTATTTTTTAACATTTTTATATTATTACATTTTTTTGCATTACATTTACATGACTGACAGAACAGCTTTTATTTATTCACAGAAAATAACAGATTCCCCCCTACTAGGAGGAAAGCAGAAACTAGCACCAGTCAAGAAAAAGCTGTAAAACCAAACTTTAGGAAAACTTAGTTCAGTTGAGATGTATGGTCCTTGTCTCAACAGGATCATCAAATTTGCCTAGCATATTTAGGAGAAAGGAAGAGATGGAACCTGTGAAGCATCGAGACATCCTACCGCTTTACCAGAACAGTGAACGAAATGTGAGGTAGAAATGAGGAAGGATCATAATCAAATTGAGAAGAAAGGAACATCTGGGCCCCAACTTGGAGAAATGAGCCATTTTGCCTGGTAACCAAGGACCATGAAAAGTCAAAGAAAACCAGGCAGAATCTTTGGATGATGCCTCAGGTCAGGCCTCTATATTTCAGGAAAAGCAGAGACCTACCACCAAGTTTGGCTGCTGGGAAAAATTCTGACCTAACACTTTAGGTGGAAATTAATTCAATATTCCTTTTGAAAGATAATACAGTACATATTTTGTTCTAGCTACCTTTCTAACATCTAGTGTAAGGTGATCCCAGTTGCCGAGACGTTGACAATAGATTAGCAATTAATAAACGTTTGTTGTGCAGGGTAGCAGCACATATTAAAAGGTTAGAAAATACTGTAGATAAGAAAACTAAGGAAGATATTAATATCTACTATAGAAGAGACTTAAAATTAAGGTGCAGCAGTGGTAATGGTGTAAGAATAACATGTTACACACACACCCTGTAGTCGTCCCATCTCCTTCTGCAATGTAAGCGTGTTGTTGTGATGGTCAAAGGCCTCTTGACGAGCATGTCCTAATGCATTACGTACTTCCTCTACTTCACTTTCTAAACCAGCAACTTGACCTTCAAGAGATTCTCTCTGTCCTTCCAACTCCATACATCTGCAAAACCAATTGGTTTGATACCTTCTATACATATTTTGGTTGAGTTAAACCTAGCTGCAACATCTATCATCTAACTCTTATCCTCTAATATTCTACAAATATGTGCAACAAATAAATTCTTACCTGCATCTCAGCACAGCATATCTTTGTTGTTCTTCATTCAGCAAATGTTGATGATCTTCAGCTTGTGCCTTCATTTCCTTTTCTGCCGACTTTCTTCCCTTCATGTGCTCTTTAAGTTTCCTGGTCAGCAGTCGAACATTCGATTCATAGCGTCGTTTTTTCTCACTAAACTCCTTTGCTGCAACAGTTATCTTTGTTTGTTTTTCTTGTAATTCAACCTCCTTTGCATCAATTATAGATTCTAAGTCTTTTAATTTATTTATCAGCGATTCATTTTCAGTTAAACCTTCTCGTGTAGCCTGGGTTTCCTGCTGATTATTGCAGTTATAACAAGCAGTGGATGATAACTTCAAGTGCTGTATCCTTTCAAGAAGTTCATTAATTTGTTTTTTATGGAGTGATTCGGGAACCATTTCATTAGAACACACATGTGATACTCTGGAACTAGTGCCAACATCTAACCCTTCTTGCTTAATTGATTTTAACTGATGCTGAAGATCATGAATCTGTTCTTCCTTGTTTTGCAAAGCTTTTGATGTTACGCTAACTTGTGCTTGTAGATCTGCCATCATCCTGTCAAACTGAATATCATTTGTGACCGAGGTTTGTGAAGTGTCACTAAAGAAATTTAGATTGCTCATGGAGTTTGCAATTACATTTTCTGCAGTGTCACTTGTGCCTGAAACTAATATAGATTCTTGACCATTTGAGAAAGACTGGTGATTTAATGGTTCTAACTGTACTGCTGGTTGAGTGCTTGTGTCTCTTTCGGGAATAAAGTCTCTCAAACTCTCGTACTTGGCCATCCACTCGTCCCTCTCATTCTCTGCTATCTTCAGTTGTTGTTGACAATTTGAGAGTTCTTTATGTACCCTTTCGTGTATTTCTTCAAGGGTTAAAATTTTCTGTGCTTTTTCTCTTTTATCTGCATGTAAAACTTCTGCTTGAGCACAGAGTTCCTGTTCTCTCTGTTTCAGAGTTTGAATATGACTTGTTTTTTCCTTCAGAGATAAGTTAAGAGAAGATAGCTCATTACATTTAGTATTTAGTTTTGACTCCAAATCTTTTAACTTAATTCTGAAAGACTCAAATTCTTTAGAATCCTTAACTGATAATTCAAGCTCCTTGCATCGTCTTTTCAGAAAGTCTAAATCCTTTAGTTTGGCTTTCATTAAAAAGTTTTCTTTCTTGACGTTCTTCATTGCAGATTGCAAACTCTCTTTTTGTTTAATTGTTTCCTTCAACTTGACTTCACAATCAGATAGTCTTGATTGCAAACTTACAAGTTCCTTTTGCAAACTCTCAGAACTCTTGACTACTTTTTTTGAACCATTATTATGTTCTCCTGAAGTTTTACTCTCTTTAACCAAAGATTCCTGGGTAATGACAGTTTTCTTTAAGTGATTATTATCAGCCAGCAAGGTGTTTACTTGACTAGATAGCATATTCCTCTCCTGCTTCAGTTTTGCTAAGGAATCCTCAGTGTCTTTATGCATTTTCTTAAGTTTTGCCATTTCATTTAATCTAGCCTGCAATGTATTATGCAGCTCCATAGCCTCTTTCTCTTTTTCAATATGCAAAGATGTTAATTTCTCCTCTATTTCAACATTCTTCTTGGATGTGGTCTCAACTGTAATTCCTAAAGACTTAATGGTTTCCATCTTATTTGTGATGTTTGATTTATAGCTATCTAGTTCCATAACAATGTCCGTCATCTTCATTTCTAGTCTTCCCTTTTCCTCTTGTGCAACTTTTAGTTCTTTGTGTAATTCACTGCACTTTCTCTCTAAATCCATCTGACTTTCATAATTCTTTATCTTCTCATCCTTAATTGCCTTAAGCTCCCTAGACAGCTCATTGACCATTGTGTTTGCATTTTCTTTTTCCTGCAACATCTTACATTTTTCTTCATCGTGTGTCTTTATCAAGGTATCAATTTTCTTCTCAAGGTTTTGCTTTAGTTTACGTTCCTTTTGGATGCTCTCTTTCAGATCCAACTTCTCCTTTTTCTGTAATTTCTCAAACTCTGCATATGCTTCAGCATCATGCCTCAAGACTAATGTTTCATCCTTAAGGATCTCCCAATTTCTTCTCAACTCTATGTATGTCTTCTCCATTGTTGAATTCTGTTCATGGATAACATAAAGTTCCTCATCTTTTTTTAATATAGCTTCTCTGTAACTTTCCAGACTGCCTTGCATATTCTGAATCTGTTCTTCCCTTAAGTGGACAGCTTCATTTAGTCCCTTCTTTTCAATCTCCAATACTTTGGATGTCTTCCTCAGGAAATTCAATTCTTTTTCCAACTTCTCTTTTTCTGAAGCAACCTCTTTGAGAGAGAACTGCAGGCTTTCCACCTCTTCAGCAAGTCTCTTCTTCTCCTCATCTTCTCTTACTTTCACTTCTAATGCTTCCAGCTTCTTTTCTAAGGATAGTTTTGTGTCACTATTATCCTTTGCGTCTCTCATAAGTACTTCAATCTGCCGATCTTTTGCAGCCAGATCATGTTTCATTCTGTAAAAGCTTGAAGAAAGCTTCGTCATATCTTCTCGCACCTTTACAATTGCATCATCTACTTCTTTCTTTTCACTGTTTGCAGCAGCAAGGGAAATCTCAAGCTTCAATTTTTCTTCCTTAAGTGTGGTAATCAGGAAGTCTTTATTTTTCATTTCTTCTTGATAATCCTTTGCTTTCAACTTCATATCTCGTAAAGTCTTTTCAAGATTTTCAATTCGAGTATCTCTCTCTCTAAGAACTTCTTGATTAACAGCTGAAGAAGTTCTTAAATCTTTAAGCTCACACTCATATTTTGTTAGAAGAGTACATTTATGCTTAAGATCATCCCTGAGAAAGTCTAGATGTCTTTCTGCATCAGAGAGATCAAGGCGAAGTTTATGTATTCGGTGATGGTCCTGTTCTAATCTCTGTCGTCTGTCCTCCATGAGCTTGGTATCGCTACCACGATCACGCTCCAACTGAGAGAGTACAGCTTCTCGTTCAGCCATGTCTGCTTGCAGTGCTTCTAAATGTGCAACTAATGTTGCTTTTTCTCTGACTGCTCTTGCCTGTCCATCTTCAGCCTCATGGATTAAGGTTTGTACTTTAGTCTCAAGAGTTTCCTTCTCTGAAGAAACTCTAGCCAAACTTGCTCGTGCCTCTAATAACTCTTGCTGTAAGCTTGATCGTGCAGCTTGAGCCATTTGTAGTTGCTCCTGGTACCATACATTTGAGGTCTGCAATGTCTGCAATTCAGTTGATGATTTGTTTAAAGCGGACTCTGCCTGGGTCTGTGCTGCAGACCTACTTTGACATTCAGTTTGCATTTGTGATATGTATGATCTTAAGCTCTTTATTTCTCCAATCATCTGGGTTTCACTGTCTCTTAATTGTGCCAAAGACAACTCTAGCTGTTCATTTTTTCCTTCATGATCTAAGATTTTTCTTTGTGATATTTCATAATCTTTACTAATTCTTTCAATCTTGCCTTCTAATTCTTTTGTTATCTCCTCAAGCTGTTTATTCGTTTCCTCATATTTACTTAATCTTGCCTTCATTTGCAGCTCTGCTTCCTTTGCTGATGTGGCTAAACTTTTACAGACTTCACACTCTTTCAGTGTGTTTGACAATTTAGTCTGTAGTTGACTTTTCTCATAAACTGAGTTTTCAAATTCTTGCTTAAGAAGTTCTAATTGTCCTTCTAAATTAGCTCTATGTTTCAAAACTTCAAAATACTGTTTCTGATTAGTTTCTGTAACTTTAGTTTGCATTAACTCGAGTTGTTGCTGGTACAGCTCTTTTTCTCGTACAGCATTCTGTACCTGGATTGAAAACCGATGGAGCTGTATCTCCAAGTCTTCTTTCTGGGCTTGAAGGTCACGAATTACTTTTTCATAATCAATAGAAGGCACTGGTTTTGACAGGGAAGGTTTACTGCTTATTTTGTTAATCATTTTTTTATAATTCTCAGATGGTATTACTGCATCTGATACAAGGCGTTTGATTTTGATATATTCATCCTCATATCCACTGAGATCAGAAAGTGTGGATAAATTAGAAGAGGTGTCAGAGAAGTTGGAGGCAGCTTCATTACCACCACTAGATCTATCAGAATGATTGTCAGAAATGTTGGAGACCGATTCTAAAGCTTGACGCATCTGCATTATTGCTGCTGATAGAACTGGTCTAGATATAGGTCCTGCAGCAGAATCATTTAGTGTGTCATTTAGACTGGTCTTTGATGAAGAGGCTTTACTAGGAGAAATAGGAGTAAGCTCAGAACTATTCTGAGATATGATAGTATTGTCACTTGCTACAGATGTACAAGCAGACGATTCACTGCCTAAAGAAGACTTTGAGGCATAATGATTACTTTCTTGGTTTTCCTTAAGTTTGTGTCTATTTTTCTTGTGCTTCAATTTACCAGAAGGTGGCTTTGTATTTTGCTGCGTCTGACCCATATATGAGCGTTTCTCTACAACAGTTGTGATCGAACTTGCAGGGTACTGATGAACTTCCTTGTATACTTCAACAGGCCCATGATCACTCATGCCTGCTGGAACTGTAATAACCCTACTTTTACATCTAACTTCCATTATGGGTGGTGATGTAACTTTTTGTCCCTCTGATAATAAATATAAATTCTCTTGTTGTGCTACATTTGAAGGGCTTGTTCTTACATCCTTTGCTGTCGGGCTAACAAGCTGAGTGTTGTACATTCTCTCAGTACTACTGCAGACATTAGTGAGAGTTTTGTTATGACTTTGATGAACTCCTGCATGTAAAACGGATGGTAAGGATCCTAAAACCCTTCCAGAACTGTGACTTTCATCAACAGCACAAGTCACTGTTGATAATGGTCTCTTTAAAGTATAATTGGAGAGTTGTGTGTTTACAGCCTCTCTTGGTGTTACACAACCAAAATCTTGAGAAGCTTCTGTGTTTACAGGCAGCTGAACTATGACTTTCTTCTCCATGTTGCAGACAACTTTATTTAGGACTTCTTTTGAAACTGGTGGAATCCTCAGTGGACCTATTGAGAAGAAAAGATGTCAGTATCTGGATTTCTAGTTGTCTGAACACCTGCAGGCACCAACTGGTCTAGATAATTAAGCTTTAATAATATATTTCCAAAGCAATGACTATAGGTATTGTGGTGACCTCACCACCCACCATGTGCAATATGCCTTACATACTTTGCATTGTAGGGGTGGGAGGATTGGGCATGAGACTATAGTCGTTCCCAAATTTCTCCCCACTAAAGGCAAAATACAAGATATTGACGACAATAGACAAAGTGGATAAAGACTGCCTTATTTCAAAGTGTAAGACAACAGAGCATGGTGGCACAAGTGAAAGTTATTAACACAGATGATCCATAAAAATTTAAGGAAATATTTGGATGGATTGAGAGTGGTAAACAACTGGAGTGAACTTTAACTACAAATGTTGGAAGAAGCCATCACTCACAGCTTTAGGAGCAAGTATGACACTACTCGAATGCTGGGAACTATAAATGTACGAGATACAATAGTTATGGGGCAAGATTCTAGAGCTAGATCTTGCTTCTCATCAACACAACTAGATAAGTACCTTGTATAAGCACACGTGTCTAATATCAGAATGTGTAGAAGGGAACAGGTGGAATCCAAGCATCATACTCGACTGAGCAAATGAAATAATAGAAAGTATTTCAGTCAGAGATTAAATGGAATACACTAAGAAGTGAAGTGGTAGAGGCACGTTCCATACACAGATTGAAATGAGGTGAAAAATGCTATAGGAACTTGTACACCAGTCAACTGAGAGTTAGGAGACAGGATATGTGAGCTGATGCCCAATCCCCACATGCCTAACTAGGTGAGTAGACACAAACATGGTTAAATAAATAAATAAATAAATTATAAATAAAACTTATAAAACTAAATTATATAAAATAAATTAATACCATATTTAAAAACTGACAAGAAGGTAGCCAGAAGGCCAAAAGTAAATCTGGATGTGGTAATTATAAAATACAAAATACAACCCCCATCATTTTATTTCTATAAACCAAATTTGAAGTCAGTGACCAGAGGTTGACATCAGTTTCAACCACTAAATTTATGATGTATATGCAGCTTTAAAACTATTAGTTACAATGATGAAACTTTACACTTAACACAGTATTGGCTGTAAGACATGCAAATTTGTATTTAATATACAGTATTTATAATGTTCTTTCAATTTACAGTGGACCTTTGGTTTACGAATTTAATCCATTCCAAGAGATGGTTCGTACACTGAAAATTCATTAACAGAAACTAATTTTCCCCTAATAAGAAACAATGTAAATTGAATTAATCCATTCCACACACCCAAAAAACCAGCAATGAAGGTAATGAAATACTGTACCATTTTCTGGGTGAGTCCCGGAGGCTACCTGGAGCCAGGGAGTCTGGCTCCAATGATCGTTTGATTTTTTCCTTGAGAGTTGGGGAGGGGAGTTCTGCCTCCCTGTTCAGTGTTCAGTTGTAATTTTCTTACCAAGTGGGTTTGTTTTGTTATGTCTACCTTTTTGGGTGCCTAACCCCAGTCGACCGCTACAGCTTTATCTGGGCGAGTCTTTTCAGCAAAACTTTGCAGTTCTTCCCATACTGCACACATTTTCTTAATTAATGATGATTTAATTAAAGAGTTGTATTGCCTAGCTAGATCAACAACCCGCATACCTTCTTCATGTTTATGAATGATCTCTTGTTTTTCCTCTATCATCATCCTCACAACGATTTTCTTAGAGGTTTAACTTTACCAATGACTTTCTTGGGACCCCTCGGTGTGATATATAATGAGAACATTTATGTTCAGGAAACCAAAAATGCAGGAAAACAATGAAAATCTTCACAGATAATTCAAGCGAGGTCATCACTAGGTGGGATACACTGGTAAACTGAGCATGCCTCATCCCTGCACCCGGCAGAACCCACACGCTCGACCCATACATGTATAAACAAACTCATATTCCGAGGCAAACTTCATACTGAGTCAACTTTTACGAGGACATCTACTTCGTATACCAAAAAAATCGTAATCTGAGGCATTCGTAAACAGAGGTTCCACTGTATAATAAAAACATACAAATGTGCTCTAATACAAAATGCCTTTGGGAATTATTTGCAATAGACTACTGGGATTATCCCCTTGCAGGGTATGTGTAAAACATTCAATGAAGTCACAATGTTGGTTTTGAGATATTGTGAAAGCCTTAACCCCCTTTCCCCAACCATACCATAGGCTATACATAGCAATAACTATAGATATGTTCTTTACACCACCTTACAAATGTTTTAACCCTTAAACTGCTCAATTACATGGGAAGAGTGTCTGTCCATATGTACTTCCTTTGAGGTTATTATAACTAAAAGCATCTGTTCTTGTTCATTTCATAGGCAGAACTCTAAGTTTTACTCATTGCCACTACTGCTGCCTTTGTAATGGTGGTTATCAGCACACATCTAACTACTATACAACACCAATAAGCATTGTTAGCAGCCTAAGGTTTAGACCAGTCCAGCTGCAACCAGAAAAAAGCACATACAAAGATGCCACAAACATAAGTTGTAAACAGAATTAAACAAATTAATTCACATCAAAACCAGAATACAATAACACAAGATTTCAAGCCAATATGTGGAGGTATTCTGCAGACTATGTAGAATTAATTCTCAAAATAAAAAGTTATGGTATCCCCTTACTGGGAATACCCAAATGTATATCAAGATGAGATGGAGATGTGTGTAGAATTTACAGAATGGTCACAAACAATATTTGCTTGATTTTCTGTACATAATAAATTTCACTTAAATATCATTCTGAGAATGCGTAGTAATAACGTTTTTAATTCTAAAAAAGCCATCTTAAAAAATTAGTTTGAAGTAATTGACTACATACATATACACGTCCATAAATACTGGACAAAGAAACTATTACCCTAAAATAACATTAAATGTGGACTCACCTATAAAAGTTTCAGTAAGAGCTAAAGCTGAGGATGCTTGATTCAGTGCCTTCAGAGCATCACAAGTATCAAGAGACTTGAAAGATTTACCCAGAGCATATTTGGCAGGCTGAAACAAATTTAAGACAAAATACATACAGCTGAAATTTGGTTCATCATGCTGAACTTCCAAGAACTATGCAAGTGGTATATAATGCATGGTTATATTCAACACATTAGCTTTCAACAAACTTGCACAAAATCAATCTGTCAGCAGTTCAAGCACTGTAAAGAAACACCAAAGAGAATGTGTCTTATTCAAGATGATGTTTCACCTGTCAAACTGCCATTAAGATTTTTTTTTTTTAGATTTTAATAAAGTCCTTGCAAACATATTATCATCTTAAAAGTCAATACTGCATTTAGTGTTCCTCTACATCCATGTCAACAAGTTGTTCTATTCTACCAAGAGTGTGAGAAACAATGTGTTTGAGCACACGTGTAAGGCTATGAATGGCTGGGCGTGAGTTATGCAACAGTAACACACACACTCAAACAAAGTTAACCAAAAGCACAAAGATAGTTAATATGCCATGCATGTATTTCACAGATAACTACCATAACTACCCAAGTGTAGTTACAAGATGAGAGGTACACTCTTGGTGTCCTGTCCCTGTAATATCTGTCATGTGGCGCCTTGAAACTATTGATGGTTTTTGGCAACCATCGCATTCTCACTTAACCAATTCCAACCTTTTACAACAATGTTGGCAAAAGGGAACTTTCACATGTTTTTTACACCTTTGCTTCTTCAGCTTGGTGTGCTTGCGTGTGTGATGCTACAGATATTAAATAAAGAAAATCCTGTCATTTAAAAATTTCACAGTTTCTGGCTAGAATGTGATGTTTATAATAAATTAGTAATATTTAGTGACTAAGCTCTGCATCTGTTATTTGAATAATGTTCTCTATACACTTAGAAGCACCACAGAAAGTTAATAAGATGAACAGTGTGTATAAATCATGAGGAACATACAGAGAACAGATAAAGCTGTGAAGTATTCAAAACAAAGAGTACTTTAGTAGTAAACTATATGACAGCAGAGATGACAAAAAAGATAATATAGACAGTAGGCCCCCCCCTATAATAAGTAATTAATACTTGTAGTAAGTAAGTAGTAATTAATACTATAAGTAAGTAATACTGTACTTGTAGACAAGGAAATAATACGAAATAAAGGAGGAAGTCAAAAGATGATGAGGATATTAGAGCACTGTGAGAGTATTTTGACAGGTTAATGGCATTAAATAATACTGTATTTTGTATAATATTGAAAAGTTAAAAGATGTATAGAGATTACTAGTAAACTACAGAGTAATGGATCATCTTTACCTAATTTCACACTTCAACAGGGTGAGGGAGGTATTTCCTCAGATTAGATAAGAGCAGAATAAGAATTGATGGTAAAAAGATAACCAAAATTAACACCAATCAATTTATATAATCTTCCACTCTAAAAGTCCTCACAGAACTAGCAGTGACACACTACACCACACCAGCCTCTGCAGCACTTCCCAACTTCATAAGACTAGGTGTGTAACGTGTTCTTCTCGAGATGTCACTACAAAAACCATGCCAAACAGATGCTCCCTTATAATATAAAACTTTGCCTAATTAATACATTTGATTACATAGATAAGTTCATGAGGGATATCAAGTTAAGAATATTAAGAGATATAAACCTAGTGTATAGGCCTCACATGAAGAAATGGAGTATTGAACGAGTTGAAAATTGTACCGAGATGAGAGAGAAGACTTAAAAGTGAATGTGGACAAAAGTAAAATTATGGAGAAGAAGAGGAATTCTGTTTGTGAAATAAACGTGAATGGTGAAGTGTTGGAGGTGATCCATTAGTTTAAATGCCCGAAACACTTTGCGTAATAGTGGCTTTAGGCATTGTATGTACTAGCTCTATCTATAAATCCATCAACTTTTGTATCTTACCTTGAATGTATGTACTTTATCTGAATAAATACCTAGAATGTGTGACTGCTAAGAGGAATTCTTTGTAGGCTTAGGTGAGCGTTGCATTAATCAAGTAAGGATTAAGTAAGCTGGTGTAATGAAAACCCTAATTATGAAAAATATAATGGGAATGGGTGCATTCCAAGGTTCGCATGGAATGACTTTTGTATGGTTTCAAGATGAGAGTGTGGTATGAATGTGGAAAATCAAGCATTAAAACAGTAGATATAGACAATCTAAGAAACATTTGTAGTGTTAGGAGAATAAAGGACGGGATGAAAGTGTTATGGAGATGTGTAGTTCAAAGACTAGCTCGAAGACTGAGGAGAAGTGGAAGGGTGGGAAGAAAGTATGTGTGTGTGTGTGTGAGGAAGTGGGAAGAAAGTGTGTATGCACGAGGAAGTGGGAAGAAAGTGTGTATGCACGAGGAAGTGGGAAGAAAGCGTGTACTGTACATGCAAGGAAGTGGGGAATGAGTGTACAAGACATAGGAAATGGTAAGGGACAAAGCTGGGTGGAAGTGGTTTGTAAGAGAACTGTAAACCATATTTGTAAAAACAGTAACATAATTTATAATCCATGAGGGGCACTGAACACCTCGTCTTATGAAGTGGTAACGTTCTGTGGATGACTGCTGGAGTTTGGTAGTGCTTCTTTATTTGTAATACTATATATTTTTTTAAATGATATAATGAGTATATATACGTATATTAATTTTTTTTTAATATTTATAACCTCCTTTTACTATATTACTCACTTTTTTCCTGCCAGGGTGATGCCTCCCCTCACTCTAAAAAGTGGGAATGTATGTAAAAGGGCAAATTAATTTTGACGGCAAGCAGTGTTCAATAAAAAAGTTTATAGTTCCATCATTTACACTTTTGTTAGTTACAGTACAAGTACTTGGCATTCAGAAGCTAACAAGTTGCAGAATTAGTGCATAGCTATTGCTAAATACTAAAAGGTTATTCATGAAAATTAACACGGTACAACAAATTCTGGCATTATACTAATGATACAAACCATTCTGAACATAGCTCTAGAATCCCTCACCTTTTGAACTTCAAGTGGGGTTGAAGCTGAAGCAACACCTGGACATGTTGCTAGGTCATGAGGAGAACCAATGCACGGTGGCCGATACCCAAAGCGATGAACCTCGGCCACTATCAGGCGATGTTGGTTACTACAGCTTCCAGCACCACTACTACTAAAGCTACACTCTCCACTCCCTCTGCCACTACCACTAGCTAAACTCCCATCACTGTTCCAGAGATGAGAGTCTAGTTGGGGGAGATGAGTACCAGCAATTTACAAGCAATAATTAAATGACTTAGAAAACTATACCTGTACAATGTTTAGTTAAGGTGCATGGAAATTATTAGGATCTGATTTTTTCTTTTTGAATTACTGTACTGTATTAGGATTTGTTAAGCAAAGCAAAAATTTAATGAAGTGAACCCAGCTATAACTCAAATACTGTGTTGTGAATCTCACATACCAATGATATTGTAGAGTAGAGTGCGGCTAGGAGGGGCAGAGCTAGTTGGTGTGAAGGGGGTTTCACTTTTTTCCTGCAATAGTGATGCTTCTGATTTATACTGAGTAAGGTCGTTAACTGTATGTTCGTTGTGTATGTGTTCGCACAGGTCGTCTGAAGAGGCAAGTGACGTCAAGTTATAGGACTGCTGGGGTGATATATGTTGGTCGTTCAGATCAAGCACCCTCTGTTATAGAAAAGAAACAAAATACATTTAGTATCTTCAGAAAAAATAACCAGTGTCGAATGTAATGAAACACCATTTTCTGGGTGAGTCTCGGGGACTCCCTGGAGCTAGACTGGGCTGATATGTATATATTAGACCATGGCATCAATCAATTTGATTGGAGTTCTAGCCTACCGGGGACCACGAGCCAGAATCTGGCCCCCCTTAAAGAGGCACGAGGAGCAATGACCTATAGAAACCCGTGGTTGGAAACATTCTATGTGTGCATTCTATGTCTATCACAGCCTGATCAACCAGGCTGTGACTCATACGTCAGGCTGCGAGCAACCGCGTCCAACAGCCTGGTTGATCAGTCTGGCAACCAGGAGGCCTGGTCGACGACCGGGCCGCGGGGACACTAAGCCCCGGAAGCACCTCAAGGTAACCTCAAGGTAATCAAGCAGAACCCCACAATCTGAAAACAAGCAAACAAGCATAATATCACTACCGCCACCGCATTGCTGTCTGCACAGCTTCCCCCCTCCCCGGGAGGGGAAAGGGGTAGCTCCAGACCCCTCACGCCGGCTACCCAACCCCAGTTTTGAGGCCGATGTGTTGTGTGGCGGTCGCTGGACTCTGGCTCTTGTCTCTGAGCAGTGCTGTGCCTTTGCAGTATTGTTCTGCTGTGTGGTGGTGTGCAAGCGAGGAGTAATTCATAGAGTACTAGGGCTGTATGCGCCTAGGGGCCATCTTTCCTTGATGCCCTGCTAGTACTACCCTTGCGGCTTGCGTTTCGTTTCCACAAGTTGTTCAGAAACTACCTCTGTAGGAATCTTTTGCTGCTCGATGATTGCCTGCCCTTGGGGTCAGCAGGGGTTTTCATTTCAGGAGGGGGGAGCTGTGCAGACAGTGGCATGGCGGTGGTTGTGACTTCTTGCTTGTTTTCTGATTGTGGAGTTCTGCTCGATAGTTCAGTTTTTGGTAGCAATTTTAACCAGGTGGAGTCTGTTTTGGGTTGCCTTCCTTTCTGGGTGCCTAACCCAGTAGATGGCAGACAGAATGCTTCCAACCACATGGAGGTTTCTATAAGCCATTGCTCCTCATGTCTCTCTGAGGGGTGCCAGGTTCTGGCTCGTGGTCCCCAGTAGGCTAGAACTCCAATCGAATTGACCAAATGCCACGGTCTAATATATACATATTAGCCTGGTATAGCTCCAGGGAGCCAGAGGGGCTCTACACAGAAAAAAAAAACAGTAGTCTGCAGAACATTCTGCTGAAGTCTCTCTGCTACACTGAGAGATGGCAGAAAAGAAATACAGATACTTGTATACACAAAACATAAAATCCATAGAATGTACATTTTATACATTTACTTAGTGTAAATTGCATTCCTATTTTAGTTATCAGGAACATGCATGACAGAGTTGTGGTACGCATAGGTAGTTTTTAATATGCTATGTACAACCAAGGCCTCAAACCTTTGGTTATGAAAAGCAGTATTGCTTGTTGATTGCTGCTTTAAGTGAGCATTATCAAATGCTTTGAAATAATAGTTTCTACATCATGTAATGTTTGTCTAGATATCTGGCATTCAGAACAGAATTTTGGGCCCAAAATCTTAAGAAATTTTTTACCTGTTCAACATTAGGTCACCATTAGGAGTGCTATAATGATTAATACTAAATAAAAAAAAAACTTCTTTTCTATTAGAAATGTAAAAGAAAGAGAAAACATGAATCATTGAATCGTGTTTTCAAGTACTGTTTACAGTAAAAAGGTCTTCAGGTAGAAAAATCAAATGTTGAACATAATTAAAAGTTTTTTTACTGGTATAGACCTTCAGTATCTCTCCAGTGCATACGTGTTTGTACCAATAAACCTTAGGACTGTGTTAAGCCTCTGAGATCCACACTGCTGGAAGTCAGGACCAGAATCTGGGTTCCTATGAGGCGAGGAGAGCTTCGGGATCTGAGATCTATCCAAAACCAGCCTTTTATTCAAAAATGATCTAGTACTTACAGCAGCTATTGGCCAAACATAAAAAAATTGTCCAGTGAAAAAAAAAAGTTCACGTTTTGCAATATTTCAAAACAGTCCACCAACCGGGCCTCCTGGTTGGTGGACAGGTCAACCTAGATGCTGGATGCAGCTGCTCAGTCTAACATATGAATCACATCCCTGTGGATCAGGTATCCTTCGGAGATTGTTTATTGAGTTCTCTTTTGAACACTGCGAGAGGTCAGCCAGTTATGCCCCTTATGTTTTAAACGGAGAGTGTTGAAAAGTTTTGGGCCCTTGATGATGTTAGGTCAGTAGGTCGCTTTTCAGTGGCTCCTCAAGCTAACTCAACAGAAAACAAAGAGGTGATCATGGAAAAAGGGTATCAGCAGCAAATAACCAATAAAAACAGCATTAGGTAATCTGTTGTAATATGATAAGCCCAGTGCTTCCAAGGAAGTTACCATGTATCCACCCAGAACACATTAGCAAAGAAAGACAGAGCCACAAACTTATGGACTTTGTGCGCCATTGGAGAGAATGCAGGCAAGCTAAACCTAACCACCTGGTTTACAATTGGAGAACCAATTGATTCCTTGTTCCAGGCCATGGAACAAGGAATCAGAGACATCAGTTTGAAAATGTGTTTTTAATCCACTTACACATACACTGAGTCCCCTCACTTTAATTCTATTAATAATATTATTAATAATGTATAGGCAAATCAGACATCAAAAATAGGTTACAAAAACATAAAAATTACTTAAAAAGCAAAAACAGTAATGCAACACAAACCTGAAAGTCTGTCAGAGGGTCAATCACCACATCAAAAACTTCGGAATCTCTGTTATTGTACTGACTGGCAAGATCTGTGGAGTGTAATGTTCCCGAGTCTCTGTTTACCCTGATGTCACCAGCCTCCATCGTTACTTAAGGTAGCATAACATTGCCATACCTAAAAGAGATACATACTGTATTCAATTGCTTACGACAAAAACATTCTTGGCATAAACACTGGAACACAGGAGGTTTACAAGATGCAAATCCTAAACAGGGAAATTTATTCAACTGGGAAAATATTTCTAACAAAGTTACCAAAAATGGGAATAACAGAATCACAATATCATTCTGTGATGCTGTGGGCATGGCACAGTGGATCATATGCATATCACCTACATAACAGATTAGGCACTGTTAGGTCAGAACAGTAACTGGATAAAAGATTGAACTGACAGCTTTACCCTATTAATTTAACCGGCTTTTTGTCCCAAACCTGGGATATCAAACCATAGACCAACTTAATTTTCCATTTTTACCTTTAGTACCTTAAGTCAAATGCAGTTTTGTATGTCAAAGTTAGGGTTTATTTTATATAAAGCTTCCTGGAATCTTTTGCACCGAGAGGTTCAAACTGAAACTAAAAAAATCACTAGGCACCCAAATTCCAACTTGCTCCATCTAGCCAACCAGACTTTTCTCACAGGTAAATATAGTAATATGGTTGTCAGGGACAGGAAGCCTGTACTTATGCTTCTAGGTCTCCATAGGTCAATAAACAACAAATTCATGGACAAACAAACCACATCTGTTATCTGGTTAATCACATCTGCTTGATACCTGGTTGATGGAGTTCTGGGAGGTGTTCTACTCCCCAAGCCCGGCCCGAGGCCAGGTTTGACTTGAGAGAGTTTGGTCCACTAGGCTGTTGCTTGGAGTGGCCCGCAGGCCCACATACCCACCAATTCCTACATGATTATAGGAATCTACACCAAATGTTATTGTTAAGAGAAATTGCAAAACAAATTATTATTAATTTGTTTACACAAAGGTACAATGGGTTGGCGAGATTACATAAGATTTGTATTTGTCCATTCTTGCAAAACCACTAACAGTACAAAATAATGTACTATACTGTACTTATCATGCTTTTAACTTACAATTGAGTATCTCGGGTTCATTACTGTACTATTATTATTATTATTATTATTATTATTATTATTATTATTATTCTGCAATTTCTCTCGATGATAATGTTTGGTGAAGATTCCTACAATCATTTAATTAACCAGAGAACAAATAAACACTATGATGTTAACATGACCAACCATTCTTGTACAGCCACTAGCATGCATAGTGTTTCAGGCAGGTCCTTAATCCTAATTTTTCCGCGGAATACGACCCACCAAATCATTTAACAACCAGGTACCCATTCACTGCTGGGCGAACAGAGGCTACAGTTAAGGATTGGCGCCTAGTCAATCCTCCCCAGCCACGATACAAACCCAGGACAAATCGTTCATGTAGCACCGGAAAGTGTGTTACCACTGCACAACAGGGACTGCTTTAGTAAGGACTTTAATAAGACAACACCTGATACAGGAGGTCCTGGGCAGGCTGGTGACACCTGTCATGGGAGGTCCTGGGCAGCCTGGTGACACCTGTCATGGGAGGTACTGGGCAGCCTGGTGACACCTGCTGCAGGAGGTCCTGGGAGGCCTGGTGACACCTGCTGCAGGAGGTCCTGGGAGGCCTGGTGACACCTGCTGCAGGAGGTCCTGGGGAGCCTGGTGACACCTGCCGCAGGAGATCCTGGGCAGCCTGGTGACACCTGCCACAGGAGGTCCTGGGGAGCCTGGTGACACCTGCCGCAGGAGATCCTGGGCAGCCTGGTGACACCTGCCGCAGGAGATCCTGGGCAGCCTGGTGACACCTGCCGCAGGAGATCCTGGGCAGCCTGGTGACACCTGCCGCAGGAGATCCTGGGCAGCCTGGTGACACCTGCCGCAGGAGATCCTGGGCAGCCTGGTGACACCTGCCGCAGGAGGTCCTGGGCAGCCTGGTGACACCTGCCGCAGGAGGTCCTGGGCAGCCTGGTGACACCTGCCGCAGGAGGTCCTGGGCAGCCTGGTGACACCTGCCGCAGGAGGTCCTGGGCAGCCTGGTGACACCTGCCACAGGAGGTCCTGGGCAGCCTGGTGACATTTGCTGCAGGAGGTCCTGGGCAGCCTGGTGACACCTGCCGCAGGAGGTCCAGGGCAGCCTGGTGACACCTGCTGCAGGAGGTCCTGGGAGGCCTGGTGACACCTGCCACAGGAGGTCCTGGGCAGGCTGGCGACACCTGCTGCAGGAGGTCTTGGGAGGCCTGGTGACACCTGCTGCAGGAGGTCCTGGGCAGCCTGGTGACATTTGCTGCAGGAGGTCCTGGGCAGCCTGGTGACACCTGCCGCAGGAGGTCCAGGGCAGCCTGGTGACACCTGCTGCAGGAGGTCCTGGGCAGCCTGGTGACACCTGCCGCAGGAGGTCCTGGGCAGCCTGGTGACACCTGCCGCAGGAGGTCCTGGGCAGCCTGACGACACCTGCCACAGGAGGTCCTGGGCAGCCTGGTGACATTTGCTGCAGGAGGTCCTGGGCAGCCTGGTGACACCTGCCGCAGGAGGTCCTGGGCAGCCTGGTAACATTTGCTGCAGGAGGTCCTGGGCAGCCTGGTGACACCTGCCGCAGGAGGTCCTGGGCAGCCTGGTGACACCTGCCGCAGGAGGTCCTGGGCAGCCTGGCGACACCTGCCACAGGAGGTCCTGGGCAGGCTGGTGACACCTGTCACAGGAGGTCCTGGGCAGCCTGGTGACACCTGCTGCAGGAGGTCCTGGGGGAGCCTGGTGACACCTGCCACAGGAGGTCCTGGGCAACCTGGTGACACCTGCTGCAGGAGGTCCTAGGGAGCCTGGTGACACCTGCAGGAGAGAATACACTCACCACCATCACCGCTGGTGACTCCTGGTGTGTGGCGCTGCTCACATGCTGGCACCAGCCGCCTCCACCAGCTGTCTGGCACAAGTGTCTGCTACCATCTACGTGGTGTTTACTCCCGCACTTCTCTTGTTTCTTCCCTCCCACCACCACTTCCCTCTATCTCATATTTTATTTATTTTTTTTATATTTTGTCCCAGAGGGGGAGTTTATTGGGCAGTGTCACTCATGCTGTGAGAGAACATGCCGCCATAGCATGTATTTGCAACTCTCCAAGAGTTAGATTAGTTTAGTTCATTTGTTATGCACCCCATACCCATCTTGTGGGTGGTAGTGGAAAGGGTTACAGAGGCACCTAATGGGCTCAGGGACTGAACCACACAATTCATTTAGCTAAGCAAGTTGTATGTTTGTCCTGCACACTCAGCAAGAGGGAGCAAGCCACCTTGTAGTGTTCATCTTGTCACTTGTACCTACCTACATGCAGCTGGGACTCGTCACTCTCAAGTGAAAGTAACCCACAAGTTTATGGAATATTATGTGGGTGCAAAGTGGGTCAACATCTTAAGGACAGGTTTTTATATAGGACAAAAAATGTTTTATCCCGGTGTAAGGTTTATTTTATACTACACACACACCTGTTTAAGACGGGTGCAGTCTCTTCGTGAATAATACGAGATATCTGGGATTCTAAATTAATTAATCTTGGGAGGTTCAGTTCCTGGGCCCACTATGTGCCACTGTAATATTTTCCACTGCCGCCCACAGGATGGGGTGTGAGGTGCATAATAAATTTCCTTCCTGCGAGAGTCTTCAATCCATTTCAGTCTCTCCAACACCCACGTGCATAGTTTCTTGTGCAATATCAAAAGCTTCCATGGTGTCAACAAACACAGTCGGGTATCTGACTGTGGCATTGGCTAAATAACTGCACCGTCCTTTAACAAATCTGCTATTCTCTTCCCCCAGTCTACCTATTTTGCATGAGAGGCGCTTTAGATTGATCCTGTCAAGCCTTTTGCACCTGTACGATACGAGACTATATATGGAATTATTAGGATCTTTGGGTTTAGCGATGACGATAACTACTTCAAGTCCCCCATTGTGAGGTCTCACACTCCCATATCATCAATCATCCAGCCCACCAACCCATATTTCCTATCATCACTCCCACCTACATCACAACTCTCCCATCAAAATTCTCCAACCCATATCACTTGCTATCCCTCCCATCCACATCCCTTCCACCCACATCACTTGCCATTACTGCCCCCACATTCCTTTTCACATCCTATATGACTTTTTGTCTGGAAGTCTTGCACATTTCCCACCCTATTTTAGTCATCTTTAAACAATTGAGATCCCAAGACAGTTCGAGCCTTAGGACACACTTTTTACTAACATACTGCCTTTTAGATAATGATATTTGTCTGACTTTACCTGTATGTATTCTAACCCAGTTTAAAATAGTCCCTTTAAAGATCCCGGAGGGAAAGTTTATTGGGCAGCGTCACTCATGCTGAGAGAGAACATGCCGCCATAGCAGCATGTATTTGCAACACTCACCAAGAGGGAGCAAATGTAAATATATAAATATTTTGATACAAAGATGCTGTATCGAGGGAGGGTTTGTTAAGGGTAGGTGGGTGATTGGGTTTGGAAAGTGAGTGTGGTAGGAATGAGAAGGAAGGTTGGGAAAGTGAGCGGATGACCAGTTTCTATTAGACAAGCCACCTTCGGATAGTGATAAAAAAGTCTTCAGATGTATGATCTGTCTTTAATTATTATGGGTGAGAAGCACTACGATGGCCAGATTATTAAACCACCTATAAAAATGATTAGGTAAAAATGCAATACTGGAAGTAACATAACCTGCACAAAGAGAGTACCAGGGCTCAGTCCCAACCACCAGTAAGACGCGCAACCTATAGGAAAGTCGAGAATTGTTTACAAAATCTATTAAATTTAATCTTATTAAAAGTGTCATTTATTTATTTCAAAGCAAAACTTCAAGACAACAAAGGGTTGAGGGTGAAATGGACGAATATGCAGGGGGGGGATCCATTTTCCAGTTTAGACAGCACTAGGGAGGAAGCAAATGGAGGAGCATTTGACTATGCACACCTAGGACTTAGGCAACAAAATTTTTAGCAAGGTTAGGGTCTCAGCAGGCTGGAGGTGAAGCAATGCTCGAGAAAGCTTGAGGAACAGAGCAGAAGTGACATCTACCCAGAACACAAGCCAAAGCGGCTCTGCCAGTGCCGCAAGGACTACCAGGAAACTTCATACTGCTGCAGAGATGAAACTGGAAGGTGGGACACCATCAACAAAGCCACCTGATCACCATGCAAGTGGTGATAAACCCACGTCAAAAAGACCAGACCCTCGGGTTCGGACACCGAGCAAGCAGCGCCTGAAACCAAGGCTGGGCCGGCCATCAAGGGGCCAACATTGATTGATTGATTGATGAAGATTAAGCCACCCAAGAGGTGGCACGGGCATGAATAGCCCGTAAGTGGTGGCCCTTTTGAGCCATTACCAGTATCAAAAGATGATACTGGAGATCTGTGGAGGCGCAACTGCACCCTGCGTGGTGACGGGAGATGTCTCCCGGACCAAATGGTGGGCCAACAAGACTACTCTTCCCTAGTAAGTCTCCAACCGAGCCAGTAAGGAGCAGGACAGCAATTCATTAAATATCCATGAGTTAAGCGTTTATGGCCAATATATAAACTAGCCAAAGCCGTTTCCCATCGTCTATTAGTATTAAGCTTTAGTCATTTAAGTTTTTCATGCCCGAAACGCTTTGCGTAATAATGGCTTTAGGCATTGTATGTACTAGCCCTATCTATAAATCCATCACTCTTTGTAAAATCTCTTGTATGTATGTACCTTACCTAAATAAACGTTTGATTTGATTTGATATTACAGTGGTAGGAGAAAGGCCAGAGGGATATGTTACTTTTGAGAGTGCGCAGTTTGTTCCTTGTAACCTCAGACGTTAAATAAAATAAAATTATGTAAAGTTTTAACTACATTTTATTACAGAAATTTACAAATATTTATTGTCTATGGCATAGTTAAATAAGTCACCCATATAATGGGGAAGATTAATTGGGTATTCAGGTCTATTAAGCAGAACTACTCTGCACAACAAATCATTATTTTCTAAGTACTATACTGTACTCTGCTTTAAATCCCAACACCACCAAAATGTCTAACCTTTTTTAATCAAAGGTTGATAAAAATAACAAAATATGTATCAATGTTTTCTATAAAATTTGAGTTTTCTGTAATACACAATGCACTAAAATATCTAGACAAAAAATATACAAAATCATTAATAAAATACTACTGTACTTCTACAAAAGAAAAAAGCTTATATTCCATACTTCCCTTTTATATTCTTGGTTGAACACCAACCATATTAAGTAATGTAGTGTCCAACATAAACTTCAATCAGGCAATGAGGAAATATCATCAAAGCCTGTAGGTATATAAGCTAAAAAACATGTGTACAAAGTGAAGGGTACATTGTCTGTTATGGATGGCATGACCCTTCAATGGAAGTTTACCGGAAGCAGGAAATAATACGTCATGAATTATCCAAGTACATAAATATACTTTCATATTTACAAAACTAATAAAAGATATAAAACATACATTCATACACAAAATAAAAATGTGGATTTTCACAAACAATAATTTCCCGTAAAAAAAAAAAAAAGTAAAAAATTGAACATTTTTCATGTTAAAAATTTGAATGAAACTTTAAACCATTTACTGTATTTGATATTATTTATATTAATGACTAAATTGCTATCTTGAAAAATAAATTACTTAAAGTGGACAAAAAGTTCTGTTTACTATAATGTATCCTATTAAAGTAAATACTTATTCAAGAATTCTTATGAAAATAGTGAAGCTATTTTGTACACACAGTTATACATTGATCTTAAGTGGTGTGCCAAGTATCTTTGATGTCTCAAATCATCATCACACCCACAGTCAAAAAGTTAGGCCATACCAGAAACACCTTAATTAAAAATTCTGTGAAAATCTTGGAAAGCAATTTTTTGTTCTTTTTTCAGATTATATTTCTTGTTAACCAGGGCAGCATCCATGAGATTTAAGTGATAGAAAATCAATAAACCTTGACAACACTCTGTATAGACACTTTGCATGTGACATGCAGCCACAAGCATTTTGTTGTGGGGCTAATCCTCTAAAAATGTGAATAGTATAGATGATTTTTCTCAGTTTCTAACATATATTTTAAATTGTTTTAACAATATTCAAAACTTAATAATATAATTACAAGCATGCAGAACCATATGTGTAAATGCAACTTTCACATGAGAATATGCTTGAAGTTGGTCATGCCAGTGCTGACAATTGTCCAGTGGACAACAATTAATTCTTCTACGGTTTACATACAAGTAGAGTATTGTACACTACTCCGTTTCTCACTGTGATGGGATGGGGAGGCACTAACCAGGAGAAAAAGGTGAACAATGCAATGAAAGCAGATAGAATACAGGAACATGTACTGTAAAATATTCAAAAGTATAAAATATCTCTTGTCTATTAATTATTTGTTGTTAAGGAACTTTTAATAAATGTTGATGGTTTAAACAGTGAACTATCCAGCAAGACTAAGTGAGATCTGTATTTCTTACTGAAAATGGTGTTACCACATTTATGGACAAGTCACTTCATATTTCCTGTATGAATTGAATCACTTTTTGAAAAATTTAGTTGCATTACAGTACTATATCATTGGACAATTAGCTGATTACACCATCTGTTTATTAAATGTGTTCAACATAATAAAACATCCTGTCTTGGAGGGCCCCTCAGTAGTTTCCCAGTGCTTAAATGGTGGTTTCAGTGCTACAGTTAGCACTAGTTTCAGGTGCTACAGACCGTGTGAGGATTAAGGCCCATGCTGTCCGACCAGTAGCCAGGACCAGAATGTGGAGCTGTCAATGAAGCAGGGAGGCTTGGGGATCCGACATCAACAAAAAATTAGCACAACCAACCAAAAAGCTTAAACAAAATAAAATACAAAGCGTACGTCTAAAGTCTAGGGATGCAGGTATGATCCCATCGTATGACCTCAATATTTTCTCATAGATACATCATGTTCTTGTGATTTCATTGTGCACTGATGTGGGTGAGACAGCGGGGAACATTACTATCAACATCCAAGTATGAGCAGATAACATTCATGGGGCGAGAGATGGAGAATGTCACTACTAACACCTAAGTGTGGACATGTAACAATGATGGGGTGAGAGATGTGGAATATCACTATCAACACCCAAATTTGGGTGGTTATCTTGTAAAACTTGGATTGTGGTGCTGGATGGTGCCTTCCAAACTCCAAGTATGTCGGGTAGAACTTCTGTGTGTGATACTTCTGATATCATCATGGTTCAGTCAGTAGTGTGCGCACAGCTGGGGAGTCCACGCAAGCAGGTTCAATCCCATCGTACAGCCTCAATATTTTCTTAAGAGATATCACGTTCTTGTGATGTCATTGTGTAGGACTAGGGATATTTACCCACAGCAAACAATTATCTACCTTATTTTCCCCGTTATTATTTCTTTCTTCCAAGCAGTGATCTGTTTTGTTTCACCTTGATTTTCTGGTCAGTTTTCATCAGGTCTGGGTCGATCTTTGATTTCTAAACTCTCCTCACTTCTTTGAGAGAGCCAGATTCTGGTCCTGATTTCTGATAGGTAAATGCAAGTTTCAGAGACCTGGTGCAATCCTTAGGCTCAGTGATATTAAGTACTGCGTAAGTACTGAGGAGCTAATGAGAGAGCCTTCCTTGAAAACAAACAGAATAAATGATCAACAGCTAGTATTTGGGTTAAAATGGAGAATATGTACCCAGTAATTATTGTCAACATGACAATTGTTGGCACTGGCATGACCAACTTAAATCCACATCCAGTATTATCACATAAAAACATGCATTTATACAAGCACTTATACATGCATACAATTCAAATAAAATTTTATGAAAGTACAGTATATAAAATATGCAATATATATATATATATATATATATATTTTAATTAATAAGCTGAAAAACTAAAAAAAAAAAAAAAAATACTACTATACAGTACAGATATATGCATTTTTTGAGATTAATCCTTTAGCTGAAATATTCACATAAAACAGTTATTTTAATGTTTTTGTTAGAGGTAAATACATCAATGTAAAATACAACATGTAATATTCTCACAGCTTTGCTCATCAACAACTTTATTTGCCTGAAAATATAAAACCTTGTCTCTGCCTCTTTATCTAATATACAGTACATTCCTTTACAAAAAAGTATAGATGCGCCTCTTTATATTTACTGGCAGAATACAGCTAACGTAGACACTTGAAGCTGACCAACTATGGCTACACTCGGGCCAGAACTGTGGCTATAAATCTGCATTACGGTACCTCTAATGCTTGTCTTCATATCTTGTTTTGAAGACATTGTTTTATAATTACAACAGAATTTCAGAGAATACTTGAAAAGTATTACTAATAAGTGGTGCTTGAGAAAATGTTCTGGTTTCTTAGCATAGGCAAATAATCAAAATACTGTATATGAATACTATAGCCTATGAAATACAAGACGTCTGGCTTCCCATACACACACCATTACCATTAACCCACCTCATATTCTCAAGGAAAGGGAATGCATCAGACCAGAGAAAAAAAGTCGGGAATAATATAGTAAAAGATTATACATATTAAAAAATATTCATTTATCTGTTAACTTTATCATTGACAGTATACATGTGATAGAGAAAAGAGCACTACTACACTCCAGTAGCCATCCATAGCAGCAATTTACCATTTCATAAGACCAGGTGTACAGTGCTCTTCATGGATTGTTGTATACAATACAGTGTAACCTTGCTTGGGCGCATTAATTGGGATCACACCTATTCCAGCTCTCTGAGAATTACTTCAAATGTTTGCCATTTACTCCAAATTTAATTTGTATTACTTACCAAAAGTGATAGAACACATCTTTGTGCATACAGAAAAACATATAAATAACACATTAAAAGTATAGTGGAGTAAAAAACAGAAAGCTAAAAAGAGTAATACAAAAATACTTTGTACAGTACTAAGGATATAACCAGGTTAGCTCTTGTTAATCTTTGTAGATATAAACCACTTAAAAACAGCCTCATCTAACTCTCATACTTTATTGAGAATTGGTAACTTGGAGCTATTGCCACCAATTCTCCTTCACTTGGCACTGAATTCCAAAATCTGAATTTTAGGGCACCATTACAATCAGAAATTGCACTAGTGCTGATACTATGCTCCTATATCAACTTCCTCTTGCTCCAGTTTACTCATTTCTCTAAATTAAATTAATCTGACTACTTTTTTAGATAATCACCTCATCACCTATCAAACAATGAAATATTGAAAGAAAACGAATAAGAAATCTTTGAGTAACGCGATGTTATGCCACATGATCACAGAATAAAGACACATGTCTGAGACAAATCAAGTTAAAAACCAAAATTTAAATTTTTTTTTTTAGGAAATACAGTAACATCATTATCTGCCAATCTCGGGAAAATTAACAAAAATATTCTCCCATCTTTACTTTCGCATAATAGCATAAAATAGATGATCATTCCACAGCTACAAAGACTTTCTCAAGCCTCACCCCTTTCTAAAGCAAATGAATAACTAATCTATTTTCTTAATATTTCATACATTTAAGCTCCTCCTTTTACACCACTAGGAGTATAATTTTTTTTATTTTTATTTAATATAGTTTTGGTTACAGCAGTCCTGTGTTAGAAATACTGTATAATGATGTGCTGTGATAGGCGAGACGAGGGTGATTGTGTGAGGCCTGGAGCTGAGAGTAGAACTTAAGCAAGGCCAGCTCCTCAAATGGCAGACAGGAACACTGATTGCAGTGTGCCTTTCTTCTCTGTATTGCCACGTTGAGATGCTTGAAAATGAAAGTTAGCAGCTCTAGGGTTTCTTGCTGTTTTGATTAGCTTAGAACTGATTCTTCATAACATGTGCTTTTACCCTAGGCACCAAGTGTTTCTGAAGCAATAGTGACAAAATTGCAACCGTGATATAAATCTCTGTACTTACGAGACTTGCCTGATTCTTTGTGGGTGGCAGCACTACCTGATTGTGTAAAACTGAAGTCAATATAGGTGTTAGCCATGGTTGATATGCACGTGTAGTCCCACACAAACGCCTCCCATTCTTCAAGGGGAGGCAGTGTGTGTGTGATCCCATCTGGGTGACCAACAGGCTCATCAGTTATGGGGTATTAGGTTACAGGGCTCTCTCTCTCTCTCTGCTGGACAACACTAGATTCCAACTCACTGAACAAGGTTACACTGTACAAATACAATCACTCCCAATAAATAAAATTTGTTATCTGAATATGAACTGGCAGCTCTCATTCTTCTAAATATTCTTGTATGTACTGTACATATTTAGTATTAATTATATTATTTAAATAGTGAATAGAAGTCCACAACAAAATAAGGGAGAATAATGTGTACTAAAAATAACACAGAGGTATTTTAACACTATGTACATAAATCTCTTGGAAAAGCAGATTAATATCTTGTGGTCAGGCTCAATAATACATTTTACAAAAATCACCAAGCATGGTTTCTGTGGCAAATTTTGTTTTGTATTACTCTCTTATGACAAGAATCATTAGACTTACCATATACTTTATGGTACTGTATATGGTAGGAAACAAGTACAAAATTACATATCATTCATAACATCAAAGCAGCATAAATAAATTACATGATTAACATTTGAAGATAGAAGAGTCCCGGAGGATTCCTGGAGCTGTACCGGGCTGATATGTATATATTAGACCGCGGCATCAGTCAATTCGATTGGAGTTCTAGCCTACTTGGTCTAAGCCTGGTTGAGGACCAGGCCATGGGGACGCTAAGCTTCAAAATCATCTCCCTCAAAGTAAGGTACTGGGGACCACAAGCTACAACCTGACCCCCTCAGAGAGGCAGAGAGGCCCCATGTGATTGGAAGCATTCTATGTCTGCCATCTACCAGGTTAGGCACCCAGAAAGGTAGGCATCTACTGAGTGCCTAACCAGGTAAACATTTCAGCTGGTAAACATATCAGCTCGGTATAGCTCCAGGGAGCCAGAGGGACTCTCCTCAGAAAATTCTAACATTAACAAAATTAAGGTGCCATGGGGCTAAACGACCCAATAATGAAAGAAACCTTTCTGTAATATGTGTTACTAATTTCAAGTCAATAGGAAGAGGGTTTTCTCAAGACATTAAAAAAATTGCTATCTAAAATGCTTACTTTCAATAGGAGCAATATATTCTTGTTCAAACTATAGCATTTTAAGTCTCAGGTCAAAACAATTAGGTGCTCCCAAAACACTGTATTGAGCAGAAAACTGCCAGAAAAACAAATACAAAACAGAAACAAGATAAAACAAACATTATCCCCACTGGAGATACCTAACGATACAGAGATTAATAATTTGGTAGACAAAAATATTACGATCAATGATTATACTTCCAACTTTACAAATAATTTCAGAAAATGTACAATAAAAAGTATGCCAATATTAACCTGCCTTTCCAATTACAAACTATGCAATATCATTACAGTAATGTACTGTATTTCATTTTCCATGTAAATATGAATGCAACATTAACTTCTACGTCACTCTAATAATACAAAAATAACATAATATGGACAAATATTTTGATTAAATAAACGTCAAAATTAATTTTGGAATACTCCAAATTTGTTTCCAATAACTCAATAGTAGTCTGGGAAGAGTCCAAATTGTCTAGTGAATGATTACTGAACATCAAATTTACTGTAAATAGAGGCTGTGTACAATTTCAGAATGCTTTATTCTGATATATGCTAGTTATATGCAAGCACAGATAATGTGCATACAACTGCATAAGGGTCAATATCAAATTAGAATGATTCACCACTAGTTGCTAAATTTGTGAATTTATATTGATCCCTGCTGACCAGGATGACCCCAAATGGTAACATATGTTGAAGGAAGGATATGTGTTGCTACATCAGAAACTGGAACAATATTTGATGACACAACTGTTGACGACACCGTGACAGGGCCACGGCTGGCCTGGCTTCATTGGAGCTGAGGTCTAAGCCCTGGCTGTGTCATAATGGGATATGACACCAAGTGGCCAGTAGCTCCACTCATTGATATTGCTTGTGCCATGCTCTGAGCAGATGGTGGAGCCATGGAAGGGGTCATGGAAGTGGCTGGAGCAATCTGCGGATTAAGAGACACAGTGGACACCTGCGCAAGAGAGACCTGAACACCACCTACTGAGCCTACAACTGCTGGACCAGGGGGTGCCACTCCCACTGGTTGTGACGGGGGAGCCATTGACTGAGGAGGTGCCTGCTGTGGAGCTTGCGGGGGAGGAGGAGGCCGAGGTGGGCCTGGCGGTAATGCCACTACAGAGCCATCAGAGGTTATGGGCATTGGCTGAGATAGCCGTGCAGCAGTGAGAGGCTGGACACTGGTTGCCACAGGAATAGTGGACGCTAAACTTACAGCTGGAACGGTAACTGCCGTCATACTACCACTCGCCTTGCTCAGGCGTAAGGATGTCACCTGAAAATCAAATGGAAAAAAAAGTGAGATTCAAATGTGACCTACCAAAACATTTTAATATACACCTTTTGTTAAAAAATCCTCGGAAAATTCATATTAACTGCTTGAAATACCAACATTGAAAACCTTTACATATTATATATATATACACAACCATTAAATTTGACACACATGAAGGCTTCCAGAATTTTCTGTATATATTATCCATATCATCATCTTTGTTGTTTCTGGCAACTAAATATTTAAGCTCATAAATTTCTCATCCAGATTCATTTTATATTACAGCTATCCTGCTACCCTTTCACATATATTACCATCATGCTTACTTCTACATTCATACTTAACTAACTCCCCAGATTTCTCAACTCTTTCATTAAATATTTGTATTAATTCTTTGATTGGCCATTACGGCTAGCTTATATATAAGACCAGCAACTGCTGCTCCATCTTTCTCGAAACATGGCACCAAGAAAGTTTTAGGCAGTGATGGGGGACAGATTGTAGCACAGCTAGTCAGCAAACAGTACTGAAATTGAATAAGTGACTTTACATTGTAATATGAATTTGGAGCTACAAATAACTATTTAAAAAAAATTATAGTAAGTAAAATTTAAGGTGTGCCCATAATTCACATCAAAATTCTTTACCACTGATGTATGTCTGTTTATTGTTCATTTTGGAGGGAAAATGCAAAAATTAATATATGTTCAGTACTTAAATTTGCATGCATTTATTTGTTAAATATATTACTGCATACAAAATGAAAATTCATAGAAATTATAAAGCATATTTCCTTTGAAATAGCTCGGAGGTCAGATGAGCAACTAACCGTGACCTACACCACACAACACACATCAATAAGAGATGAGCCCGTGACACTCTCAATTGCCAGAGTATTTTTTTCCTTACAAGTATCAGATCATTAAACTAACTGATCATATGTGGACATTCCACTGGATAAATGTACAGTCAATTATGAATACTATACAGTATTTTTTATAGATTTCAAATTATATATCCATTTGATCTACCATAGTGAATAGCTCACAAGGCTATAAAATACAGTCAGAAACGGCTTTTACACCTGTCTCTAATCATGACAAGAGGAAATCTTTAAATTTAGTTAACAGTTAACTGTCTTTAACCACTGCACAGTGGACACAAAAGCTTTAAATGTGATTGAAAACTATAAAGTGAAATTCATTATGAAAATTTAAGGTAAATTTACAATGCAAGTTGAATCCAAAAGTAATAAACCAAAATCAGTGTGATTTGAATCCTACATAAATGTGAAACCATAAATGTTAAGTGGAATACAAAATGTTGGCAGCCTTAGCGCAAGTATCAGAGTAATCCCATGCAAGCTCTCCACATTTCCTCTACCCATCTTGGCACTATGACAAGTACAAAAACCTGTAGTCTTTTCTACTTTTCATTAGTGTATTACAATTTTTAAGGTTCTAGAATGATTATAAATGATTATTAAATGATTTTATTATTATATGATAATGAACATAATAACATGTGCATAAACAACCCTCAACCCCCCCCCCCCCTTTCCCTCCTTCATCTACGGTCTCCGGAAACAAAATGTTTTCCCTGTAAGACGACGAACAATGAAATGTACATTTCAAAACTTTACAAATTTGCAATAATGTAACTTCACATGCATGTGAAAGAATACACTTCGCCTTATATTCAATACATATCTCCCAGTGCCTCCAAACCTTTTCCTCCCTTATACTTAATAACAAATACAGTAGTTTCATATCACAGTACAGTATTTTAATATATATAAAAGTCAAATATAGTTCATAACCAAATAAATTTTCTCTCTGCTATTCTTAATATTTGTTACCAGCACAAATGTTAAGAGATGCTTTAGATGATCTATATTTCATTCACAATTTTGTAGCCTAAATTTATTTATTATTTCCATATGCTTCCTAAAATAACGTATGAAATACAGGCAGGATACGAGTCAAATAATGAAATTAAACAAAATGTTATGTAAATCTTACCTTCCACACATACAAGAGCAAACCTAATAATCAAGACCACACATCAGCACCCATGTCCCGATTTATACCCCAACTGCGTAGAGGAAAATTTTTTCTGATGCTTAACTGCAAGGATTCAACAAAAAATAACAACACTATTTGACAAATATATTGAAAAAAATACCTTTTCAGCTGACTACTGTACTCAACAAACCTCTTTTCACTCTTACACTGCTCCAATCACTATTTACGATTACCTCCTGTGGACAAATTGCCATGTTATTTTTCCAATTTCATTTAACTATTTTTTTTGTCATGTGCACCACAATGTCTTTTAAACAACCGAGTAGTCTAAGGGCTAGAGAACAACAGTCAAGGCTAGCAGCTCCTGCTCTCTGCTAATTCTAATGAGAAAACCTAATTACCCAATCTAATTAACTAGTATCTTAGTGCAAATCATACAACTATTGTATCATGTTTTTCTAAAGTGAAGATGCAAGTTTTGTTTATACAGTACTGTACAGTACTGTTTGTTTTCTTATACTGTACCAGTATTGAATTATTTTGTTTGTAGGTGCAGCAAAATGCCAGATGGCCAACTATATGTGAAGTAGGAGCACCCTATATTCTGAATGATGGTTTTACTTGGCTACATTCATGCTGCAGTAGTGATGTGATCATTTTTGTTTTCTTTACATTAACATCAGCCACTTGGGCTGGATGGTAGAGTGACAGACTCGCTTCGTGCAGGTCGGCATTGAATCACCGACCATCCAAGTGATTGGGCACCATTCCTTTCACCCCCCCCCCCTCCATCTCAAATCTTTATCCTGATCCCTTCCAGGTGCTATAGTCGTAATGGCTTAGCGCTTTCTTCTGATAGTTCCCTTCCAGTTCTACATTAATTTTGCCCTATTAATTATAAATTTCCTCTATTTCTCTATTTCTTCAGAAAAATTAAGAATTAGTACCATTTCTCATCATTATTATCCAATTTTCACTTTCATGGGTAGGCAGTGACTGGGAAGAAATAGGAGAGCCTTACAGAAAAAAATGGGTTAGATATTCAAACAGATTTATTCAGCCATATCATCCACAGTAGTGTTCTATCTTCTACAATAGACTAGGTGTGGAGTGATCCTTGCAAGTTACCACAATTTTGTTTAACATTTACTGATTCACCTACCATTGCCCATACTCAACATAATCAAACTACTAGTAGACGATGAGTCACAGTAACATGGCTGAAGATATAATAACCAAACCACACACCAGAAGATGGAGACGATGACATTTCGGTCCATCCTAGATCATCATCAAGTTGATTGTGGACTTGTTAAGTCCACAATCAACTTAATAATGGTCTAGGATGGACCAAAATGTTGTCATCTCCTCATCTACTGGTGTGTGGTTTGGTCATCAAACTACTAGTATCTTGATACTGTATATTCACCTTACTCTTACAACTGACCAACTTTTGCACTCTACATCATTCAATAACATTTTCATTCCATTTCTTCTATTCTAACCCGTGACCGTACATGCTAATGCCAGACACTGTCTCGCATCCATACATAAGGGTAGGCACTTCCAATCTATTATGCCATCTTATAGCTACAACTCTTCTTAACCTTACAAACCTACTAAAAATGAGGGAAAGAAATGAAACCAGATTAATAAACAAAGAGATTTTCAAACATGTAAATATACTTGGGTAGTACAGAAAACAAGTCTTCAACTGTTTTCCAATTTTATTAAAAGTGGTAATTCTAGTCAAGAATAATTAGTCTTTGGCCCATACACAGACTGAAAGACCAACTTTCTTTATGGAGAATTGGAATGCCAAATCCACCATCTAATAATAGGCCTAACAACTTAGTTAAAAAACAAACCAATACATTATGTACAGAGCAATCATACATTCATCCCTGTAGGAACATCACAAATGGCACTAAGTGACTGACCTGATCCAGGAGAAACTCATTGGTTGCTCTTAGGTCTGATACTTCTTTTTTGAGTGATGCATTTTCCTTCTTCAGATTATCCATTTGCTTCCTCAACAACAGAATTTCTTCCAATCCCCTCCTATCTAGTTCCTTATCCCGTTCACGTTCTCGAAATTCTCTCAAACTGATTTCTCTTCCAAGAATGTCCCTTCCAATCTCTTCAATGGGAATAATAAACTCTCCTTCTCTTTGAAAATCTATAGGCAGCAGCTTGGGTTCCAGCCTGTGTCGTTTGGGATCTGGCGGACCTAAGTTTCCAAGCAGGTCAGGGTTGACTGAATGTTCATAATGGTTGGTGCCTTGATCAATATCCCTGTGGCTGGTTCCATAAATCTCTTGCTCGTATTCCCTCTGGGTGAGATGCCGAAATTTGCACTTGCCACCTCTTCTTCTTGAACATTCTCCCATTAGGTAATCCTGTGGAATGAATACAGCTCAGTTCAAATATAAATAGATATGATTAAATCAACTGAAAGTGATTAAAAAAGATACTTCCAGGTTAGTATATCTCTGGATTCAAACACAGTAGTTTAATGAGTATTGGCCAATATATGCAGTACAGCCTGGTGTAAGGAGGTAAGATATTTATGAAGAGAATGCAATAAGTCAGTACGACTAAATACTGTAGTACTTGGAAGGGATATGAGGACAGGACAAGAGGACAGAGTGAAGGAACTATCCAAACCATTCGGACCATCGGAGATTGAGTGCCGACCTGCAAGAAGCGAGGCAGGTACTGTACCAACCAGTTTACGGGTAAGGACCACAGATAACCATGGTTGCGGTTTTTAAGTGATAGCTATGGAGGTTATGGTTTTAATGGTGGTGTAAAGATGTGTATACTGTTGTGGTGGTTATATTGCAATTGTTGTACTGCCATAGTGGTACTGTAGTACTGGAGAGATGAAGAGAAGACAGGAAAGGAATGAATATGAACCACACCTTATACATTTTTTACTTTAAATTTATGATTTACTTCATCTACCTACAATTTCATAAATTTGGTCTTAGTGTTTTTAAGACATTTTAGATAGTTCATGCCTGACTAAGTCTATGCTAGAAATTAATTTAGTACTGTACTTGTGCTTTATTTCATTTTTAAGAAACAAAAATTCAAAGAAACATTCAGTCAACAGTATAAGTGCATTCAACAATATCCTCCTCACTGCAGTTTGGCATCACACATTTTTAAACATCCTCACAATTCACTACAATTTTAATGTTCAGACTCATTTTTGCCTTGCTGAACTTTCTGAAATTGAGGCCATGATATGTGCATCTCCTATGCACCCAGCATTTCCTTCTCCTGTTCCATGGTAAGTTTGTCATATGTTCAGCTATTATAAATTCTTCCTGTTGCCAATGTTATGTCCTCCACTAATGTAATTTAAGGCCGATTCTGACATCATACACAAATGTGTACGCTTGTTACTTCATATAAGACATACAGAATACATACAGAAATGTATCTTGAGTAAACAAGTTTTGCTACAATATTATGTGCATTTTTTTTTCATTTGAAAACTGAATTTTCAATACCTATGTCATGAAAAGCTCTTCTAATGTACTTCTTCCAAGTACTGTACATGAAAAGTACTTCCAAGGAATTTTTCTAGCACAATGTTATTCAAACTTTTATATTCAGCATTTTTTTCATCACGTCATTGGCCTTTGAATGCATATCCTTTACAATGAGGAAATAACCAAGATGTGGGGGGTGTGGCTGACTAACATGAACTAGATACCGCATCATTTGATGGATTTTTATCAGTTTATTGTACATAAACATGAAGGGGGACACCACTGCTTTAGATATGGAAGAAGTGGTATTGACAAGGACTGTACTGTACTAACAAATATGACAAATATAGCAGGCCAAAAACATTATACTTTAACAATAACCTTTACCTTACAAATGGGAACATCACCATTAAGTGTAACATCTCCAAGCTGCCCCTTGCGAATAGCCTGGTCCAGGACATGTGGAGGAATGTCTCCCGTGCGTAAGTAGTAGTCCTCATCCTCACATGTGCAATGAATAAATCTACAGAAAAAGAAAGTTAATAATAAACAAATTATGTTAATATAACAATAAAAATGGCAATAATAATAAAATTTATCCCTTAGTATAAGAACTGCGCATATTTTTTAATTCAAGTTGATCAACAAAGATATCCCCCAGTCCACAATGTCAGGTACAGTAAATTAATAAGGTACAGTGTAATTTATATTTGTGTATTTCATTTTGACTGAATTAAATACCAGATTTGATTTTATGTCTGGTAGAGGCAGCAGTGACACTGAAGGATGTAAGAGGAGGAAGATACTATCAATTGATCAAGTTAGAATGGAATATAAAATTTGAGCAATTGTACACTTATATGCATGCAAAGAAGTGTGGCATTGACACACTCCTTGGTGTCAAAGGAGATGATGATGGTGATTGGAGTTATTTAAGGGTTAAGAAAGCAAATGGCCAAGATAATGAAGTTGGCAGCTAACAGGAATATTGTTGGAGTATGAAGTGGGAATAGGAAGACACTCAAGGCTGCTAAATGAGAACACTACCAAAATGCACCACACATCTGGTGATAGGAGAGGAACAGGGCATGGTGATAAGAGAGGGCATTTGAGAAATTAATTACAGATGACAAATTTATCTAAAAATAAAGTCTACTCTCATTTTGTTATCTATATTCATTCATGGCTGGATTAGACAGTTTAAGCCAAATGAAGCCATAAGAGGAAGTAGAATTGTGTGAGAAGCCATTAAGAGAAAAATTTAATGTCATTGGTACTGTACATACAAGTTACATTTATACCAAATTTATTATGCTGGTGAGACTGAATTTTACTGGAGAGGATCATTAAGTATGACATTGGCTACTGGGTTATAAAGTTAGAACAGAAAGACTTTTGGTTTGGTATGTGCTAATGCAGATAATTCTAATAGGGCAAAGAGCAAAATTGTAGGAAAGGCTACAAGGCCTTTCTACAACTACAAAATTGCCTACAAAGCCTTTCAGCAGTCTATTATCATTCTAAGAATGTTAGGTCCACGTGAAAGATATTTTTGACAAATTTAATATTTTTTAACCCTTACACTGCTGTAATCACAATCTGCAATGTCTTCCTGTACTGCGGTCACCATATGCAATTTTTCCCATTTGATTTGTTAACTAATTTTAGATGTGCTCACCTCATTGTAGTACTTTTAAATACAGTAGCTGCACAGTTTAGGGGTTAATAGGAGTCAAAGAATACTATATGTAACTTAGAAAGCAAATATTCAAAATATTTTTTATTTTAACTCAAATATGAAAATATTTTTTATTTTAGATAATGGCCATTGCTCACATTGTTCACCCAGATATTGACTGCCTGTCAACAGGACCACCTGACAATAGGACAACCTCTCTGATCTAACCCATGGATCAAGTAGAATACAGGTCACTCTCTGAGTGTCCTTGATTTGTTTGTCTGTCTTGTAAAAGTTTATTCAAAAGATTTTATTAAGCACAGACTCATCACCAGACATTTAGCTATTTCACAGAGTTCAATATTCTGTATCCATCCCAGTTAAGGACAGGAAGACAGCAGACTTGTATACCCAAGAGATACTAGCTTTGGCACAAACAGTGAATATTAAGTCTCATGCAAGGTTGCTGGTCTTTCTCAATCAGAAGGTTTTGATAAGAAGAGGTTAGGGCCTCAATCAAGCCTACTGTTTGCCTAAAAGGTGCTTTCTGGAGGAGGTTTTTGTGAAAATATTCATTCATTTCTTATATTCCTAGTAAGAAATTCAACTAAGCAAATGTTCAGGAAACTTGAATGGGAATGGGTCCCATATGATTTGGATAATCAAGCACAGACAGTTCTTGTTTTCCCCTTTAATGATACTGTACTGCTGGCTGTCCTTAGAAAGTTGGAAGGTTTCACAAGTCACGAAATCTTATTGGCTAAGCTTTGGGCTACCCAGCTGGGATTGTTTCCCTTCTAGTCCAGTGTCCCATTCTGGTCCATGTATCCAATCCCATATAAAATTCAATTACAGTATAGTATATGTACTGCATAGTTAGACAGGGTCTGGGTCATGGTGCTGACACCTGGTGGTGGCTGGATCAATACAAGCTTTTTTTTTTTTGTGATAGGTTAGTTGAAGCCTATTATTAATTGTTCGAATGCATTACATCAATGGGGCTCTGAATGGCTTGTACTTGTCAACAGACTTATAGAGTAAACTGATTCTGACTGAACTCATGTCGTCTCCAATGACACCAGCACTAAATGGTCATCAATAAACTTCCCTAAATGTCCAATGATCCTACGAAGGCACAGTGGATCATAGTGGTATAAAAAACTTTTTACGGAAAGGATTAAAAACTTCAATAAAATAATTGTAAGATAAAAGTAAACTTGTTACTATGTGTTTACGTTTTACTTACCTACACATTGGACGCGAACAATGTCCATTCTGGTAATCATGGCAAAATGTCAAATCAGCCTTAACTTGAGTTAATCCTTGAGGGCCTTGATCACCATCATCGGGATGACGAAACTTGCACCGTTTCCCACGACGACAAACATTGCGTAAGAAGTCTCGGCAAATGTTATCATCATCTCCAGTCCCACCCCCATTTCCCTCATCCTTAGCGTGACCATTCATTGCCTCAACCATTTCATGATGCTGCCTGAAAATAAATCTTGTATAAAATTAAAACATAATATCACTTATCATATTATTGGCATTATAAAGATGACCCTTTAAAATTCTCGGTGCAAAGCATTTCTTAAAAAAAACAGCTTGATCAATCATGTTATTACCAAACAAGCCTGACCCCTACAGCCAGGCTTGGGAAGCAGAAGAATTTTTGAAACACACTTCAGATAAATACAGTACTGTACATTTTTAGGGGGTTCCAGTAGTACACTACAGTCAGGTTCGTTCTCGACACACAATCAAGAATTCCGGGTTTGAATCCTGAGCGGCACAGAAATGGTTGAGCACGTTTCCTTTCACTTCATGCCCCTGTCCACCTAGCAGTAAATAGGTACCGAGGAGTTAGTCAGCTTGGTGTGGAGTTGCATCCTGGGTGGGGTCAGTAATTCGACCCATGGGAGGAAGGGAGCCTCGGTATAAGCCTAACATGTGGTGTATGAACCTGGCTTCCTGTCCCCTGACACAATGAATTATAAAATTATTTCCATTTAAGCACAGTTTTTGAAGGACTGAATGGTGCTATTGTAGGTGGGAAAAGCAAATTACACACTGATAATGCCATTTGCAGCCCATCCTCCTAAAATTAAATTACTTATAGTAACAATGTGGTTAAAGTACAAATATGTTGTGATAGACCGCGAGAAAAACTTTTGTAATACAGTACTTTGGTTTTTAGCTTGATTTTTTTCTGAAAAAAGTGGCTTACTGGGGCTCCATTACTACATATTAGTACTTTCAACCACCTAATTATAAAATGTACTATCATTTCAGGATGGGTTGACCATTCAATACCAAGGTACAATGCCTAAAAAAAATACATGTTATCTAATATAAAAACAAAATGTGTGCCAAGTGATATAATATTGTAGTAATTCCTACCTAGTTAAACATAACCTAGTTAAACTTAACAAAATATAACCAACCCAACCGGGACGTATCCAATCCCACGATCGTCGTCGCCCCTAAATCAACACAACGACAACCAACCCAACCAAATCTAACCCAACATAACCCAACATAACCAAACCAAACCAAGCCCATCCTTGCATAACCAAATCCAGCCTAACTTGAAAAAATATAGTTTTAACAGACAGAAAATGAGCTGTGCACAAATTGCCTGTGTATGGATTGCCCGTACCCCAATTTTGCTTGTAACTCATTTTGTTTGTATGTACTTTTACCTAAATAAATTATTATTATTATTATTATTAAAAAAGGGGAGTGATGACCTGAAACGTTTGTCCCTCGCTATTTATTCCAATTTTTATTTATATATACAGTACAAGAAATTACATTGGGTTTATGAAAGTATATAAAATTGATGTTTTTACATTCTTCCAAAGCCACTAACACGCATAGTGTTTTGGGCCGGTGCTTAATCTAACAGATAATTATAAGTAGGTAAATAGTATAAAACTTGTAAGAATATTAATAGGTACATTGTAGATAAATTTTAAGAATATTAATAGGTACATTGTAGGAAAATTTTAAGAATATTAACAGGTACATTGTAGTAAAATTCGAAGATTATTAATAGGTACACTGTAGCATAATTTGAAGATTATTAATAAGTACATTGTATCATAATTTAAAGATTATTAATAGGTACACTGCAGCAAAATTTGCGTTCAACATTACTGTATACTGATAAACTATGTTATCTGGACACTAGTCCAGATTTGTGGTCTGGCAGAGGATACCAGTGAGTATTCACAACAACCGTACCTATTGGGCAACATGTTTTGTCGTTACCGAGTGCCTAATGTCTTGCAAACCCATTGCGTAACATTATTCAAGCAGGAAATAAGTCTTGTTTACGAACCTTGACACGCTAGTAGGAAGAGCTATTGTTTACAATATGGCGTCACCCGGCAGCCTGAGGGCTCCTGCCTATAGAGTGACGCCTCTACTCTAACAGTAAAAGTGTTATATTATATTTTTATATTATGTATTATATTATATATTATATTTTTATGTTTATATATTGAGTATTATGTTATATATATTATATTGTATAAAAGTATTATATTTATATTTATTAGTTTTATTTTGATAGCAGGCTTTCTTGTGGACATATGTTATTGAATATAATATAAATGGTGAGATCAATGATCCTTGCATAATTAAACTAAATTTCTTCACTTAAGAAGGAAATTACAAAAAATAACTCTCCAAAAAGTTAATGTTACAATTTTATTCTCGCCTGTCGCTAAGAGATGGGTTCCGTCGACCATTGTTAACATGATTAACATCAAAGGCAGAGTTCAAATGGGGAAGGGAAAGGAATTATTGGGGGGTAAGCGCCAAGCCATTACGACTATATAGCACTGGGAAAGGATCAGGATAAGGATTTGGGATGGGACGGGGGTTGAAGGAATGGTGCCCAACCTCTTGGACGGTCGGGGATTGAATGCCTACTTGCATGAAGCGAGACCGTCGCTCTACCGTCCAGCCCAAGTGGTTGGGCAGAGTTCAAGTGGATGAAAGTTGAGTAGCTGGATACACACTTTAAAATGGATTGTGATGTCCTGCGTATTTTGAGATCGTGAGGCTGACAGTCCTTGAGTGAAGACATAAACAACATTTGTCTCCTTTAAGTGGTTTTGTTTAATGTTGAGAGAAGTTGCCTGTTTTTTTTGTGTGTTTTTTTTTTGCTCTTATAATATATTATTAATTCAATCTTCTGGTTGGTGTCAGTAGAGGTCACATTTTTCAAATAATGTTTTTTAGGACACTTCCATTTTGTGGGATGAGGAAAAGAAGTCCCCATAAAATATTCTAATAAGAGTGACCGATAATGTCACTCTTCGCTGTTTCGTCTGAAGTTGCATGCCGGCTCACCTTCCTTTTAATGATTTCGACATACACGTTAGAGTATCCATTACTGACTATGACCTGCCTTACCCTATCGAGTTCCTGGTCAGCCTGCTTCCAACTGAAGCTGTGTGTGTGAGGCTGCAGTGTGAAATCCATCACTCCTTTCCAAGAATCTTATGTCTAGGAAAGGTCCCTCAGAGTCTCAGGTCTCTGAATCTCGTAAGTGAACCTTAGTACTGAAGTTCGCTGGTCCCTGCAGGAATGTCATCTACATAACTGCAATAGGTGCTCGATTTTAGGCCCATATCAACTAGGACTTTCTGTTTGATGGTACCCACGTAAAAATTAGCAAATATGACACCGTCACACCAAGAGTGGGGCTCATATCAACCCCATCTACTTTTTTGTATGTGTAGAGACAAACTGAAGGAATGGTCCAACAAATTGCTATTAAACTTCAACTCAAGTAAATGTAAAGTAATGAAGCTTTAGGTAGAGGAATAAAATGCAATATTTCATGTTCATTGAAATTATAATGTTCTGCATTTTTATTACATATTTGCTTATGACAGTACAGCACTATTTACAAATCTAGTTAAAAACAAAAGGCATTTTTGTGTTTAAATTGCATAACCATTTATGAAGGGGTGTATCATGGAAGGATCCGGTGGACTCTGGGTACAAATCACACTTTAGGAACACCTATGGGTGTGGAAAGGTTTTCCTCTACAGTATAGCTACAATACCAGGTGCTAAATCTTTCAGCAACGCCGATACGTAATCTCTAGATAGATCAAAGTGAGCAGTTTTATTCATACGTGTAAATCATCGTAGTTTTTGTGTAATGCTGCGGAGCTTGAGGTCGACAAGGGTTATCAAGTCATTTAGAATGACTTACTGAAGACGAGACCCCAGTAGATGACATTGAAGAGAAAGATGATGCCGGGAATGACGACATACCTGGACCACCAGAGGGTCTTCTCCGCCTCGGGAGACGTGGGTCTCATGCTCTTCTCTATCGTTCTCCTGGGATCGAAGGGCAGCACCTGCGTCAACATCTTATTTTCCGACATGTTCACCTGGTGCTCCACCACCGTGTGTAAAACGATGATGAAGAACAGAAGAAAGATGCAAAAGAAGAACCACACGTCAACCAGCTTGACATAAGCGGTGGTGGGGAGGGCGTCGGAGGTGTTGCTGAAGAGCGTGTAGAGCACCAGTAGCGTAGTCAAGCTCACCGCCATCCTCACCTGGTGCACACACACACGCCGCGGTCAGTATGCTCCCATTAACTCTACCATGCACTCATATTATGTCGACAAAAACAGAACAACTTTTACAGGCAAGGAGTGGGGTACACGGGAGTGATGTGTGTGTGTGTGTGGAGCTACAGCTCTCGTAGTCTTACGTCCATAAGAGCAACGTTGACGAAGAGTGTGGTGTAGCCGACCAGCTGTAGCATGGTGGTGGGCAGGTACACGGTCAACACAATCATCTTCCAGCGTCGCCACAGCTCAAACTCCACCTGTATCAACCATACAACTTGTGGTCACGCCAAATGTAAACTATTCCCTTCAAGTATGTTTATTGAGACAAGAACAAAATACTTCTCAAAGGAATAGAGCAGCTTAGGCTATTTCTACCCCCGCTTCTATTCCGTTTTCGAAGTGCGATGCCTCATGGCGACTGTTAAATAAAGATCACGATATTTTTGTATCACTAATTGCATACAAGTTGTCAACAAGAGTAGTATTAGGAGGTATATCCCCTTTTTGCAGTTTTGGATATAGTTTTCAATCTTAAGTTCTAAGAACTAACCCCTGGAACACGATCCCATGTTGAATGTATTTTTTCTTGTGCACAGAGACGAAAAATTGTATTGTATATTTCCGTAATGTATCGTATATTTCAGTATTGTGTGCTATAGTTCAGTATTGTGTGTGTGGTATATTTCAGTGTTGTGTGTGGTGTATTTCAGTGTTATGTGGTATATTTCAGTGTTGTATGTGTGTGTGTGGTATTTTTCGTGTGGTATATATCTCTTATGTTGACCCCTTCTCTCTTTCATGTTGGCCCCCCCTCTCTCACGTGCGTGAAGACGACTGGGCGAAGTGCGTGCAGAAATGTGTTGCGTGCGGGGATATAGTATGATGATGTAGTGTGAGTGACGTATGGAGAGACGCACACGCAGCGTGCTGTAGCGGGTCTCGTTGTTGCCTCCCTCGGTGACGGTGATGGAGAAGTCAGCGAGGAGGTAGGCGGGAAGCTTTGGGTCCTCCAAGTACACCACCCGTGCCTTGTCGCCCGCGAACCTCACCAACCCTCGTCTTACGGTCAGCTGCAGCAGCAGGAAGCACTGCTGGTTGTCGAACGGATAGTAAAACACGTCGAAGGAGCAGGCGAAGACGCCACTGCAAGGACAGGCAAGGTTGTTGTTACTGACTCAACTTCAGAAGCTCCACACTTTGATTCAATCTTAATAAACATGGTAAGTAATTATCAAAGAAGGCACCAAGCCGGGAAGGCTATGTAGCTAACATGGTAAACAAACATTCCACACACATTCTCTTGTGCTATTTACACTTGTAAAATCTTATTCCTAAATTCTGAACCTGATTGGAAACTCTTCCTAGATAGATGTAACAGAACCCATAAGTATCACACGAGAAATGAATATCTCTTATGTTCCCAGAGTCAGACTAAATTTGTGCAAACACTTCATGCAAAGAAAAGCACCCAGCATATGGGATTCACTCCCTAATGAATTAAAATATTGTTCAATCTATACTTTATTCAAAAGCAAAACTAAAAAGTACCTACTTTCATCCTCATAATTTTCCATCTTGTGTTAATAACTTACACTGTATCTTGTGCTACACACTCGCCCAATTTAGTACTTAAGACATGCAACTTCCTCAGTAAAATCTGCTCTATCAATTTATAATGTAGTTATTATGTTTAAATCAAATTCCGTTACAATGTACCTATTATTACATTTATTGTTAGCTTAAGGACTTGCCCGAAACGCTATGCGTGTGAGTACCTTTCAAGAATATACCACTCACCAATGTATCTACTCAACCTTCTTGTATATACATAAATAAATAAGTTGAGCAAGGACATTTTACCTGTAGTGGAGCTGCTGCACGATCATGGCCGCCTTGCCGTCATACACGGTGTCTGTCAAATAAAATTGTAGCTAAAAATCAATATATAATTTCATGAAAATGAGTAAATGTTTAGCAAGCAGTAAGGATGTTGTAAGAAATATAAGATATGGTTGAGTATTTTGTTTATGAGATGAGAATCGTGGGTTATCATCTGGCAGCCGTCCTCAGATCAAGTCCATTCCATCCAGCAGTCGACCCTAAAGACGCATTCAACAATTTTAACATGTTCATTCAAAATAGGATTTTTCTCAAATATAAATTAATATTATATATTAGCATACTGTACATATTTAGGCATTGGTTAGCTTAGGTCTTTAGATTCCGTTGGCGATTATTTGTATTTGTAATACGTGGGGTGAAGCATTTACAGCGGTGTGGTTCAAACAAAATTCGTCAGCGAAGCGCTTGTTCGAGAAGTGTTCGAAAAATCAATTGTATGTCGCGTGTAAACCGTTTTCTATTCATGAACAGGGATTGGCGGGTGCATGGAATGGACTTTGTCCTTTATTTATGAGGACGGGCTGCATCTGGGATAGCTGCGTCAGTAACTTGTGTACGAATTTGGAACGTTGATGAGAGCAATTGCAAGAAAATCTAGTTTAACTGAATATATGTACTCTTAACTGAAAAATGATATATAAACACAACGATTTATATAACAGTTGGACGGGAGACATCTCCCGTCACGCAGGGTGCAGTCGCACCTCCACAGATCTCCAGTATCATTTATTAATACTGGTAATGGCTCAAAAGGGCCACCACTTACGGGCTATTCATGCCCGTGCCACCTTTTGGGTGACTTAATCTTTAGCAATCAATCTATAACAGTTCATTTTAAAGTTACTAGGATTGTGTGAGGAGCTTGGATCGACGAAGGATTGTGTGTGTAACAGAGTTGTTACATTCTTGTACAAGAGTGGAAGATTTAGGAACATGGAAGGAACAGTGGAGTGGAAGGAACAGGAAAGATTTACTTGCTTACCCATCCTGACGTTGTTGTAGTCTGGTGGGAGAGGGTCGCCGGTTTTGTCAAGGGCAACATCTTCAGACAGCATCTTGATGTTACCGTCGTACACGTTGGGGAAGTTGAGCTTGGGTTTCCAAACTCTGTCTCTGTCCGCCTCCGATAGTTTGTTCCACTCTAACGTTTCTCCAAGGTTCTGGTACTTGATTCTGGGATCATTCCACCTGGTTTCCACCGTAAACTCCACGTTGATGACGCGTCTCACGTCGCTGATCTCCATGAAGCGGAGGATCTCAACAGTGGAGTCTAGGAAGATAGCGAGACCTTCTGTCTCATTGTCCGGTGGCCGCTCCGACCGGTAACCCTTCGGCAGGATGATAAGTTGACAGTCATCTTCATCAGACAGGTCAATACAGTCGTCCTTGGCATTGCACCGACGTACTTTTGGTATACAGTCACCATTGGCACAAGTAAATTCGTCATTGTTACAAATAGAGAAGCTCAGCTGCAATTTTGTTCCTATTAGGTAGTTGCACATGGACCTTTGGAGCACCCAAATATGTCGTCCAATCGGATAAGAGTTTTTCGATGGAACTTGTAAGGTAGCGACGACTTCCCCCGTAGTAGTGTCAAACATCTCCCAAGTGTAGGCGTCCTTCTTGTACACCATGAAGCCATAGTACCCATGGAGGTAAGGTTTCTCTTCCTTGTACCCCAGTACCTCATAGTAAGTTTCCGCTTCGTCAGAGAAACAAAAGCCCCTCAGGCGAAGAGGTGAAGTGCGGTTTACTTCACAGGGAACACAGGCGGGCCACTTGATAACACACGACGTGTCCACCCATAACCCGTTGGGCAGAAACATTAACATGCAGTTCTCACCCGTTCCACCGTTGGGTTCATTGAGTTCAAATTGGGTTTGAGCAATCGAGTTGTCGGTAAACTTTCTCCATACGTCTTCCACGTCCTCATCAGTCACTCCAATCCACAAATGATAATTAGAGAGACAGCTTTCGGCAAAGCGAAGAGACTCTCGATGAAGTACGACATTTTCCTCGCGGTTATTTGGTGTATACATCTCGTAACCTATTCTCTTGCAGGTTTTCCGCGACTCTGCCATTTCCTGTGCCTCCGGAAAGATCACATACTCGACCGCTTTCTGACAGAAGTACTCCGGCTTTACTAGTTCCACTGTGGCGCCCCCGAGCAACTCGACGTCTTCTCTGTCGGTGGAGAAAATATTCCCAAGAGGAGCCTTGGTGCACGACGCTTGCACTTTCACCTCCTCCGCTGTGAGCGACCTATTCCAGATGTTGACCTGAGAAATATGGCCGCGGAAGCTCTGGTCAGTGTCGTAGGCCCCTGCCAACAGATCTTGTTCCTGTCCTATGGTGATGATGCCCTTGAGAGGGAGGGGGACCTTGTGCGGAACGCTGAAGGGGCCACAGGCTGCCAGTTTACCTCCGATGTAGGCGCGATACTCTCCGTGGTGGAAGTTGTGGCAATAGTGGCTCCACTGGTGCAGCCCGATGTCATTGGTCATGTTGAGGAAGCCATACTGACGCACCCCGTTGTAGTAGAAGCCGTGATGCTCGCCGCGTCTGTCTGTGAATGTGGTTACAAAGGGTGGAAGTGACCACGATTAAGGCAGCGTCTGGGATGCTCTCGGACGCAGATTCGAATCCTCGTCACGGCCCTTGTGGATTTGTTCAAAGGGTGGAAGTGTTATCTATATGTGAATACAGAAGATGCAAATTTAGACAATGATATTTGAGTTAGGGTGGGCGTTAGGCTAATCTAGATAATTCGCGAAACTTTAGGATTCTTTTACAGATGATTTGAAACCCCGGCCCTCACCCTAGGACCGGGCGAGGACGTGTCCCCCAACACCCGTCCAGTTACTGGCCAGACACATCGGTGTTATAATCTGACTGAACGAATGATGAACATCATCAAATTATGTTACAATGTACCTGTTGATAATCCTCAAATTTTACTATAATGTATCTACTAATCTACTTCAAATTTTCTTACATTATACATGTTAACATTTTTCAATTTTGCTAGAAAATTCCTACTTAAAATTATCTCTTAGATTAAGGACCTGCCCGAAACGCTATGCGTAATAATGACTATACAAGAATGTAAAAATATCATTGTTATGTACTTTCATAAACCCAATATACCCTCTTGTATATATATAAATAAATAAATAAATAAATCGTCCACAAATGAAGTAAAGACGGACGTAGGGAGAGAGAGAGAGAGAGAGGGACCATTAGACGTAGGAGGAAGAAGGGGTGAAGGAATAGGAGGGAGAGAGGGAGGGAGGGACGGAAGATAGGAATGGAGCAATGGAGAATATGAATGGAACGGAGGAAGGGAGTAGGGAGAGAGAAACTCACACATGTGAAGGACGTCGTTATCTTGGTCAGAGGTGGCGATGGAGATGTGGCTCTCGTAGCTCATGAGGACGACGGGCCGAGCCCTCAGGCACACTGTTACCTCTGGGAACTCCGACACTTGCCCCTGGAACACCACTCCACGCAGTTACAGCCCCGCTCCTGTGCCAGGTAAGTCCACTACGGGCTCAACATAGCCCGTGCTACTTGGAACTTTTTTTCCGAGTAGCTGAATCTACAACAACAACAACAAACCACTTCACGTGTCACACAGGTTCGCACGGAGGACACTACACAACCACTAATGACAGCCACAGTACAACCCAGTTAAGGGAGCAGCAATTTCAAGACACATAGCTGCAAAAGTTAAACAGACCGAAGCTGTTTAACCATGCATGGAGGAAAGCAACATATTATGTGATCAGGTACACTGCTAAGACAAGGGGATAGTCTAACAGAAAGTGACAAGAAGGTGTGTGAGAAGCTCAATTAGGGGTTCCAGGAGGTCTACAAAACAGAACCAGATTGGAGACAGGGTGGGTGACAGGGATCTGTCTGAGATCTGTTAGACAGGCGCAATAATAATGTTATTATTGCGCCTATGGATGATGGATGCCTACTAGTACTATAGCTGTATTACCACCATTAAGAACTCTCCAAACACTGATAAAAGGTGACAACAACAGGAGGTCTGTCCTACACACACCTCCTTGAAGTGGTTGGTGAGGTTGTAGCGGATAAGGACGTCATCCCGGGGCGGGGCCCACATGTCCAGCTGCATGGCAAACACCTTCACCTGGTCGGGGCGGCCGTCACTCATCCCGCCCTCACCCGCGCCTCCACCTGCTCCTCAGTACGTATTGTGTATACATTGTACATACAACATAGGAACATATAAGGGATATGTACACCTCTGGGTGTACATATACCCCTGTACACTCAGAGGTTTACCCCAAGAAGAAGGGGGTTTTCTGAATCACTCACAAATTAATGCCCTAAATCTAAATTATAAAGTAAATAATTATAATGATTAGAGTTATATTAGTAATATTTACTTTTATGTAAATAATGTACTGAAATTTTGTGTAAATTAAGTCAATTTAAAAATAAAAATATTGATTGAGTTTTTTTAATTTGAGGGGAGCTACCCCGTGGTGAGGTGAGGTGAGGCCCCTCACACGACAGGTCAAGCGACGCCTCACCTGTTAATACCAGCAGAATGGTGGCGGCCTCGGCCAGCCTCATCACTCCCTTCAAACTGGACCATGACATGTTCACTTTCAAGAATTTAAAACTTTTCAATAAATATATATATAATGCTGAAAACCCTGGCTTTCCCTGTTCTCGTATCCTGGCAATATAAACCTCCCTGAGAGATGTCGCAGGAAGGTCCTCCACGGTATTGTGCTAGAGGAGAGAGCAACGTGGGCTCTGACCGCTCCACCCGGCATATCCTCTCGCAATGGCCCACAACCTATGCCAGCGATCTGAAAAATCCATTTCCTGATGCCATGCTGCGAGGTCCACGTGACATTAAACGTCCACCAGACGTCTGTGGCCGGTAGCTAATCTACCAATAAGTGTGTAAAGTTTGTGAGCAGGAACTCGGTTGTGATCTCACACATTACATTATTGAATGTCCTGTCAGTAGACCCTTCAGACCTGCCGGTATGAGAGTTTTGAAAATACTTTATTCACTCGTGTTCTTGAGGATATCCTCATAATGTATAATATATAATTGATACCATGTTGATAACCAATGGTATCAGCATATGCCCCTGTTACCTAGCAGTAAATAGGTACCTGGCAGTTAGTCAGCTGTCACGGGCTGCTTCCTGGGGGTGGAGGCCTGGTTGAGGACCGGGCCGCGAGGACACTAAGCCTCGAAATCATCTCAAGATAACCTCAAGATAGACTCCACCAGGGATCGAACCCGGAACCTCAGGACTACGAATCCGAAGCGCTGTCCATTCAGCTGTCAGGTGTCAATGACATTTTCGTCATTGTCGAAAAGATAAAAAAAAAAGAAAACGAGAGAACTAGATGATAAAATCAATTGGACCAGACTTAATCTCACCATAGTTGCTCAAGGTAGCTGCACTGAAATATACTTAACTTACTTACCTTTAAGTAAGTAATTATCAAAAGAAGGCACCACACTTTTAAAGGTACTGCTATGCAGTATTAGAGGACTGCTATGCAGCACCGTAAAATGTGCGGGATATTCAAAAGGCGCTAAATATCACTAAGGATGCCAAAACGAGAACACAAACATATAAGACAAACGATATTAAGTACCTTTAAAAGTAATCATGTTATTCGACAAAAGGACGTGTGATGACCAAAGCCTAGCAATACTGGTTTATTGATATTGTTCGTTTTATTTTATTATACAGTATTTCGATAGCAAGTAGTCTTGATATTACAGTCAAACAGCCGAAGATATAAATATAGTTATCACAGCCGGATCAGCAAGAGATGAAAGGATTATTACAAAGATTGTAAAATTTCGAAAACACGTGTATGTATATTGATCTGCTTCTAATGCGTTTGGCTGGGTGCGAACATGCCCTATTTACACATTCTCAACTGCCATAATTCACTTAGTAAATCGTCATGCGCGTCAACCGCAGCTCTAAATTATGTAAAATATTCATGAAATCATGAAAGTTCGCTAAAATGTGCGGTATGCACTTGGAAGGCTGACAGCCACTACCCACACATTGCTGTGTGCACACTACACATACAGTTTTGGACAGCACCGCTCCTATGCCAGGTAAGTCCACCACGGGCTCACCATAGCCCGTGCTACTTGCCCCGCTCCTGTGCCAGGTAAGATACGGGCTCACCATAGCCCGTGCTACTTGGAACTTGTTTCGAGTAGCTGAATCTATAACAACAACGTACAGTTTAACATACTAGAATGATCATCACAGTCATACTAGACTTATTCATACTAGAATGACCTTCCATTTCCAGTGCTGCTCAAAAAATACACTATGATCACTGAAATTTCACGATGGCTATTATGACGTTTGATCAAAAGAAATAGATTTTGAATTTACTAAAATGTACAACTGGCTAATAATATTAACCTATAGCAGATGTATTCTTGTCGACTATTCAATTTATCAAATACAAAATGAACATCTAAAATTTTAAAAGATAGCGCATCAACATACAATCCTCATTGATATTAATGAAATTGTAAGGTATCATGTACAGTAATATATTGGGTACTAATATATAGTACAGTAATATATCCAGACTCAATCATGAATCCCAGTTTCAAATCCTGGGCGAGACAGAAACGGTTGGGCACGTTTTTATCACCTACAAGCACCTAGCAGTAAGGTACCATGGAGTTAAGTCAACTGTTATGGGGGTTGCATCCTGGGAAGGGTCAGTAGTTGACCTTGAGGAACCTCGGGCCGATTCACGACAGCACTTACGAACCTAGCTGTACATCTTTTCTCAATCTTTGGCGGCCTTGTTTTCAATTATTAAACAGTTAATGAGCTCCGAAGCATCAGGAGGCTGTTTATAACAATAACAACAGTTGACTGGCAAGTTTTCATGCTTGTAAACTGTTTAATAAATGTAACCAAAGCCGTCAAAGATTGAGGAAAGATGTAAACGTTCGTAAGTGCTTGCGTAAGTACTTTCGTGAATCTGACCCGAGGATATTAGCCTATCATAAGACCTCTTCTAATCTGTGGATGATGAATCACAACAACGTGGCTGAAGATATGAGGACGGAGAGAAAAGGTCGTCGTCTCCTCATCTTGTGTGGTTTGGTCGTCATCAAGTTCAAGTATGTTTATTGAGACAAGAAATAAATACATCTTAAAAGGGAAAGCGTAGCTTAGGCTATTTCTACCCCCCAGAAGGTCATCTTAATGTCCTTGACACTCTTACTCGGCTTAAAAGCATCTCATCGAGAAACATCTACTTACTAAATTAGCATTACAATATTATAACCATTTATGCCATGCTATAAAGAAATACATGCAAGCAGGTAAAAGAAACCTTTAGAAATATTGCAAATAATGTACAGCGTAGCTTTACCGAATTATACAGTAGTTTAGATAGCTTCTGGAGGTAATACAGCATTTGGGACAATTATTAGAGAAAGTACAAGTAGATAGTATGGCTACTGTAGAGGGATCGTACAATCCATATTAATTGTGGTCAGCTGCTACGGGCTGCTTCCTGGGCATGTGTAACAAAAAGGCCCTGGTCAAGGACCAGGCCGCGAGGATGCTAAGCCCCGAAATCATCTCAAGATAACATAAATAAAACTGGTATTACGGAACGAATTATTTAACCCTGCGCCAGAACAGAAATATTTATTTTTGATTGAAGTGGCGAGGAATTATGAATTATTCAGTACAGTCCGATAGTCAATGACGCGCTATTTAACGCTCGTCTGCTCAAATTTTCTGTCGACGCGGGCTGGAGGCTGTGACCTATTTCTTCACGTAAATATTCTATATGATATAATCAATATTGCTCCTAACATTTTCCATATAGTATAATTTAGACAACTGTATTGTTATTCCAGTGTCAGTGGTTTACGGTACTGTTTCTGACTGGTTTACGTCGCTAGTCCTGAGTGCTTTACTTCAGTTTCTGAGTGATCCTTTACCTCATCACCTGATGCTTGTCACTCCCCCAGGCTGACCTACTATCTTAGATGTTCGCCATCGTTCAATAATATTAAATTAGAAGAGTACGACAGCTTGCTGAAATCAATGTTAGAAAAAGCCCTCAACCTTTCTCTCAGCGACTCTGTGGAAACAAGCCGCCCTTCCTGTCAGACTCGGGGGCCTCGGCGATCGCACAGCAACACAAATTGCTGTACCAGCGTTCCTGTCCTCTTCAGGGGCATCTGACAACCTGGTGAAGGAAATCCTACCCAATTACCTAGGTCAACAGGCAGGTGTACAAGATCCCAGCTTTACAGACTGCACCATCAAATGGGTCTCAACCAGCACTCCAAACACCACCTGAACCTAACAATCAATCCAGCTGGGATCGCCCCATTATAGAGCCAGCAGCTGCAACAAAACCACATGACACTGCCCGACTTAAGAACTGTAGCAGCTCAATATGCAGGTGACTTCGTATTAGCAGCCCCAATGTCAGCAACCGGCACACGTCTCACACTGTAGGCCCTTCGCCTTGCTGCCCCAATCCACACCGAATATAGGCGTATTTGCGGCGAGGCAGTGGCTGATAGGTACAGCCGGCATGGCCTGCTCTGCCAAATCATAGGAGGATGGCATGCAAGACACAGTGAGTTAAATTACATTATTAAGAGGAGCCTTACCGCAGCCTGTTGTCCAGCAGAGAGAACCTGCTTACCTAATGCCCCGCAACTCTGACGGGCCTGTCAGTCGCCCAGAAGGGATCACAGTGAACCCCTGGAAGAATGGTAGACAGTTGGTGTGGGACACGTGCATTTTAACTTTAGTCAACACCCATGTTGACTTCAGTGTTGCACACACAGATGGTGCTGCCAATCACAAGGAAGCAGCCAAGTCTTGTAAAAAATGGGATCACCACTACAAATTTTTCCCCATTGAGTAATTGAAACAGAGACCCTATAGCTGCCAGTTTCATCTTTCAGCGCTTTAGTGTGGCGATCCAGCGAGGAAATGCACACGGCATCCATGGTTCCTGCCTGCCATGTGATGAGCTGCAGGAATTCAACAACCTGTGACAAGTAGCCTTGTACCTTGCATGTAACAAACATTGTAACCTTTCTTGTGTAATGAAGTTTTAAATAAAATAAAATGATAAAATACAAAAAATATAGGGAGTGGTAGAAGAAGGCATGTGTACTCGGGTGCCTCTTAAGGCTCCCCCAGATGCTGCATATCATCATCTTAGAGGTCGAGGGTCCCTACAAACGCAACCAGTGGTGGTACCCCTTATATATAATTATATATATATTTTATAATATACTATATATATATATGAAAGTTTTTTTATCTTACCCTGCTGACGATTGTCTTGTCTTGCTCACTTTTTCACTTTTGTGATGTATTTTTCTTAGAATGATCCAAGATCCTCTGCTTCTTACACTAGTATGGAGCAGGACCAGGTGTTGTCCTTTGGTCCTTGGCAGGCTTACAATGACTTGCAAGAGCCAGGGGCCAGATTCACGAAGCAGTTACGCAAGTGCTTACGAACATGTACATTTTTCCTGAATCTTTGACAGCTTTGGTAACATTTATTAAACAGTTTATAAGCCAGAAAACCTCCTAATCATCTGTTGTTATTGTTATAAACAGCCACCTGGTGCTTCAGAGCTCATTAAATGTTTAATAATTGTAAACAAAGCTGGCAAAGATTGAGAAAAGATATACAGGTTCGCAAGTGCTTGCGTAACTGCTTCTTGAATCTGGCCCCTGGTGTAGATTGAATCAAGTGGAGCTAGCAACAAGCCACCAAAAAAAAAAAAAAAAAAAAAAAAAAACAGTGCGGTCTGCTGCATGATGCGAGGAGGACGTGTTGCTCCGCATCTTCGTGTTTGCACGTGGCTGCTGCAGCTAGATGTTGTGAATTTGTTCTCGACTGTTGCAGTGATACAGTGCCTTTGTGTATCGAGGAAATGGCTGAGGCGGTCTGCCTAGGTGATGGAAGATCCTGTACTGGGCCTGGAGAGTGTGACAGTGGGGATGGCAGACAGGATGATACTAGGCCGTATCAAGCAGTAGTAAACAGATATAAACGGAGAAATATTCAAAGACAGCGAGACGAAGACAGTGAGGAGGAAATAACAAAGAGACCAAAAAATGAAGACATGCTCAGCAGGACGCGGGAGATGCAGACTAATGGAAGGAAGAGGCTGTTGTTCCCTACAGCATGTCAACTGAATTTCCATCAAAAGCTGGAGTGGACGGTTCGTTTGGCTAAGGAGTTTTTTGAATATGAACCACTATTCAAGGAGGGTCTTCACCGGCCCTATATAACAGTTGGGACAGAGGAGGCCGTGGAACACCTAACGAAGGATGGGTTTGAGAATATTGTGATGGTTACTCCGGAAAAAGGTATGATGTACACCAAGGTCATAGTGTTTAAGTATCCAACTTATTTGGATCCTGATTATCTATTGCTCAACAATGATAGTGTTGTTTGGGCAAAGAGGAACAGTGTTCGTGGTGAAAAACAAAGCCAGGTTGTTGCCTTGGTAAAGGGTGAGGCTCCAGAAAGAATTTTTGTGCAAGGACTAGGCTACAGGAAAGTTGTAAAATACATTGAGGAGCCCATATTATGCATGAAGTGTTCTCGTTGGGGACATATGGCTTGGAAATGCCAGTTTGACTCCAGGTGTCGGTACTGTGGTAAGAAACACGACTCTCGAGAGTGTAGAGTCAAGATTAAAAATGGTGAAAAAATCGTCCCATCTTGTTGCAATTGTCGAGGAAGCCACAATGCTGGTTCCTATCTATGTCGCATGAAGCCTCATCTGAGAGACTCGAGGACGGGTGCTACAAGCAGGATAGATGTATCCTCGAAGGAAGGAAAGATTGTGCAGCAGGAACATGGAGGAAACAGTTGGAAGCCAATGACAGCGCCTATGAACAATGTGTGGGAGAAAGGAACAGAGACAATTAAGGCGAGCCTAGGGAAAGTAGGAAATGCAGCTGAAAAAATTAAACCTTGTGGAAACAAGGTTCAGGTCAATATAGTGAACTCTGAGGTTGGTACTCAAATATTGGAATATCTAAAAAAACTAGAAAAGAGGATTGAGGCATTAGAAAAATTAACTATGGGGGGTAGACGGGGTGAAGATGGTGGTGAAACAGGACGTGAAGTGGAAAGTGAAACAGGACGTGAAATGGAAAGTGAAACAGGACGTGAAATGGAAAGTGAAACAGGATGTGAAATGGAAAGCCAAACAGGACGTGAAATGGAAAGCCAAACAGGACGTGAAATGGAAAGCCAAACAGGACGTGAAATGAAAAGCCAAACAGGACGTGAAATGGAAAGTGAAACAGGACGTGAAATGGAAAGTGAAACAGGACGTGAAATGGAAAGTCAAACAGGACGTGAAATAGGACGTGAAGTGGAAAGTGAAACAGGACGTGAAATGTGCGTTGAAGAAAGTAAGGAAGAACATGACGTATTGATGATAGAGGATAGTCAGGAAAATGAACTTTCTAGTAGTGTTAGCGTTCAACCTTCTGTAGTGACAAATGTCGAAACAAAGGTTAAAGTAAAACGGTATAGAGAAATAAGAAAGAAATTAGATATGAATAAGATCACCTTTGATGCTAGTAGCTGTTGTGCAAATGAGGAGAAAGCAGAAATGTTACAGTGTTGGGAGAGTCTGTCTGAGAAAATCTCGTATCTCATGGAATGTGACAGACAGGGCAAAGGTAGTTTTATTAAATCATGGATGAAAGTAGAGTGAGAATATTATCTTGGAGCGTTAATGGGTTAAAATCTAGTGCGGTGGATGTACACTATTATACTCTTAGATAGTACTATATTAACCTGATATGTTACATGGGATTCTTGTATTTGTACTCACTGAATTTGTGCGCCCCTTGAGGGACTTGAAGTATGGGAAGGGGTAGAAATAGCCTAAGCTAATCTTTGATTTTTTTTTTTTTTTTTTTTTTTTTTTTTTAACTTGTCTCAATAAACCTACTTGAACTTGGAAGACCATTATGTATTAAAGTGTCAAATTATGGATAACCATAGAAATAAGGAAATAAGTAGTGTACCACTTCAAATTGTTTGGATGTGTGATAATGATATGATAGACAGAATACTTAGGAACTACAAGAATTTTGCCCCAATGATTGTAACACTTACTATATTAATATGCAATGTTAAATGTTGTATTGTGATTTGTGTATCTGTACTCACTGAATTTGTGCGCCCCTTGAGGGACTTGAAGTAGAGGGGGGTAGAAATAGCCTAAGCTACTCTATCCCTTTGAGATGTATTTTTTTCTTGTCTCAATAAACATACTTGAACTTGAACTTGAACCAAAAAAAAATTCCAAGAAAAATTATTCAAATCTATTTAAATTATAATAAAAAACTCATTTGAATACCATCATGATGTTTTCCAAGATTAATTCCAAGTCTTCTTAAATTCCTACCTAATTAATGTGAAACAACTTGTCTTAGTAACTTGAAGTTTGTGTCTGAAAGATGTTAAAAGACATTTCACCTCCAAATACTTTGAATGATTCAGAAATACCTATTCTGCTGTAATACTTACAATGACAATGACACACTATTTTTATTCTTTTATATTTATAAAACTACATTCAGAAATTTCTCAATTTTTTTATATTTTGTTACACAATAATAAATATAGATATGATGGATATTAAAACTGTAGACCATAATAAAGTTTGTCAAGATTAATTTAAAATACTTGTTAGAAAGTAAAATTATAAGTTATATAAAATGATGCTTCTCAACATGCAGTAGCAGTTCACAGCACTGCAATGCAATAATTAACTAGTTATTTACCAATGATAGTGACAAGATCCTGACAGCAATAAAGACTTAGGCGTACAAGGTTCAGATATCAGTGAACCCAATGCTGGTGGTGGTGATCACAGAGTGAGGCACACAGCCACAGCACACAGCTGTGGTTTGGTGTATTTACACATGATGCAAATATTCAACACATTACAAACTTTGACACTATACATCCTACCCATTTACACAGCACCCTCTTCTACACATCACCTCCAGTAATAGAGAATATACCATCACAGTACTGGCAAATTTACCAACACAGACAACCTAATAGTTAAGAAGCAGTGGTACTGTGGCACTGATTATATAAAATCAGGCCGTCTCAGGGTGGAGCGTGCAAACTTCCAGCTAGTGAAGCAGGCATTCGAAATGCCTAATCATGGGCAGTCCTACAGTACAAGGGCTGTGATTGGCCAAATTAAAATTTGATACCAGCAGATAATGTTACAGGTATCCTATTCAAATCAGTCTAAGAGGTTCTGTCAAATTGAGATCACTCACTCATTTTTGGGCGAGTGCCTGCACTTTGCAACCCTACCAGTAAGTGCTGCTAGTGTTTAAATAAGCATGCCCTGGATTGTGTATCACCACCCTCTTGGATTGTGTATCACCACCCTCTTGGATTGTGTATCACCACCCTCTTGGATTGTGTATCACCACCTCTCTTGGATTGTGTATCACCACCTCTCTTGGATTGTGTATCACCACCTCTCTTGGATTGAGTCCTACACTCCCTCCCTGCTACTATAAAAGATTACTGAAAAACACACTCCTCCTCCTTTTCCAAAGAACATTGCCCTTCTGAAGTACCAGCTGCTGTCAACTGTGGCTGGGGAACATTATCTCTAACAAACGTACCTCATTAAAATTATTCCTTCAGCAGTTATTCAAGTATAATGTGTTATGTTGCCAACAAGAGATCTTTCTCTTGTGTTAAATACTGAGAACCAGACAAAACCCAAGAACTTAGGAATTACATAAAAGGACACTTAAAAGAACTGTTAGTGTATTTGGACCACACAATATACAGGGGGTATATTTTCTCTTTGTTCTTGTGAGACAATGTGATATATGTGATACTAATTGTACCAGGAATAAAAGTCTAGGTTATCTTGAGGTTATCTTGAGATGATTTCGGGGCTTAGTGTCGCCGCGGCCCGGTCCTCGACCAGGCCTCCACCCCTAGGAAGCAGCCCGTAGCAGCTGTCTAACTCCCAGGTACCTATTTACTGCTAGGTAACAGGAGCATCAGGGTAAAAGAAACATTTTGCCCATTTGTCTCTGCCTCCACCGGGGATCGAACCCGGAACCTCAGGACTACGAATCCGAAGCGCTGTCCACCCAGCTGTCAGGCGCCTATGTCAAGAAGGTGGAGCACTAGGAGCTGGATCTCACTCTACCCCACTACTAAAATATCACCACTATTCCTAAAACTGCTAGTATCATCATATTCCAGTTCTTTCTCAATTGTTCTTATACTTTCAAACTGTATCTGGTTATATTAAGCTCTTTATTCACCACATACATATCTGTGTACGTCGTTTGTATAGATTTCATTGTTTCTATTTACTTGTCACTCAATACACACACAATTAGAGGTCACCAACTAAACGTCTTGATGGAGTGCTGAGGTCACAAACTCCTCAACTCTCTTCCTAACAGCCTCTACACTCTGAGGACTTCCATGTTCCTTTTCAAAGTCCAAGAACTTCTTGAAGATAGAACGCATTTTACGAAGTCTCAGCTTTAGTCCTGTCATACGCTCCAACACGTGCCTGAAAAGACTTATTTATAAATATCCTGGTTTTTTTTTACAAAAAACAAAGTTAGATTGCAAAGTTAGATAGGCCAAAGTTAGATAGGTTAGATAGGCCTCAGAGTGAGTGAAACCTAACCACTCTCCAAATATTATCAGTAATCATGGCTCACAATATGTATAGAAAATAATGAGAGTCAATTCTAACAATTTCACCAACGTGACAGTACTAATGTTATTAGTTCTACCTGGTATTAGTAACTCACCTTGCTCCTTCAATATCTTCCTTTTTTGCCAAGATATCAACGTACACACTCCAAATATCAATGCGCTTTGGATAATTACTAAGAAGACTTTCAAAAATAGTTCTGCCTCGTTCAGCCTCACCAAAACGGAACTCAAGTTGACCAAAGCGATTAATCAATTCTACATCTGAAAATATAGCAACATGTGTTTAGCTAATATACACACACACACATTACCATCTACATTTTGGGACATTTGCTTAAAGTATATAATAACTATAGTACAGCCCAGTATTGATCAATTAGAGTACCAGTACAGAACTAGTGTATTTCACAACAATTCTCTCTACTTACGATCACTTTTATCCAGAGAAAGAAGAGCTCTATCCATGTAACGTCTTCCTTCATCTGCCATACTATTGCTAAAGAAGAAAATTCCTGCCTTGATCCAAACATCACGATTCTGACTAAACTTCTTAGTCATTATGAAATACACTTTTTCTGCTTCCTGTTGGAAAAATTATGTTATTAAATATTTAAAAAAATATAAGTACGTCACTGCACAAAAAAAGGTTTACATTGAAGGGATGGTAGAAGATAATAGGTAAGTGCAAGTCGGAGCACTACAAGGCTCTTCCTTGAAGTACTCCCAAGGGGGCTGCATGTTCTCTTCTCTGAGACAAAGGGTTCCTACTAACACAACCAGAGCTGGTACCCTTTATTAGTATAATTCTGTACAAATTAAAAATGAAAAGAATATGTATGTGTTTGTATTTACTGTATAATCCTACAAGGGGTTACTGTATAATCCTATCATGTATGATGGGTCGGAAGACCCCTCGTACATGCTGAAATCAAATACAAAGCAATCAATAAATATAAAGTTTGTAGCATATAACTTGAATAACTATTCAACTTCAATTTATTCGAACATACTAAAGTTCTTCCTGCGCATATTCTATATATGTATAGCATGTATAACATAAATGGAAAATATTGCTAAAGGTGTATCAACTGATTGTCCGAGGGATATGATGAATGGAAAATAATTATCACAAAAGTCAAGCGAGTTAGAAAAAATCTAGCATTGAATGATAAAATGCCTCTTTCTGGTGGGTTCCTTCAGTGGTTCTCTGAAGCTAGCAGCCTGGTTAGCTCTACATGTATCTTGTCCCACCAGGTCCTTGTCTGGTGAGGGGATCCTAATACTCCCCTGCTCTCTCTGCCTATGTGAGGGGAGAGGGAGGGGGAAGGGGGGGGGTCAGTTTCTGGCTCTGGTCTCTAGTAGGCCATTAAGGATTCCTACGGCTGATATGACTCACGTGAGTGGAGCTTCCTTAGCTAGCAATTGGGAGCTACTGTTTAGTTCCTGAAAGAACCAACTTAAAGATAACTTGGAAAAGGCAAGACAAATGCTAATTAACAGCCAGGGAAGAGAACCCAGAACCCGAGTTGAAGTGATAAAACAACCACGGAACATGCACTGAGTAGGAGACAAATTCATGAAGTATATAAAGAAAATAAAAACAAAGGGCATAATTGTTCCAAGAGAAAACAAACCAACCATAATTAATTTCAAGAGGCAATGAGATCCCAGCAAGAGCATACAGCCTAAAGGTACTAGCAAGGGCAGAGAGCCAGGATTGTACAGTACTAGGTGCAGGATCACGACGGGTATCACACAGGGGTCCAGGCGGCCTGGGTTGCAATCCAGTGGCTAATTGGTGAATTAGGGTCATCAAGGGCACTAGGGTCATCAAGCCATTGTCAACTACTGTATAATCTGCATTTATTTCCTAATTTTGTTTTTTCTTTCATTCAAGCAGTGCTTTGCTTTGTTTCACCTGGACTTTATGGGTAAATTTTTATTTGTTTCTGGTAATTTCTTTATGGGCAAATTTTTATTTGTTTCTGGGTCAATCTCTGATTCCTATTGTCCCCCCCCCTCGCCTCGTTCAGTGTACCAGATCCTAATGTGTTCCAGTAGGCCTGCATTAAGTCTCAAGAGGTCTGAAACAACATGAAGGCATAGTAGTGCCAGCATTTGCACTGCAGGAAGCTACTAAGGGGAACCTATAAAATTAATTATTATTAACATATTTATTGACAAAATTAATATACAAATTTGCTTAATTAGAGTTATTCAATTAGCTTGTATTGCAGTGGGGATGCTGTTATATTCACTCCCAGATCTCCCAGGAAATATAATCATAAAAATGTACAAGATATTATTCTATAACTATCAGAATATGAAAATTTCTTACCTTTAATTTATTGCTCTCAGCATATACCATAGCCATAGCCATGTGCACTTTTAATTGGTCATTGGTGGCCAGTGCTTCACGGTAAGTCTCGGCAACAGATTCTGGAGTGCCATAAGAAACTTCAAGTCGTAACAACACTGTCCATATATTGAGACGTTCTTCTTCTTCACGAATATCAATAACTTGAAGAGCACGATGAGCCACTGCCTTTGCTTTGTCAATTTCTACACTCTGCAATGTAACAAGAAAGCAGACCATTTAATTGTCATCTATTTGCCTATGTCATACATGCCTTTTTTAACATTAAAGGAGGGGGTTCAATGGACACAAAGTTTCCAACCAAAACATTAACTTAGGAAATAGCCCATCAAAGAAGTGAGGCCCAAATCCCACTGATTCTGAAACAGGAGCATATGAGCCCCAGCCAGAGCAATGCAGAACGACAGAAACCTCTGGAAATAAGACGAGTCTGAAGTGCTGAATGGCCCCACAAAATCAAACCTTCTGGGAGCCACCAAGTTAACCACAAGTCCACACATCGAAATGTGGGGAAAGGGGGGAAAAAATTGTCCAGCAGAAAATAGGTTATTGGTCCCACACAGGCACCAACAACCTAGAAGGGTTGAAGGGCACCCACCCCTTGCGTGGTGATCATATCTCCTCCTTTTTTTCTATCTTACAGCTTTGGCATATGTAACACCTCCAACCTCTTCTGGAAACTCTTGTTATTTAATTCTAGAAGCCATTTAGTAGCATGTAGAGTACTGCACACTTCAACTGTTGTGCTTCATGGGTGACTTGGGGTAAAAAGTCTGTTTTATAATTTAAAATATCCAACCAAAAGTTATGTGTTACCTCTAGATGAAAGCTAATAAACTGAATCCACAAAGCTGAAGAGTTGGGACTACGCTGTAGGAGTTCTTCATAGTCCAGAGCAGACTCGGGTAACCGGTCCTTCTCCAGCCGAGCCAGCTCCAACTCATGCAAAAGCTTCTCCTCCTGTCTTGCCAGTATTTGTTGCTCTGCTTTTGTTAGCTTTTTTGTTTTCTTTCCCTGGCAATAAATAATCAAACATAAAAAATTAAAATACAATATATTTTTAATAATATTGATTATTAAATACAGCATTGAAGTATGTTATGAAATTTTAACAAGGCTTATTCCCAGGAGCCACAGCTTAACCACAACACTCAAAAAGGTGAGTACAAACATTAAACTAAGTATGAATATAGTAACCTGTACCCAATATATTAGATTAAAGATACATCTTGAAACAAATTAAAACATTTCACAAGATCTATAAGTTCAACTATTTTAGTAATACAAAACAGTACTTACTTTAACGTCCACTTCATCTTCACTCTCCGAACACTCTTTTCCCATATCACCAGCAGTGTCTGGGACCTCCCATACAAAACCAGTGCCCAATGCAAGGCAGGAATCCTCTGTCAAGTCAACCTTTGCCTGTGTCTTCCGAGCCTTCTTACTCGCTTTTTTATCTTTCTTCAATTGTTTTCTCTGGAACAGCACAAGATTATATGTTAAATATAATGACAAAACTATACTGGATTAAATATATTATTGCAGCTGATTGAGAAAGATATCCCAACTTTCTACACCAGGCATCTCTCTCAATACAGTAAATACTGTACAACCAAAATAAATAAATAAATGAATAAATAAATAAATAAATAAATAAATAAATAAATATACATATATACATACATACATACATACATACACACACACACACACAGTACTGTACAATAATGTGATACAATATTCATAAAAACACAATAGTACTAAAGGATGAGAGCTAACTGTCCAATACCAATAGAACTTTTTTAATGAACATATATATGAGTGTTTAAGTTTCAAGTTAAAACAGCAGAATGAGGTTTCTCAAGATATTGAACAGCAACATGGAATTAAAAAAAAAAAAATATACAAGAACGTGGCAATAGTATAAATTATACAAGCGATACCTAATTATATAGACTATACAGTACATGTATATCTATACTCTATTGTACAGCTAAATACCAGATTAGTTGTATGAAGTCAGCTTAATAAGGTAAGAACACATGTACCATATAACTACTTTAATAAATTATTTGCAAATTTTGAAACTGACATATTTTGAAGACGAATACTTGAAGTATGTATACTTCAAGTGTAGTAGACCCATTTATTTGAACTGGAGAGAACATAAACACCTAATACATAATAGAAAAACTTTAGAAGGTCCATTAGTTTACGTGAGACAGCTTCTATTTATATCCAACCATACCCACTCCTATATTTGTCTAACCTACACTTGAAATAATCCAACGACCACACGTGAATTATGTTACAGTACTTGAAACTTGTTCCATATATCTACAATCAATTTCCAGCCCAGCAATTTTCACATTTACCCAATTTTCTTCAGATTATAAACTTATTAAATTTGTATTTATTGTTTCACATTGTATCTCCTTTTTTAGAATCTTTCATCCATTTGTACACCTAAATTGTCACACCTTGCTTTTCACCTTCATGGAGAATGTAAATTAATCTTTCTTACTCTATTAGAAAGGTTCTTAATACCTAAGATTATGTTGTCATCATTCTCTCCACACACTTTCTACATAACTTATGTTCATTCTATATTAGTGCACCCAAAACAAACTCCACCATTTAAATGGGTTTAATAAGACCAAGAGATAAAGCTAAAGAATAAGACTGTCTTATTAATATTACATAATAATTATAAATACTAGCATACTATTCACCTCATTCTAAACATTTATACACTGACTAATCAGCAGATGTGAGAGAATACTTTGATGAGACATGAGCTGTAATGTAGAAATGTAACCAGGTCGGTATATTTTGAGACACGAACCTAGTGGTATAATGAGTACCGGAAAGCAATAATTATCGGGTGCTGAAATAAGTATATGAAATATAATAATAAAATCTGGTGCAATAAGTACAGGCTGGTATAATAAGAAAAGACTGGAGATGAAGGAGATGGAGGAAGAGATGGAGCCAGGAAGAGTTGGCGGTGGACAATATGTTGAAGGAGGTGGTAGTGAAGGAGATGGTAGTGAAGGAGGTGGTAGTGAAGGAGGTGGTAGTGAAGAATGTGGTGGTAGAAGTGGAGGTAGAAGTGGGGGTTCAAGTGGGATAAGTATAGCAGGAGGCAGAGGAGAAAGAAGAGAAGAAGAAAGAGTGCAAATGAATGCAGGAATATTGGCATGAACTAATCACTCTCTCCTTACGGACACCTATTTATCTCTGCATGTGTCAGGTGGGTGACAAGTGAACAATGTCGAACTACAAACACATGGTTACTTTGGTGAGGGTAGGCTCAGGCCAAGGTCTTGAAGCCTCATGGTTATTAAGCACCTCGTATAATATAAAATTACTAACCTTTGCCTTTTTAGCAATACTTTCATCCTGGATATTTTCCTTATTACATGGGTCTTCTAATGCACAGCTAGTGTCAGGTGAAGTCACTCCATTGGCCTCTTCTATGTCAATAGTTTCATTAATTTCCTCCACACCATCTTCAACTTTTTTCTTTTTCTCCAACAATCGTAAATGTCTTTTTTCTAATCTTCTTTTTTTCTGATTTTCATTTAATGTCTCTTCATCATACTGAGGGGCACTGTCAGTTATTAACTTTTTTAACTTTTCTTTGTTTATAATCTTTACTGTTACTGCATCTTTATCTTTACTGTTACTGCCACTCGTTATGCTCTCAATACTATCTGTGGAACACTGTGAAACTGTTCTAATTCTCTGTATTTTACATAAAGCCATTTCTTCTAAATTGCCAGATTCGACTTCCATGTGTTCAACTTTCTCAACTAGAGCATCAGTGCTGGTGTTAAAAATGACACTTGGTCGCTCTGAGAGTATGTTCAAATCTTCTTTCTTATCATGATGGTTCAAAACTCCTAAAATATGAGGGCCATCAATATATTTGATCACCACGCGATAATTCTTACCAACGGTATAAAAAGAATGCCGTCCCTTAAAATCATTTGTATGTCTGAGAGAGGGCATGTAAGCAACCCTTCCCACACAACGGGTCTTCAACATAACCAGGATGAAATTCTTTCTAGCAAGTAGAACTTCACACTTAGCTTTCATTTCAACTTTGATTTTATTAGTTTCCCTCACATGAAGACACTTAAGAATGTCTGATCTTGCTGTCAGCTCCAAGCATTCTTCCTCCTGATTAATCCGAAGAACACAAACCAGTATTTCCTGGCCCACTTCAGTATTGGTATTAATATCTTGATGATCTTGGGACAAAATTCCAATTACTTTACCTTGGTTCACTGTTACAACAAGACCGAGAGGAGTGATTGCGGTTACTCTGGCTTTAATTTTGTCTCCAGTTTTAAACTTTGCCAGTAGACCCTTTGTGCCACAACTTACTGACCATCTATTTATAATCATGTCCTCATCTCTGAGATAACTATGGAGTAACTGAATGCTTGATTGAGTAACATTCTTTAAATTAGTTTTCAAGGAAGAGGATAAGATTGGGCGACCATTCCTGTCTTCACCTTTGTGAACAACTGATATACTCTGCCCAACTGATATTCCCAGGTTAGTACAGTCAAGCCACTTGCTCGAGTCTGTCAAGTTCGTTGCATGTATAAGAACGCTACGACCATGATTACCAACAGGAATAGATGTCATCAACCCGTAAGTTCGAACTTCGAGTATAGCAGCTGGGTAACTATTATTTATTAAAAACTCAGAATTTGAGTGAGATCCACCACCAGCACAAACCCAATGATAAACAGAATACTTAAGAGTTAAAGTAATGGTAGTAACATCTTTCTTGAATACAACAGCATTATGGATTTCATCTCCTTCATGCAAAAGTTCTTTTATCAGCCTGCTCTTATTGGTGTCATCAGACAGATGGTTAACAGGAATTTCAGCTTCAATTCCTTTTGGTTGTAAGTTAACTTTGATGCTGTCCTCTTTTATCTCCTTTACAATGCAGTTTACTTTCTCTCGCATCTGTACTTGACTAACTAACTTCATCTGTTTCCCTTTCTTTTTGCCAAAAGGATTATTTCCATCAATAATCAAACTTAAAGTAATTTTTTTATTTTCTGGAGCAACCGTTAAAATCCTACACTTCACCACTTGACCCTCGGAAAATAGTTTCTCAACATTTTCAATAGGTTCAGTGCTGAGACACGACTTGGGAGCAAATCCTTTCACATCATTATACATTGCAATTAGCAAGCCGGCAGAAGTAACTTTCACAATACATCCTTCTGTTATCATATTTTCAGCATCCTTGGTATACTCTGTCACAATGGATTCCTTAGATTCCACCAAATACTTCTTGCAGGTGAGAAGTAAATATTGCCTCTCTGGATTGACCTTGACTACTCGAGCCTTAACCGTTTCACCAACTGGAAATTTTTTTTCTGGGTTCTTCATATGCGTGTCTGTGAGGTGTAGGAACGGGACGAAGCCAGTGACAAGTTTGCTCACAGCAACCTGTGCACCATGTGCATTATAGCCTTTGATAGTAGCCTTCAGGACTCCGCCTACTTGAATTTCACTATATTTAACAAACTGCAAAAGAAAAAACAAATAACTGGCATTAAAGTTAAATAAAAAATACTAAAAATAAACATAACGTGAATATGGCATATCACTGCAATGAATATTTACTTTAATATATAGTACACTGGGACCCCACATTAACCAGAACTAAAAATATCCATTTTGCCATCCAAAATTACCAGATGGATGTCATATTAAGAGAGTCCACTCCTCTTTAACCAGCATGTCTCCAAACTGACTAGAAAAAATAAATGTTTAGTGTAATGAAGTGCTCTGTCTGGTAAGCCTTCATTAGCTCCTAATGTTTATGTAGTAGAATAGCTAAGCCTAAACAATTAAACCAGGCCTCTGAAGCCAACACTAACCCACCGGGAGTCAGATCCTAACCACAGGAGTGTGAAGTAATCAAGCCATGTATCCTAGAATACATAGGGCAAAAACTCCTGAAGACAAGAACAACCAGTCTGAGACAGCAGAGCAGAAAACTCTACAGCCCACAGAACACAATGTGGGGCCAGGGCAAGATGGCCATGCCTAGGAACAGCCTGATGCCCAGGGCAATCAACTAAGAGCCCAGTGTACTCAATCAAGAGTCCCAAAGCCCCCAACAAGGGGCCACAGGGCTTACGGTCAGGGAACTCCTGGGCACGCACACAAACAGACAACCCCTGGGCACACACAGCCAGACAACCCCTGGGCACACAAACAGACAACCCCTGGGCACACAAACAGACAACCCCTGGGCACACACAGCCAGACAACCCCTGGGCACACAAACAGACAACCCCTGGGCACACACAGCCAGACAACCCCTGGGCACACAAACAGACAACCCCTGGGCACACACAGCCAGACAACCCCTGGGCACACACAGCCAGACAACCCCTGGGCACACACACACCCAGACAACCCCTGGGCACACACAGCCAGACAACCCCTGGGCACACACAGCCAGACAACCCTTGGGCACACACAGCCAGACAATCCTTGGGCACACACAGCCAGACAACCCCTGGGCACACACACCCAGACAACCCCTGGGCACACACACCCAGACAACCCCTGGGCACACACAGCCAGACAACCCCTGGGCACACACAGCCAGACAACCCCTGGGCACACACAGCCAGACAACCCCTGGGCACACAAACAGACAACCCCTGGGCACACAGCCAGACAACCCCTGGGCACACACAGCCAGACAACCCCTGGGCACACACAGCCAGACAACCCCTGGGCACACACAGCCAGACAACCCCTGGGCACACACAGCCAGACAACCCCTGGGCACACACAGCCAGACAACCCCTGGGCACACACAGCCAGACAACCCCTGGGCACACACAGCCAGACAACCCCTGGGCACACACAGCCAGACAACCCCTGGGCACACACAGCCAGACAACCCCTGGGCACACACAGCCAGACAACCCCTGGGCACACACAGCCAGACAACCCTTGGGCACACACAGCCAGACAACCCCTGGGCACACACAGCCAGACAACCCCTGGGCACACACAGCCAGACAACCCCTGGGCACACACAGCCAGACAACCCCTGGGCACACACAGCCAGACAACCCCTGGGCACACACAGCCAGACAACCCCTGGGCACACACAGCCAGACAACCCCTGGGCACACACAGCCAGACAACCCCTGGGCACACACAGCCAGACAACCCCTGGGCACACACAGCCAGACAACCCCTGGGCACACACAGCCAGACAACCCCTGGGCACACACAGCCAGACAACCCTTGGGCACACACACAGCCAGACAACCCTTGGGCACACACAGCCAGACAACCCCTGGGCACACACAGCCAGACAACCCCTGGGCACACACAGCCAGACAACCCCTGGGCACACACAGCCAGACAACCCCTGGGCACACACAGCCAGACAACCCCTGGGCACACACAGCCAGACAACCCCTGGGCACACAGCCAGACAACCCCTGGGCACACACAGCCAGACAACCCCTGGGCACACACAGCCAGACAACCCCTGGGCACACACAGCCAGACAACCCCTGGGCACACAGACAACCCCTGGGCACACACAGCCAGACAACCCCTGGGCACACACAGCCAGACAACCCCTGGGCACACACAGCCAGACAACCCCTGGGCACACAGACAACCCCTGGGCACACACAGCCAGACAACCCCTGGGCACACAGCTAAATGGACTCTGGGCACATCTCCCTCAGCTATAACAAACTGGAAGGAGTTATCTCAATTAAATCCTGGTACTTTATTTAGCCCAGCAAGGACGATTTAAAATTATCTTTGGCAACAATGCCAGAATGACATTCTGATTCTTATTTCTGAGCTTTATTATGTGACAGCAGAGCTTAGCTAAGTAAATATGATGGCTCAAAAAGTGTATACAACACATAACCTGGTGGTGTTAATTCACAAATGTGGAACAACATATGTTTAATGAGGATTTTGATAAAATACTTGCTCTAAGGAATAGTTGAATTTCATGAAAATCAAATTAGAATATAGCAAGGGGCACACTGTATATGAACTGATTTTCTAATAAAAATTTATTATATTTTAAATTTCCAACATTTATGTTAAGTATTACTAATGGCAAGAATTTCAATTCACCTGTTGCTCCAAGACAGATTTTCGCAGCGACACAATGAACAGCTGGTCCATATAATCATACTGGATAACACGACATATTTGTCTGGATTCAACTGGGAAATCTCGAGCCACATGCTCTGGTGGCTTTTCTTTATCAGTCAAACGATTCCCCGAGCAAAATCCTCTACATTGTTCCCCAATCTTCACATATATTCCACTTCGATTTGATTCATAAATCTCTGCATTCTTGATCGTGTCTCCAATTTTAATGCCATGTAAAGGATCAGTTTCTGGGCTGCAAATAAATTATAAATACATCAATATAAATTGTACTGAATTATGTGAACATGTATAAACAATAATATATTACAAACTATGAATACACACTTTCTCATACATAAGGAGTAAATAAAAAACTCAACACTTTCGCGCAAATGAGACAAATTTTGCGTTCGTAATTTTTGTCAGGGATGTTCACCTGGGATGCAGGTTGCATCCCAAATTAAAATATTTGTTAAAATTCCAATTTTTATCCGATCATTCTGAGATTGGTTTTAAAAGGAGCGCCTTTAGATTGTGCACAATTTGATACCATAATGAACGACATACCATGACAATTGAGGTCAGAACACTGGAAAGAATATGAATACTTTTGTGGTGATGAGTGTCAAAAATTCAAACAATGCCATTCCCAAAGACAATGAAGACAGACTTGTAAAAGTTAGAATAGTGATGCAATATCTAACAAGCAAATTTACAACATTCTACATTCCTCGTAAACAATTGAGTTTGGATGAAGGAACAATGTCATGGCGTGGCCGTCTATCTTTCAAGATTTATAATCCAAATAATCCTGATAAGTATGGAATAAAGCTGTACATGCTTGCTGAATCCACTACTGGTTACATATATGATTTTGAAGTGTATGCCGGAATTGGGAAAACAATGATTGAGACAGTTATAGGCTTGATTGAACCCCTGAAGAACAAAGATTATCATTTATATATGGATAACTACTATAATTATAAAACTCACAGAAAAGGCCGACCGACCACTTGGCTGACTTTCGTCATTGTTGCGGGTGGTGCGTGCCAGGGTTTCGGACTTAATATGCATATGTCCCTATAGGGAATTCTATTGCAAACACACTGATACCAAAATGAATGATGTAGCACAAGAATTGAGGCGAGAAAATTGAAAAGACTATAAACATTTTATCGCTGTTTCTCGCTCACGACTAACAATTGCATGATTTTTGTGCTTGGTGCGGATGGCACGCCGGGCTTTTGGACGTTATATGCATATGCTCCCGTGGGGAATTCTATTACGAACAACTTGATACCAAAATGAAACATGTACAATGAAAATGGCGGTGAGAAAACGGAAAAAAGAGTATACACATTTCAGTGTCGCCGCGTGCTCGCCCAAAACGCCAGTAGCATTTGGGGAAAGTCTGCGGGGCTCACGCCCGTAGTGCAAAAGTGTTAACCAAGTGTATCCTCAACTTGCAAACACTGAGCTGCAGTAAACAGCTTCTTTCACAGTGCTGCACTTAAATTATAATTTAAGTTCAGATGTGACAGCAAAAAGACCAAACACATTTTTTAACATATTTATATCATACATATTTACATATACCCATTTGATTGACAATGTCTTGTATGTAATGCTTCCCATGACCAAAATCAGCTATTCAGTACTGCATATTCTTGGGCAACCTCACTACCCAACTCTATATGGAGTAATCAGCCCAAAATTGTTTGCAGTTGAGGGGACCAGGTAATTGGCCAGATTGACCCAAAATTCCTTACTAGGAATCTGAGCCCAGCATTTACCGAACCCAGATAAAGCAAAGGCCGGCTTGTGTGTCTCTGGAATATTAGAGAAAACAGAAGAGCAAGTTCAGAAAAGAAAGGTAAAAATATTCAGAGATGACACACGTGTAAAGATATTCATAGAATAAATGCATTTATACACTTTCTATACATATTTCTATTATGGAGAGCCAGCATCACCACACACTAACAAACTCTACACAGCAACATCCAACTACAGTAAATAAACATGTAAAACATTTCCTTAATACTAAACCTAGGCATTTAACTGATAAAGAGCTCACATTGCATTGCATGTTTCCTTTTGTAGTGTGAAGTGCACCACCTTAGTAAGTGGTGCAATGTACAGGACTCTTGCCCTGACCTTCTGGGCCATCTTATACTGTTTCAGACGATCTAAAGGCTGCTCCAGATGCAGACGATGTACTACACCATCACAACCTGCTGCAATAAGGTACAGGCCTTCCTTCTCAATCTAAAATGGAAGATAATATTATGAAAACTGATCATATTAATGATTTCCTATTTACATCATCAATAACATTATTAGTCAACAAAAGCATCACTATTTTTATTTTATAATGGATACAGAGAACAATGAACAGAAGCTTTAGGTGTAGGGAAACGTGCCTAAATATCTACCTCCCTTGACTGCAGTATGTTTTATCCAGAAGGGAGCAAGATCTTGTCTTTGGTACCAGCTGAGAATTTTGCTAAAATATTCATTGTTGAATACAATGAAATGTCTCTTTCGGGTTTGGTGCCTCTGTATCTCCTATAGTTGCCTAAATCGAGTCCTCCAAACCCAAGTACCACCAGACTCAAGTGAATCCTGAGTGCCAGACTCAGAATCTGGCCCTTACAATGCTATCATGAGGTCTAACCGTTAGTAAGATCCAGACCCTTACCACCAGATTGCAGCCACAGTAACCCAGGAATCCAGGCCAGCTATCCAAGCCATTTATGTACTCCCCAAGCAAAACTCCAAAGGAAGAAGGGAAGAGCAGAACAGAAAAATACAGAGGGGACCCACAAGAAAGATGCATTTTACTATATTCAACGCTGAATTCTGGATGTGTATCTCCCCGAGCAATTTCCCACAGTAAGGAAAAACAACAAAAAGACAAGTAGAAGAGTTAGAAGACATGAATCCAAACATCCACCCAGGCCAAGAAAGTGCACAACACCTCAAATAGTAGATGGAATGGATCTGAAAAAAGAGCAAGGTGAACGAAACCACCCACCAAAGCAGCAAGAAAACCGATGGGGGACAGAAAAAAGGAATGAAAGGTGGAACCCCGAATCATACCAATAAGACCCAGGAAAACTGGCCAATGGTCCAAAAGTGCAAGAGAACCGCAGAAGTGGTGGAGACAATAAGGCCAAACCAAATGAAAATCAGGCCAGGAAAAAGGGGCACAGCCGACCTTTCAGCTCACTGGCAAAAGAAAGCGAACAGTGAAACAAGAGAAGAAAAGTGCCTACAACAACCAAGACACTGCCCTGAACAAACATCAATGGCCATAAACAGTCTGAAGATGAAATGAGGTCTTGGCAGGAATCACCAGACTCAACTGTCTCCACCCTTGAGCAGGAGTGAGCAATGAACAGCAGCACCTCAGAAGTAAACAAACATCCCATTTGCTCTAAACACTGAGCCTCACAAAGGAGCCGAAACATATGCGCTACTCGGCGAGATCCCCTCGAGAGGAGAAAATTCCTATGGGCAAACTCTCGAACCATCTCAAGGAAGAAAACCTTAATCAAAGGCAGAGGCCTTTGATTAAGGCCTCTGCCTTTACCTCATTTACCTCTAGTTGCCACTGGCAACTAGAGGTAAATGTGGCCATATGCAGCTCAGGAGAACAAGTGATAAAAGCACACACACAACAGGTCAGGATGACACACACACACATAAAGCAGTAAATAAACAAACAAGTACAGGCCCCCTGCACAGAGTCCAAAGGATGGCCAACACAGCTAAATGGTGGTGCTTGTAGAGCAAGAATGCTCAGAGGACTGTGTTGTTGTGCACCAGGTGCCATAATCACTAGGGTAGTTGATCCAGACCCTTCGCTTGTTGTGCCTTTGTCTCATGGTGAGGGCCTGAAGCTAACTTGCAGTTGAATGGACAATGAATGTGTATATAGTTTGAAACAGGATTGTAAATGTTGGCCAAGCAATTGCTCGTTTTGGTGTGCTCTACCTGTCTGGTGGTTTTCCCTTTGGTAATGTAGTTTATCCAGTATATTGACTCCCCTATGCCTCTATTAAAAGGATCAGATTCTGCTCTTGGACTCTGGCAGGTGCTCGTGATTCATTAGAGCCTGAAATGGTACCTAGGTTTGGAGGACCTTGAATGTGTGATGATAAATAAACTTTAAATAGTTTTTAATTTCTAATGAGATTTAAAATTGATTAGTTATCAACATCTGCATAAACTAAGAGCACTGTATATGAATTCAGAAACACATGCTAAGGTACTCAGTCACCAGCTACCAAATGTTCAACCCACCTTTGATATAGAGGTGACAACTGCAGTGCCAGGAAGCAGGAGTGACAGGTTTATTGTATCAGTAATGTCAAGAGTGGCATTACTGACAGCTTTGGCCTCAGCACTCAGTTTGAACCGCATATTGCTTTCATCTTCACTTCTCATTATCTTGGTTATGACGCACCGAACAACACTACCCACACCAACAATTCCTTGAGATAAAAGTTAACAGCAGAAAATAAACATTTAGTTAAAATTTTGTACACTAAGATTATAAATAAGTAAAAAAAAGTATATATGTAATTTTTTTTTTGCAGGGATATTCCTGCATGTTCCCTGGAATATCACTAAGAAATTTTTTATTTTCTAAAGCACTGTTTTAATAAAAAAGTGAGAATCAATGACCGATAAATATGGGAAAGATTCCTTTGTTTCCACAAGAGCTCTACTTTATAGCCTTTCTTGGACCTCCTGTTGAGTTCCTTAGACACCATTTTGTCCTTTTTGTCACAACTTCCTGTCTCTCCATAACCTGATTGTATAGTATAAGTGTTGTGTTTCTCCTCAAGTGACTGCATCTGCTTGGGTTATCTTTTACCTTTGTCACAACTGTGTATCATTCTCAAAATGTTTTTCTACAACTTTCCTATATTACTTTACTCTCTCTCTCTCTCTCTCTCTCTCTCTCTCTCTCTCTCCTAAATCGCTATACTCGTCTCTTCTGACATTTACAGCAAATTTCAAGGCATACAAATGAATTTGAACAGAGTATGGACTGTGCACAGATTAACATAATTAGGCTGTGCTAATCCACAAATCTATGTTTTAGACAGTATCACAGTTTTGAATTACATATTTCACGTTTGAGAATAATACATTGTTTTAACCTAACCAAACCAAACCTAACTTAACATAACCAAATCTAATCTTACCTAACCATGGATAGGAAGTAGATAATAGCACTAAATACATAGTGGAATTGAAGTGATTATGTTGAGGGTACCTCCTCCCGAAAGACGGGTTGCAAGTGAGGTGTAATAGGCAGCACTTGCCTATCAGCATCTAAGAACAAAGCCTCTGGCACCCCAACCAGATGCACCAACTAAAGTTATGTTTATCAAATGAACTTCAGTCTAAACATGAGAGGAAGGGTGTCAAAGGAATCCTCTAGTGTGGTATACAGATCTACATCTCACCAAACACTGATAACACAAATGTTAAAGGCTCTGATAATTCCAAAACTCAACAACCAAATAACATAACATTATGTTAGAAGAACTGTTAAATAGGAAGTTCTGTTTCAAACACTCATCATTCAAGTGTTTTCTAAAACTTAAACTCATGAAGTTTAAGTATTAGAAAAATAAAATGATTGTACAAACAATAAAGCTTAGTGTAAGATTAAACACATACCTGACCCATCAGTTGCTGTGTTCCTCAAAAAAGCTCCTCTAACATTCGGAATGCCCATGTCCATAACATATCCATTGTCTTCAACACTGGACACGGCACATGGTAAAACGTAGCCAATTCGGAGATGTGATGTTGAGATGCCAGAGTTGACTTCCTGGGGTGCCAGTGACAGGTTGACTGAAACATTGCATGTATGTTACACAAGTCATTATAGAGCTCACTTAAATAGAAATTGTAGTATTTAACAAATCAAAACAGGCAACTGATATCAATACATGAGTCAGTCTTTTTAGTTCAAATATGTAAGCTTTCATGTTCCACAACAAAATATTCACATGGGTTATGAGTTATAACTAACCTTTGAATTTGTTATTAACATTTTCAACAGATACTACTCGGGTAACTACATATTGGCCCGGCTTGAAGAGCTCCTGCAATGTGTGGACTGTCTCTTCACAGTCATCTTCATTTTCTTTTACCTGAAAATTTGGTAAACTTCTTATCTACTACTGCATTTCAATATGATTTGATTAAAACATTTTAGATAACATAGAAGCACAATCTAATCTGAAAAATGTATACAGAATCTTTAAAAAAGTGAATCAATCAAAGGTGAGAGAACACTTGAGACAACTGTAGAAAAGGAGGAGAGGAAACACTGGCCCAGAAAGCTAGCAAAAGAGGCTCCATGAAGCCCAAATGATACAAGGAGACAGAATTAGGCATCAACTGGCAATCTTCTCTCAAGGGGCCTCATCCCAGGTGATGCATGCACCTCTGCCCTCTGCTAGGCAAGGTCTAGTAGATAGGGTTAGTAGTAGTTTGCTCTTTTACAAAGAGAGGTGCAGTATGTGAGTGTTTCCAGGTTCTATGCTTCAGCAGTAACTTACACCTTTTCCTTGCCATATTTTCTCAAGTCAGAGGGCTGGCATAAGTTTTGCGTTCCACTCCCCAACGCCCAGCTTCCTTGCTAGTCTGTTAAGGGCTGGTGCTGGTAGTTCCCATTAGATCTTTTTTCTGGGGAGGTTATGGAGCTTACGTTTGAGTTTGCTGCTGACCATTCCTTGTCTCTGCCATCCAGCATGCTAGGGCCGATGGTTGTTTTCATCCTCAGTACAGTTTGGTGCCTAGGCCATGCTAGTGGTGTTCCAGACCTCTTCATCCTAGCTCCTGGTGTAGGTTCCAAAACAGTTTGGCCCAGTGTGGTTGAAGGATGTAAGGCTTCAGTGGGGCTTGCTCCGACCAACCTTGAGGCAGAGACAGACGAGTCTGGGATCATATCTGGACTTTGCTCCATTTTCTGGTTATTTAGAGCTGTTGATTTTATGCAAGGAATAATCTTAGGTATTGGAAGGGATTTTGATTCTATCCCAGGGCCGTAGCCATTTCTGGTAACTGGGACTGCAACACTTGCAAATTTGCATAGGGCACAAAAATAGGCCAGGAAATAAGTTCAGAAGACTGAAAATTGCTACAAGACATCTAGATAGAGTTTTAAAATGGACAAAAAGATAGTCAGATGTAGTTTAATTAAAAGAAAATTGCAAGAGCTTTAAGTCTTGGAAATAATAATAAGTTACCAGATATCAGCTGGATAAAATGTTAAAATTCAGAAATTCCAATGAGAAGAAGATTTTGGGAGTCGTGACTAACGGGGATCTAAAGAATAAATGAATAAATGTAAGACAGCCACCCCTTACTTATGCAGAATACTGGAAAAGTAAGGGGTGGCATGACTGAAGTATCAGTACACAAATGAATAAAAGGGTATAACAAAGGGGGGATATTAATAGTGTTAAATACAGACTATCAACATAAAATAGAGCACAAATATTGGTGTGAAAAGAGCGATGTTGATTTATGGAAAAAATTACCAGGTAACTTAATAGATGTAGGATCACTTGCAGTGGATATAAATAGAAGCTGCCTTGCAAGGGTCTACAGGCCTTCTGCTGCTTCCAATATTCATATATTCTACTATAGATGTTTTAGTAAAATGTGCAAAGATAATTTGTTAATGATCTATAGCAGTTACCTTTGTAAGGAGGATATTGTAAGCATTAGATATGCGAGCAATGGTGACAGTGCCTCTCAGCTTATGAGGAAGACTGATATGCAAAGTATACTCGTGAACTTGAGACACACGACCCAGGATAACTTGCCCTTCTACCAATGTCTGTAAAATAAACAAATTTAAATTAAAAATGATATCCTGGTTTAAATAAACAATATTACCGCCTACCTAAAAAACACACACCTCGATATGGTTTGATTGCACAAAGATAATTGAGATTAGTATGCCTCATCGTCTATGCCAAAATAGAAGATGAGAATAGAAGAACAAAATATTTGATGTATTAGAATAAATATTTTTTACTCAATTTAAAAAAATTACAGCTATATATTATAATCTATAAAATAACACTATAGTTCTTAATATTACTACAAGAGGTCTAAGGTTGAAAACATACAGTATTGTAAGTATTTAAAATGTATATAAAATGATAAAGTACTCAGTACTGATTAAAACCGAACATATGTTCGTTTATATGGCTAAGTCCTAGAGTGTAAGTATATGTTCAAACAATAATTTTGTTTGCATTAAACAAACAATTTTGTCTGCATCAAACAAACAATTTTACAGTCTCCGTGGTGGAGTGGTAAGACACTCGCCTGGCGTTCCGCGAGCGCTATGTCATGGGTTCGTATCCTGGCCGGGGAGGATTTACTGGGCGCAATTCCTTAACTGTAGCCTCTGTTTAACGCAACAGTAAAATGTGTACTTGGATGAAAAAACAATTCTTCGCGGCAGGGGATCGTATTCCAGGGACCTGCCCGAAACGCTACGCGTACTAGTGGCTGTACAAGAATGTAACAACTCTTGTATATATCTCTCAATTGGAAGATTCAGTATATAGTAAACAGAGACAGGATAGTTTACCTAAAGATGCACATAAATAATGTGGCACTTTTGTGCAAGGCCACCTTGCACAAAAGGTGTTGAGGCCACCTTGAACAAAAGGTGTTGTTCAGTGATAAGATGACCTAGTAGTGATTTTTAAAGAGGCCATTCAAGTACTGTTCAGTATAGCCTCCATGTGGAACCTCAAATTACTATACTATCTACAAAATTTAGGATCGGTCTTTCATTATATCAACTAAAAACACAGATTATGTGACAAATTTGACTTGAAGTCAACCCTAAATGAAATGTGTGGTGTTACCAATTCCCAGGAAATATAAAGAGTATCAATGTTTTTGCTGTGCCTTATCAAAGTTTGTTGCCTGTGAATGCAAGCAATCAAGCATTTAATGTGTTTAAATGCCCTTTTCTGGTGGACCCTTAATAGTACCCTGTACCTGCCTTGTTCCCTTCTTCCTTTGGGTTCTGGGATTCTGTTCCATTGCTCATGAGTGAGATAGAAGGCTGGCTGAGACCTCAACTAACATGTGGTCCAGTCAGCTGCATCACACCTATGGCATTTGCCTGAAGCAATGAACTTTTCCTTTATTTATCTCAGGGATGTTATTTTCCTTTACGCAGTTGCTTGCTTTGTTACACCGATCCTGGCAAGATAGGCACTCATGATTCATTAGAGCCAGTTGTGGTAGCTAGGTTTGGAGGAATCCAGATGAGTAGCTTTGGGAAATACAAAAGAAAGCCTCCCCAGAAAAGGGCTAGAATGTAAGTCTCTAAGCACGATTCAGCCACAAGGGGTATGAAGGCAAGTAGAAACACACCTCCACCCTACCAAACAGTCCCAGGAAACACATTGTACCATAGATGAGGGAAGAGACCCCAAGAGCCAGGTAGGGGCAACAAAGACCTCAAAGAGAAACACGAAAAAAATCCTAGCGATCAACTACCTGCAAATGGGCAAACTTGGACCTGCTGAGAAGATAGCTCCCCAGCAGATAAATGCCACACTGGGTACAATCTGAAAAAAAAAAAAAAAAAAAAAAAAAAAAAAAAAAAAAAAAAACGAGGAATGTAATGAAGCACCATTTTCTGGGTGAGCCCCTGAGGCTCCCTAGAGCTATCAGGCTGATAGCTGAGTTATATTAGTCTGGGCCATCAGTCAATTCGAGTTCAGCCTAACGGACCACGAGCCAAAACCTGGCCCCCCTCAGAGAGGCAAAGGGAGCAATGGCCTATGGAAACCCCCATGTATTTGGGGGCATTCCATGTCTGCCATTAACCAGGGTTACCACCCAGAAAGGCAGGCATAACAAAATAGACCCCACATAATAAGAAAATTGCAACTAGAGACTGAACAGAGAGGCAGAACTCCCCCTACTTAAAGAAACAAGTAAACGTCACACTCCACTGCCGTGCCACTTGTCCCCGCAGCCCTCCCCTCCCCGGGAGGGGGAGCCCCGGACGTTGATCCTAAGATCAACATCCCGGCAGCTCATTTTCTGACCAGGCCTCTTGGTTGCTGGTCTGATCAACCAGCCTCTTCGATTCAGCTGCTCGCAGCCTGACATACAAATCACAGCCTGGTTGATCAGGTATCCTTTGAAGATGCTTTCGAGTTCTCTTTTGAACACTGAGAGGTTGACCGGTTGTGCCCCAAATGTGTAAGAAAACTGTGTTGAAATGGGCTTTGGGCCTTTGATGTTAATCGAGTTTCTTTCAGCATGTGCATTGCACCCGTGTTTTTCAGTGGAGCCTGTTCAAATCAAGTACCGATATGTTTAAACAGCGTTGGGACAGAATCTGAAGCAAGCCCCACTTACCTAGATTCTTTGAGAGACGAGACCACAAAACCTGCAGAGGGATGGAACTCAGCCATGAACCAAGTACATTATTTGGAAATACACTCAGAGGAAAGGGTGCAGGAAGTACTATACCACATAACCCACCTATGACATGTGTCCCACTCTGAACCCCAGCTAATGCCTGAACTCCAGGTGAATGGCAACATGCCAATATGAGTTATATAAATCCAAGGAAATGAGCCACATATTGAGAATGATAATTATTCGGAATGTTATACAAGGAAGATGAACATTGAGAGCATCCAAGAGCACTATAAATTACAATTGAATAGGAAAACTTTGTGTAGTTCACAGAATCTCCATTCCAAAGCATTATTTGAGCTTTCAATTATGCTTTTCCCACCACACATTAAAATTACGCCAGTTGTTTATGCCAGCATATACTGTCTAAATAAATATGTTTTTTTTTCAAATTTCATACCTAATTCTTATGCACTCTCAAAATCCAAACATAAACCTATTATTATTGCTTATAACCCTGTGAAACTATTATATGGTTTATTGTTCCCTCTCCTTACTTTCAGTGCACAGTACTATTATAAACTGTCATATCAAACTGAAAAGTAACCCGATACCATACATGACATACACAAGCAGAATGGGCCAAGAATCCCATGGGGAAAATCACCCTCCACTGACTGTGGACATGAGGACTTATAACACTGGAGTTGGCAAAACAGAAATCTCTTGTGCAGGCAGATCACTAATTTCATAAACTGGACAGAGCATTTTCAACAGTACAGTGTTTGGTTTATGTATTAAACATATACTGTATGATGAAAATTATTTAACTCTTCATTTATAAGTTTCCCTGAAGATGATTGATATTTATCATAAATTCAACATTTCAGTTAAAAATAAACTTATCATGTAACACCTTACCTCATAAGTTAAAGGTTGTATATCAACTGTAGAAAAATTATCAGTTTTCTGTCTTTTCTTTACAGCTTCACCAATCTTATTCTGCTTTTTCCTCTTTTTATTGGTTTTGCTTGGGTCAACCTTTGCCTTGACCTAAAACAAATATAAGAAGTAATTAGAAACAAAAAATCTTATTTACACGTCAGCTGCTTAATTTAGAGACTGTACTTGTGGTCAGTCTCAAGCCCGTTCAAGTTCAAGTTCAAGTATGTTTATTGAGATAAGCAATAAATACATCTCAAAGGGATAGAGTAGCTTAGGCTATTTCTACCCCCCTCAAGCCCATTGTTGATGTGATGATACACATTGAACTTTGTTATTAGCTCATCAAGACTGTAACTTGCTTAACTAAATGAATTTTGGGGTTCAGTCCCTGAGCCCTTTATGTACAGTACCTCTGTAACCCCTATCCACCATCACCCACAGGATGGGTATGGGGTGCATAATAAATTCACTAAACTAAACATTTTACATGCAAGGAAACTTATAAAGACAACAAGAAAACTATTACAGTATTTCAATGTCTACTTACCGAGAAAAGATCTCGTTCTTTGCGTTTTCCTTCAGACAGTGTCATGCTGAAAATGTAGACAATTTATGTACATTAAAATGTAAGAATGCACATCTAATGTCTTTATAAATAAAATATAAGACATATACCAATAATTACTGTACATAAGAATACAACATGAATACCGAGTATTCATACCATATGATGAATAGTGATTATGACTATGATGAATGAATACATAGCAAATACTATTCAAATTATGAATGTCTTCAAGTCATTATACAACTTGATAATGGTCCAGGACAGACCGAAATATCGTTGTTTTTTTCACTTTCTGATATATGGTTTAGTCATCATATCTTCAGACACGCTATTGTGACTCATCGTCTGCACCATATTAATGGATAATTTATAAGGATGTAAAATGTATACCAGGTATTATTATACACAAGAATATGAGATGAATACTGGGAATTACTGAATATAGCCACTATATTCAGCAATTCGAGACAACGACGTTTCAGTCCGATCTGAACCACTATCAAGTCGATTGTGAAGAGACGAGAAAGGCATGGACATAAGTATGGTAAAAAATTTCTTTAAAAAGAAATTTAAGGAGGAAATCTTAAGCATTCTTCAGCTATGATATTGTGACTCATCATCTGCACTACTGTATATGCTTGCTAGGAAGACTTTCTGTTAATAACACGCATATATTGTGGTTTTTAATACTGACCAATAATGTAAATATAAAATGTAAAAATTGTGTGTGCGAGATGATAGAAATATGTGGGCGCGATCTGTCTGGTTTCTGATGTGTCTTCTTATTGCACAGAATAATGTCATTGCAATACTTCCCCAAGGTGTTCTAGCCCCATAGGATAAATGTTAAAGATTTGTAGACAGGTGTACAGATTCCCGAGTCTACTGGGCTCTATCATATCTACATTTGAAACTGTGTATGGAGTCAGCCTCCACCACATCACTGCCTAATGCATTGTATTTACTAACTACTCTGACACTGAAAAAGTTCTTTCTAATGTCTCTGTGGCTCATTTGGGTACTCAGCTTCCACCTGTGTCCCCTTGTGCGTGTGCCACTCGTGTTAAATAATCCATCCTTGTCTACCCTGTCAATTCCCCTGAGAACTTTGTATGTGGTAATCATGTCTCCTCGAGCTCTTGGGAGGTCGCTGTGTGGACAGCGCTTAGGGGGTTGTAGTATTAAGGGCCTGGATTCGATTACTGGCCTAAGCAAAAACAAATGGGCAGTTTCTTTTACCCTGGTGCACCTGTTCACCTAGCAATAAATAGGTGCCTGGGAGTTAGACAGCTATTACAGGCTGCTTCCTGGGGACGTGTGTGTGTGTTAGACATTTATGGTCTAGATGTGAGGAAATATAGATTGGTTAGAAAGGCGGGGTCCAAGAGCTAATAGCTCGACTCTGCAGGCACAAATAGTAAATACAGGTATGGCAGAGTAAGACTGCCACCTATGTGACGGCCTCTTTATAAGACAACAATTATTATAGCGACTACCTGCTGGACGACCGCTGCCACACGTGCCCGGCTGGCCAGTGTTGTCCTCACTACGAACATAAAATAAAATGTATAATGGAAGCGCATTTTAATTTATTTTATATACCAATAGTAATGCATTTGTTGTAAAATAATAATTTTTCAATGAATATAATTAAGAGTTAATTTCGGTATTGCAATATTGAGTAGGTTCTTCGCCGTTGGCAAAACCTATTATTTTTCTTTTTAGTGCCGTTGTCCTGACAATGGGCGATGGCTTGTACTTTGAGTGGAGATTCCGTATAAACTGCCTCTACCCTTCAGACCGATGGGTATGGGGTGCATAATAAAAGAACTAAACTAACTAACTAACTTCAGACCGAACTCTTTGCTTGCTCCTTGCACTGAAATGTGTACAAGTCTCCAAATTTGATATATTAATTGTAAGTGACTCCTTATCATCCTTAAATGCTCTCAACTCTTTAAGACATAACTGTAACATGCTCGTGTCCGAAACTAGACACAAATACAACAAAATTATTAAGGATGGTAACAGAGTCCATTTCACGTGGTCTCCATCTCATGTTGGCCTCCGAATGCATGATAGAGCTGATTAGTTAGCCAAAGAATCTGCCTTTAAAGGAGCCGTTGAGTATAAACCTTGGATTGTCAATGAGCAATCTGCAAGCAAACCCCCCTGCAGTTATAAAAATATATGAAATGGAAATTTTACTCTTGAGCGTGATTTTTGAGCCGAATTCTGACTCTCTGCACCTATTTTAATTTTCAAATTACGACTTTTTATACCGAAAATATGTCAATTACTGAAAACGGCGATTGGGCATATTTTGCCCAAACCCTCCTGCAGTTTTCAAAATAATTGAAATGTCGGAAATTTGAATCCTGAGCGTGATTTTTGAGCCGAATTCTGACTCTCTGCACCTATTTTCAGTTTCAAATTACGACTTTTTATACCGAAAATATGGTAATTACTGAAAACGGCGATAGGTTGAATTTTGCCCAAACCCCCCCTCCAGTTTTCAAAATATCTGAACTGTCGGAAATTTGACTCCAAAGCGTGATTTTTGAGCCGAATTCTGACTGCACCTATTTTCAGTTTCAAATTACGACTTTTTATCCCGAAAAAATGCCAATTACTGAAAACGGCGATGAGTCATAATTTGCCCAAACCCCACCTGCAGTTTTCAAAATATCTGAAATGTCGGAAATTTGATTCCTGAGCGTGATTTTTGCGCCGAATTGTGACTCTCTGCACCTATTTTCAGTTTCAAATTACGACTTATTATACCGAAAATATGTCAATTACTGAAAACGGCCATTGGTCATATTTTGCCCAAACCCCCCTCCAGTTTTCAAAATATCTGAAATGTCGGAAATTTGACTCCTGAGCGTGATTTTTGAGCCGAATTCTGACTCTCTGCACCTATTTTCAGTTTCAAATTACGACTTTTTATCCCGAAAATATGCCAATTACTGAAAACGGCGATGAGTCATAATTTGCCCAAACCCCCCCCCCCCCTGCAGTTTTCAAAATATCTGAAATGTCGGAAATTTGATTCCTGAGCGTGATTTTTGAGCCGAATTGTGACTCTCTGCACCTATTTTCAGTTTCAAATTACGACTTTTTATACCGAAAATATGTCAATTACTGAAAACGGGGATTGGTCATATTTTACCCAAACCCCCCTGCAATTTTCAAAATATCTGAAATGTCGGAAATTTGATTCCTGAGCGTGATTTTTGAGCCGAATTGTGACTCTGCACCTATTTTCAGTTTCAAATTACGACTTTTTATACCGCAAATATGTCAATTACTGAAAACGGCGATTGGTCATATTTTGCCCAAACCCCCCTGCAGTTTTCAAAATATCTGAAATGTCGGAAATTTTACTCCTGAGCGAGATTTTTGAGCCGAATTCTGACTCTCTGCACCTATTTTCACTTTCAAATTACGACTTTTTATACCGAAAATATGGCAATTACTGAAAACGGCGATTGGTCATATTTTACCCAAACCCCCCTGCAATTTTCAAAATATCTGAACTGTCGGAAATTTGACTCCTGAGCGTGATTTTTTAGCCGAATTCTGACTCTGTGCACCTATTTTCAGTTTAAAATTACGACCTTTTATACCGAAAATATGCCAATTACTGAAAACGGCGATGAGTCATAATTTGCCCAAACCCCCCTCCAGTTTTCAAAATATCTGAAATGTCGGAAATTTGACTCCTGAGCGTGATTTTTGAGCCGAATTCTGACTCTCTGCACCTATTTTCACTTTCAAATTACGACTTTTTATACCTAAAATATGGCAATTACTGAAAACGGCGATAGGTCATATTTTGCCCAAACCCCCCATGCAGTTTTCAAAATATCAGAAATCTCAGAAATCTGACTCATGAGCATTATTTTCGAGATTTAGGAATAAAGGTCAAAGGGAAAGATTTCTCTTTTTGTACAGGGTGCTTCATATTCGCAAAGAAAACCTAGGTGTTATCAAGGAGCGTTACACTAGGAATAGAACTATCACTGTATAGAAGGAAAGACCAGGAAAAACATATGAAATAAAGAGTGTAACAACAATTGACCTTCTTCTTCTGGCATAAATAAAAACCAGCATCCTTCCAATGTCAATAATGAAAGTATCTCATGAGTGACAGAGCCTGATCTTGCCCAAGATGTTGTCTTTTGCTCTATTGGTTAAATAATGCTCTCTCACCCATAAAAGTTCCTAACTTCTCAGTGAAGTCTCCATGTACTTACGTAAGTATCTACCTCAGTACCTTAGTAAAATCTTGATGCATACTGAAAGCTTCTTAAGATGCCATGTTAAAGATTAAAGAAGTTAAATATTTTAATTTTTATTTGAAACTAAAGACAAACGATTTATTTACCAAAATTAACAAAGATTACAATTTTTACTCATTAGTATAGAAATGTTGGCTTACATGATGGTTACAGACTCTAGAAGCCCTGCCTGAGACAGAAATGTTGGCTTACATGATGGTTACAGACTCTAGAAGCCCTGCCTGAGACAGAAATGTTGGCTTATATGATGGTTACAGACTCTAGAAGCCCTGCCTGAGACAGAAATGTTGGCTTACATGATGGTTACAGACTCTAGAAGCCCTGCCTGAGACAGAAATGTTGGCTTACATGATGGTTACAGACTCTAGAAGCCCTGCCTGAGACAGAAATGTTGGCTTACATGATGGTTACAGACTCTAGAAGCCCTGCCTGAGACAGAAATGTTGGCTTACATGATGGTTACAGACTCTAGAAGCCCTGCCTGAGACAGAAATGTTGGCTTATATGATGGTTACAGACTCTAGAAGCCCTGCCTGAGACAGAAATGTTGGCTTATATGATGGTTACAGACTCTAGAAGCCCTGCCTGAGACAGAAATGTTGGCTTACATGATGGTTACAGACTCTAGAAGCCCTGCCTGAGACAGAAATGTTGGCTTACATGATGGTTACAGACTCTAGAAGCCCTGCCTGAGACAGAAATGTTGGCTTACATGATGGTTACAGACTCTAGAAGCCCTGCCTGAGACAGAAATGTTGGCTTACATGATGGTTACAGACTCTAGAAGCCCTGCCTGAGACAGAAATGTTGGCTTACATGATGGTTACAGACTCTAGAAGCCCTGCCTGAGACAGAAATGTTGGCTTACATGATGGTTACAGACTCTAGAAGCCCTGCCTGAGACAGAAATGTTGGCTTACATGATGGTTACAGACTCTAGAAGCCCTGCCTGAGACAGAAATGTTAGCTTACATGATGGTTACAGACTCTAGAAGCCCTGCCGGAGACAGAAATGCACATCATTGATGCTGTCCCACTTCTGCTAAACTGAACTACATAAACACCAGAAAATCTGATCAGTTAACAGGCCATCTATAAAAGAAACTAAATAGTGTTAATAATTTCCAACAAACAGTAAACTTAATAACTAAATAAGCAGAATTTATAAACAACTGAAGAGACCAAATAAAATAAAAATGTATACCTGTAATGCAATTAGTAATTTTTTACTATAGGTCTTTTCAATCCTTCACTGATATGTTAACATACATGGCAAGGAGATGGCATTTGAATACATAAGTTCTTTTTTTTTACGAAGAGTTTTGGTGTAGGCATGATGGCAATAAAATGACTTTGTGTTCTCTCTAGATTTGTTGAAAAAAAATATATTTATCATCAATATAAGACCACAAAAAATATTCTCACTATCCTTTCCTTGGCACAAGAGCCCTTTAAGTCTTTTTACTAATCTTTCAATATACTGTACAGGTATTATTTGTTCATGACAAAAACTAACTATTAGAATGCAGCCCAAATTGTTTATATCACTGTCTTTATTATATACAATATATTGGCAAGTAGTAAGTGTTCCAAACTAGTTGATATACAAATGAGTCTTATAATAATTTATTGTCGAATCTAGAAAAATATCAATTTCCATAATTTATCCCACACATTATATGAACCACAATTGTGCAAATTTAACAGTTTTGTATATATGTGAAAACTAAAAGAAACCTAAATCTCTCCTATGACCTATATACAAATTTAAACTTAAAAACTAGATATAGATATCTTATTATGATTATTTTTCTGTTAAGGTAACTAGTCTACTTAATGTTGAAATCATATGTTGAAACTTGCTGTTAAGCAACTAGAGTAACATGTTCCAAAAACACTCACTTTTCTTGGTTTACCATCACCTGCAGTAAGTCAAATAAATTTCCAATAACTGAAGACAACCTGAAAAATTTGTTTTAAATACTGTATATAAATAAGCACTGTATAGCTTACACACACACACACACATATTATATATATATATATATATATATATATATATATATATATATATATATATATATATATATATATATATATATATATATATATATATATATATTTATATATATGGGACAATCCAACTACATTGCATAAAACAATATTGGCACCATTATACACACAGCTCAAAGGCAACTGCACAGAAAAGATGATGGCGATATCTATATAATCAACATTGACCCTTGATCCACAGGAAAAAGACAGGAGATGGCACAGCAAGTATCACGGGATAATCTCTACAGATAATAATTATAAGTTATAATAATAATAATATGAAAATGAGAAAGTTCACTGGGGCCGTGAGGCAACACGAACCTGCGACCAAGTCATTGCCAGCCGCATACTCTACCACTGTACCACCACTGACTTGCCATTTTACCAAGTGGACTTTCTCATTGATGTACTGTATATCAAAGAAAAAATCCACTAGGGCTGTGAGGTGGCACAAACTGGTTTAAACTGGGTTTAAACTGAGCTAAAATCGGCAAAAGGCTACCCAAAGCAACCAGCTCCTAAGAGTCATGGACCGAAGCACCCCCCACCTCTCCCTGGTTGAGACAATGGAGGAGCAGTTCGAATGGAGCTGGATCACCGAGCCCCAAGGGAGCCAAATCCTCTGCAGCACCAGCCACAAACTCCCGCAATGTGTTGTGAGCTCGACATAAGGACAAAGGCGAATGTCCCTGGCTAGACTGGTGAGCATTGGTCACAAAGTCCCAACCGACACAGACGATGCATCCGTGAACACATCGAAGGAGGGAGGAGGAAGACGCCATGGCACCGAACCCCGAAGAGGAAGCCAGTGATGTAGCAACCGGCACAGGGACATCGGGAGTCAAACCCAGTGATCGCAAGAGCAACGAAAGAGGCTGCTCCAAAGATACCAGAACAGCCTCCGAAGCCAAACCCTGCCCAGCGGATAAACCAGAAGAGTTCATGCTCCCGCAATGCTGCTCGAGCAACCGCAGAGTAACCCGGATCTCCCTCAAAAACAGCCGACATAAGAACTACAACTGGAGCAAGGCCGCGGGAGGGAGAGAAAGGGACGAAGTCTGACAATCCCTCACAAGGCCCAACAAAGTTTGAACCTGGGACAGAACCAACTGGGACTTCTGCTATTTCACACACGAAACCCCAAAAACCCTACAACAGCCCCAACAAGCAGTCAGAGAGAAACGTCAGCCACCGCGTGATAGCTTATGCAGGTTGCACCGGCCGCAGTGCGCCCCACCAGCCGATAAACACCCACCTACCTGTGGCAAGGCAGAAAGCCCAAGACCCCCGCTTGACCCCAAGGGTGTGGACAACCACAAGCGAGGAAGTCCTCTAACAGGGAGTGTTTCCTGAAAGCCCCAGGGAAGATAATCCTGACCATGCAAGGGCAGTACTCACGGAGCGCCTAGGTAAGGTGTCCGTAAACGCATGCAGCTCCAGTCCCCAGGAACTCGAGGCCAGCACACACACAAGTGCAGGAACAGCAGTATAAGGTAAAAATCCCAGAACAGGAAAATAAAGTCTGAGGTGACATTCGACACCCATCACAATAGTCAAGATTTGAATGGTGGGTCCTCAGGCTCACCCAAGCTGGCTCCCCCTTTCCCCCCCTGGAGGGGGCACTAATGAGCGGGGGCTAGTTGAACAAAGTGTTCCTTGGTTATTTACGGGGGAATTCTTTTGCTCTTTTGAGGACGTAGGTCATATTTTTCATCCAGACAGTGGTCTGTTTTGTTTCGCCTACCTTTCTTGGTATCATAAAGCTTAAACCCTTTAGTACAGATAGCTGCCATAAAGTAGCCCAGAGCCCCAGCCAGCTCCAATGGACAGTCTGGATATACAGTAATGGACATCGAACTGACGAACCTGGTAGAGATAGAGAGCGTCGGGAAGCCACCAGGGTTCTACCAGAAAAAAGTATCTTACTATATTCAGTGCGTGTCTTCTGAGAGGAGCCCCCTTTTATGGATCCCTGAAGCTAACCAGAGAGCAACTGAAAAACAAGGGACTTCCCAAGGAGGAGGAGGAGATGGCAAATACTATTCCAAGGGGACCATGAGCAGGAAAACTCGGTCCAGTGCCACAAAAGACCGACTGGGACTAGGGATATTAATCAAATACCAGGCCACCTAGACCCTATCACACCTCCAAAACCCAAGCCTGAATATTGGCTCACAGCATGTTGGAGAAGACCGCTGCCAATGCACCAGAGTTACGACCATCATTGGTCAAAGGGTAGACTGCAGGCCGGCTACTTTTGATGACATTGTGGACAACCTGAGAAATATAAGCCTTGGAATTGGAGACCAAGGTAACAGGGCCAACAAACAAGAAACCAGCTGACTCATTCTTTGCCAGAAAGGAAGATTGCTGAAGATAAACAAAACACCCACCAGGTACATATGGCCATTGAAAATGTAATGTTTGTTGTATTGGGAAGGTTATCCAACTTTCCAACACATTATTAAGAGTAAATGTGGGGCCCAGCACAAGACTTGCAAACAAATTTGGCATACTTCTCACCTGTAAATTGATTCTGCAAGGTGTTCCATGCTAGCCCTTACATGCTGCACAGAATCGGTAATATTCTCATTAGAGGGGGGAATTTTTTCCTCTCCTGTTC